GATCTTTGAAATATTCTTATTTTCATCTTTAATAAGTGCTGTCGACCCAGTTGCGGTGATTGCTGTTTTTGAAGAAATTCATGTTAATGAAATGCTATTTATAACTGTTTTCGGTGAAGCGCTGTTTAACGATGGTATTACTGTAGTATGTTGTTATTTGCAATAATTAAAATACTTATTATTATTGATAATAATTTTGAATTGAATTTTTACATTACTTTTTCTCCATATCTTTTAGGTTCTTTACCAAATGTTCAAAAAATTTACATTAATTGGTCCAGAGAACCTATTACCAATTGATTATATTGCTGGTGGTGTTAGTTTCTTTGCAATCGGTCTTGGTGGTGCAGCGATCGGACTTGTTTACGCCGTTGTTGTTAGCTTCATTACAAAGCAATAATTTTTACTTTTTTTTAAAGATAATTTTAAAATTTAGAAAAAAAATAAGAATATCGTACTTGATTAACTAAAAATTGGAAAAATCATGATTAAAAAGATTTTTCTGAGAAAATCGTTAATAATCGTTAATTCTATGAACAAATGAATAAATCATTTTTAAGAAAATAACGAGCAAATAATTAGATGAAAATGAATATTTATCTTCAGACATACGGAAAAAGTAAAAGTATTAAATCCGATTTTTATATTTGTAATACCTTATTTGGCCTATTTAACAGCTGAATTATTTGGCCTTTCTTCTATACTTGCGTTAGTAATTCATTTTTGATCAAAAAAGAATGTAAATTTTTATAAGAATTTTTATTTATTTTATAAGGAAGAATTTTTATTTTATAAGAACGTAAACTTTCTTATAAGTTTTTTTATTTCATTTCGATTACAAATTATTATCAATTGAACAATCACTCGGATAAGTATAAAATATTCTTAAAGTTTTTGATAAGCGTGTGATAAGGTTTTAGGATAGTAGCTTGTGGCATGGCAATGAAGCAATATATTAAAGGGAATATATCGCATGAAGCCGCTACATCAGTAAAATATTTTACGAAAATGCTTGCGCAAGCATGTGAAACAATTATTTTTATGTTTCTGGGTCTATCAACAATAGCGAATCATCAACATTGGGACCCAGCGTTTATGATACTTACTGTCGTTTTTTGCCTTGTATATCGAGTTATTGGTATATATTACTACGTTAACTTAACAACACTTTCTAATCCATCAGTAAAACTTATCCAAAAATTAATTTTAGGTGTAATAGTGCAGTGTTTGATATTAAACCGATTTCGTAAAAGGCAGTTTTTAAAAGTCGATCAGTTTATAATGTGTTATGGTGGACTACGCGGTGCTATAGCATTTGGTTTAGTAGTATCGTTACCTGATTCTATAGAAGCTAGAAGTATGTTCATTACTGGTTGCATCACAGTTATCTATGTCACTGTTCTATTTCAGGTTAGTTTCGCATCATTTATTCACACTAGGTAGTTACTCTGATTCAGATGGTTTTATTTTTTATGTTATTAGGATATTAGGAATTATTAGGATTTCTTCACCAGAGTATCATTTGGAGAGAAAAGTGCAGGTGAGTCCTCAAGATCACTCATATTTCTATTTTACTGAAACCATAATCCGAAACAATATATTTACCACTTTGTTCATCCTATTTCAATTTATAATCCGGCCATAGAAGCAATTAAGAAATAGAAACGATTATACTTTTTTTTGATAAATGATCACCATATATGATTTGTTTTGCTGCTTTGTCGGACCGAGCTTATTTTGCTAGGGAATCATTTGGTGATAGCAGCATAACACTACGCTTCATAAAATTTGTTTGTTAAGTTTATTTGTTTGTTTGTTAATTATCCGACAATCCAACAGAACTAGCTTGACAACGGTGAAAAAGAAAAAAAGGAAAGAAGTACACCATCACCTGGATTTACGAAAGATAAGTTAAACTCCGCAGCACTGAAGTGCTCTGAAATGAGAGCAATGCCATTTGAGCCATTTTAGTTACGAAGTAATTAATTAGTTGTTAATAATAAATTTCAGGGAATAACAATTCGTCCATTGGTTAATTATCTAAAAATAGAACGGGAAGCAGGTGAAGAACCAACGATGATACAAAGTGTTTATATGAAAGTACTTTTTTTTCTATAGGTTTGAAAAATGTCGACTTTGTTGAAATACTTTTTTAAAAAGGCAATGATTGCATTATTCTATATTAAAATTTTTTGCAAATTTTATAAGAATCCTTGATAATAATAATAATATTAAAAATAACAAAATTCAATATATTGCAGTATTTCGATTATACCATGGCAGGTGTTGAAGATATTGCCGGACAAAAAGGCCACAATTCTGTGAGAGATGCGTAAGTGCACCGACTTCATTTATCTTTTTCCTGTTTGTCTATATTATGGAACCGAAAACTTTTAGATTTGAACGTTTAAATGCGACAATTTTACGACCACTTTTAATGAAACATGAAAAACGCCGTCGTTTTGATGCATCAAAAATCGTCCGGGCTTACACGAAAATTACTTTAAAAGAAGCGCTTGAAATGGCTACAGGTGGAGAACTTCCAGCCGACTTACCTAAACGAAGGTATTTCATCGATATATCTTTTCATATATTTTTTATCGACAATATCGATAATTTATTAGAATTACCTTATCTTTTCGATAAATTATGGTATAAAATATTTCGAATATGCCATAGCATGAATCTTCTATACGTTATTGTAGCTTAATCCAAACTTAAAATTTTAACTTAGAAATAACTGAAAGGCACTGAAAAGTAATTAGCGAAAAAATATTTGGCAAACAGAACAAAATTTTAAAAAATTTTTAACTCAAATGATTTGCTGTTAAATAAAAATTATTGACATCTTTTCAAATAACTATTGTCGTTAATAAATTATCGCCTCGTAAGTTATTGTATGCATGGATGATGCTCGCAGTTATTTTTGTCAAAAAAAATATATAATAAAGAAATTATTTTTTGACTGTATTAGATAAAAATCGGTAAAAATACTTGAGTTATATAGATTAAACGGAAAAAATTACTGTTTCAGTGCCATTTGATAAATTATTCCTTTTGTTTTCCTTGAAGTGTTATTATTTTTAACAATTTTAGTCGAAGTGTTATCGATAGAAAAACGCCATCGGCATTTGATAATATGTCGTATATACCTGATGATAAGACAGCAGCCACTATTGGCAAAAACGAAAATATACTTAAAAATGAATTAAATAAGGTTATGTTTACTGTTAAAAGTACATGAACAAATATATAAAAGTAATTAGATACAAACTCAAATCAAAGTACGAGTGATAAGTAAACTGAAATCATTCGATTAATTTTGTGTTTAGAATTTATACTTTTCTGCTCATTCGACTATGATCATTTATTGAATTATTAGATATGATAACGATGTTTCGATGACAATAAAAATAATTATAATTATAAAATAATATAATTATAATTAATAATTATAATTATATTAACGGGAAATAATTTTAGTATTTATCATCTGAAGAAAACACAGAAGCGTTGTATCGAATGTTTAGTAATTTATTAGATCGTAAACTTCATGAAATAAATCATAAACCGCGGCCGAAAATCCATGAAGATACAGATAATAGTGATATTGAAGACGATTTCTTAACGAAATTTAAAAAAAGCAATGAAGTAAGTTTGTTTCTCTAAAGAAAACAATGCAATTTTTTACATTAATTAAAACTCTTCAAAGTTATTTGATAATTTATAAAAATTTCCATAAATTTAAGGCACATGAAATTGGAACACGTGGTATGTCGCATTCTTTGGCGAATGTTTATTCTATACCAACGGATCGTCATAAAAGTATTGCAACAAGTAGACGTCAATCACGTGCCGTATCACCTCATTTAACACCTTTAACACCTGTTTCACGTAGTCGTAGTTTAGGCCAAGTTCGCCGTAATATTTAAATAATCGTTTTTGTTGTCTGTATATTTATTATTTACTATTTTACTTACTGGAAATATTCATACTTAAAAAATATATATAATACAATAATCATAATCATATAATGTTAGAAATTTATATCAAATATTCCGTGCAATCTTCGTTTGATCCTTTTTCTTTTTTCGCAAAAAACCTTCTGGTGAATACAGTATTATACATATTTCTTGAAACGAAATAAAATACTAAAATATTAAAGCTGAAGCAAACAGCTGATAAATAATAAAATGATTAAACTGAATTACTTTAATCCCTCCTATTTTCCTTCAAATATTTTTATTTCAATATAAAAATTATTATAACAAATCAAAAATATTTTCCTTTGCAGTAAGTAAACTAATTATCTCAACTAGAATTTTATTTGGGAAAAAAGCTTTAATTGAAAAAAGCTTATAGGAACATACATTTGGGACATATATATATGAAAGGAATATATATTTTTAATATAATAGATATTATTAAGATGTATGCACGAAATTAAAATATCAAAATGCTTCCGACGGGCGTAAATTTACTTAGCAAACCAAATAGTTTGCCTGTATGTTTGCCTATCCCAAGTTTTCCTGGCTAAATTGTGCTCGGCCAGTGCAGTGACTCTAATCAATGGATCAGTGGATGGATGCTGATTAATTATCGAAAGCAAGATATGCTATAATATCTGAACATACAATTTTTCTAATAGTAAAAATACCGTTGAAAGCAACTGGAAGTATAGATTGGTACCAAATTAATAAAAATTCCTAAAATTTTCCTCAACTTTTTTCCTCAACTTCTTTCTCTTTTTATTTGCTTTTTGCAGATTCTTAGCATCCTCTTAATTTGCCGTTTATTCAAAAATTCATTTTGCCATAGAAACACAAATTATTGTAATTGTTAAAAGGAAAATAGCACGAATATTCTTTGGCTCTTTGCTTTGAATAAATAATGTTTAAATGTTTATATATAAAAGTAAAGAAAAAAACAACGGAACAATAATAAAGATAAATGAGAAAAAAAGAAATTTCTCTTTAAAATATTTGTCAATTTTCTGAAAAATAATAAAAAATAAACAAAATTGGCAAAAATCATAGCAAAATTTCGGTGTTGAAAAGTGTAAAAGAAAAATAATTTCAATTAATAATATGAAAAGATACTTAATATTTTCAAAAATAATGCGAAATTTTTGAAGAAATAGAAAAAAGGCGAGAAAACTCTTTAAAAAAGCTTAGCTGAATTACAAGTAATTTATAGAGAGAATTCGATGAATGACGGACTGCAACGATCATAAAGTTGGATTTAAGAAATCTGATTAGTCGGTTGTTTTCTAAAGAAACAATACCATATTGCGTGTATATAAGCTGGTAATATTAAAAATACCATTAAAAATAAATTTATTAATACATGAATATTGCACTGATTTGCTTCGACTGCAATTGCTGCTGGCTGCAAACAAAAATAATTTTAAAAATAATTTTTTCAAAAATAATAACAAAATTGCTTGTAAATGAATAAAAATAAAAATATTATTAATAATATATAAATCTATAAATCTTTAAAATTCAGTGAAATATCGCAAATTCAATACAAAAAATCATTGGATTGTTTTATCAACGATACAAAACTAAAAGGCAATTAATGTAGGCTTAATGGGTTAAAAGGATTTATGACCTATTTGTTTTTAAAATATTCTGCTGGTATTCGCTTTTTTATTTCTTGCCTTATCTCGAAAAATGTTAAATCCGGAAATCGCATCCAGAAAATAAAATTTTCTTCAGAAAATGAAAATTTTGCTATTCTTAGCGAAAAATTTACATATTTTATAAGTAAAAGAACTTTAAAGAAAAAAACTGAAATACCGGAAAAATAATAATAAACATAATAAGAATAAATAATTTAAATGTGTCACGGCGATTATCGATAAATGGAACTTGTTCGTCATTGTTCTTCATTATAATTCGCCTTATTCTGAAATATTATCAACTATAATTTTTTTCATAAAAAAAATTTAAAAAATTCAATCGTTAAAAAAATCGAACGAAATTAAACCAATTATCAACCAATTCAATTCAAAGAAAAAAACTGGAAAAGCATAAAATTAAGGAATATTGGTTGGTGAAGTAAATATAATTTATAATTCACCATTTGCGGTTGAGAAATTTTTGTCACGAGGCGATGTCGTTTGAGTATAAATGGGTCATTTCGATATTCATTAATGCAAGCAGGTGACGAGCATTCGAATTTTTTTTGGATGACGAATCTCTTCTTATCAGCGATCTTATTAGAGGTTCGAGACGTAGAATAATTAATTTAATCACTAAGCAATCAACTGATCTTATCAATAAATTCGCGCAATAAATTTTTTTAAAAAATTTAAAAGGAAAAAATCACTGATTGAAAACATTCTCAAATGACCTTGAACTCGAATTTTTTTAAAATTTCAATTATTTCCACATTATTAATTCTATGAAGAAAATTTCGAAAATCAATTGAAATTAAACATAAAATGTGATCTATGATCGTTTATGACTTCCATTAATCGAAAAGAGAAAAAAATAATTAAATTATTAGGTTTATGCTTTTTTTTAAAATTGTTTATAACATTACTATCAGTTATCAGTTGTAATCAGTTTAATCAGTTATATTTATCAAAATTCTTCCACCTTAAAAGGAATTTAACCAAAAATATAAAAGTTAAAGGCTTTAAAGATTCATAAGTATTTCATTTAATTTAATTTCATTATTTTTTTACAATAAATTCGAGAAACATAACAAATAAAAAAGCATAATTAAAAATCAATACAACAGTAAATAAGTAAATATAACAGCAAGTAATGCAACAGTAAGTAAGAAAGAAGTAAATAGTGATACAAATTGATTTATGTAGAAAATAACGAAAAGTATGGCAATAAGCGAACTAAGTATTGACACAGTTGGAAGAAGCAGTTGTTGCATTGAATAAATAATGATTTATGATTTATAACTTGTAACAGGTGACGACCTGTTGACCTATTGATCTGAACCGACCTCCACCAACGTTAAATGCACACATCCACACGTATACATACGCGCACACAAACGCGCACATGCGAAACGTTGACTTTAGTTGACAAACATATGGCAACGAATAGTGAGTGTGTCGAGTGATTCATTTCGGATATTTACTTGTGGAAATTTTCGAAAGAGAAATGAGTGACGAAATAATGAAAATCTTAAATTATTTTTTTAAAAAAAATTGAAATAATTGAAATTAATAAATGATTAATGTTGACGATTATCAATAAATTTAACTTTGCATGTGAAATTTTGCTAGGGAACCAACGGAAATTCCAAGCCTAGACGAGTACCACACGTAGACACACGTGCAGGAGTAGCTTAATATTATGAGTTCGGGGGGAAGTTTCAACTTCCTATTTTGTTTTTGAGAATAAATATTTCATAACTTTATTCGAGTTGAATGTAGTGTAGTATATTTCATTAAACTTTTTTTTTCGACATTTTCGGTAATCCGTTGGAGCCTTATGGAACCTTCTTGGTGCCTACACTTTTCTTCCTAGAATGGCTTTTTCCACACGATCGCAGCAAATATCAATTTCTCAGAAATTTCAGTTTTTATACAGAATTGTTCAGTTTTTGAAATATGAAAAGAACAAATTTATAATGTAGTTGTTTTCTTAAGCAATATAATACAATGGTGAGTGTAGAGGGTATTTCGAGCAGTTAGTTCATAAAAACTGATGCGAAAATATTTGTGATTGGTGACAAGTCAGTTTATTTTTCCTCTAATTGCATTCACCATTTCTAATTTGGCTTATTCAACTGGCTTAGGATGGTAGAGCTGACCACAACCTGGACTTCGGCTTTTATTTCAGGTTTTTCTCTAGTCAGCAATCGAGCAACTGCTGGCTTTGTCTTAATCGCCGCATTATACCAGTCGAATACTCATTGGCCAAACAATGCGTTGTTAATCATCCTCATTTACAAATCGGATGAAACGCCAAATTTAAAGAATACTGAAAGTGAATAAACGTATTTTTTTCAAGTCAATGGATTCCGATGAGATTATAAAAATTTATCGATGAAGCGAATATTCCAAAGCAATTATTTGGATATATCGAACTGGATAACTACGGATTTTGGAAAATTTGTAGCCACACAAACAAACTTCAGCTGTGTTGTCGGTTTTCATATTCCCGAACTATTATTACCACCAAATCGAGAAGCCAACAATTTATTAAAAATCCATCAAAATTATTTAAATTTAAAATGAAGTTCAAAATTTTCCTTTAAGTTTATTTCTCGGATTTTTTCTTGAAATTCTTAATGATGAGTTTATTTCATTGGAATGCTTTTAAAAGAAATTTGAAAAATATGAATCGACATTTTAAGCGCCGAGAAAGACAAACAAAATAGAAGCCTAGGCTTCTAGGCAAGGATTGCATCGCTATATAGCTGGCTTGTGGATATGGAAATGAATAAATGCCGCTTGTAGTGAGTGGAAATGAAATTTGCAAAAACTTCTAGAATTTAACCAACTAAAAATGTATGAAAATATTTAAAGAATGAGACTGGAATTGGGAATTGGCGAAAGATGGCACAAGGGTTACCACATATTGTGTGCAATTAGAGAAAACATCTATAGCAATAATAAATATTTCAGTGCCATATTCTTTTCTCTATCTCATCCTCATACCTGCTTTAGTTAGCTGCGGTGGAGACTGGAATACGGCCAGTGGTACTGCCTAGTATGCTGCTTAGAATCATCCATACTTTATGGCTCGGTCACCGTTCCTATATAGGAGCAGTAAATAATGCAAATAATTCGGGAATATTAAAACAAACAACAAAAATAAATCCATCATTAAAAAATCTGAGTGGGGACCCATCTAATGGCTCTCAACTGGGCTATCCCGATACAAAGCATTAAAGCATTAATTAACTAAATAGATGCTTTTGCAAAAACTTAAAGATAGAATTGCGGGTTAGTTATCAGTTCCATGTTAAAATACAAAAAATTAATTATCAAAAAATTATCAAGGCATAAATAAAAATTAGATCTCCTGATAAAATTTTAAAAAAAATTTTCAATACAAAAAAAATTTAGAAATTAAGAGAAGTTCATGCATTCAATATGCATAAGGATTTCAACCAATTTACCATGCATGCTCATAAAAAATTCGTAAAATCTTCGAAGAACTTCTAATTATGACTGTGCGAAATGCCTATGGAGTCAAATAATCAAGTGGATAGGGGTTTCAGCTATATTAAGATATTGTAAGGTTTCGCGATGAGAATAAGACGACAATCATTAAAATATGGTAATTTTTGGCTAGCATTATTTCCGCTTCCATTATTTAAGTACTTCCATTATTTCCGCACTTCTATCACCAAATGACTCAATGGCATAAATTTGATTTCTGATTAACAGCCAGCCAATGAGGCAATTCTAACCGGAAATGTTGAACACTTATCGCTTAGTCAGTCAATTTACTCGAAGCGCCTTCAAAATTTAATTAAATTATATGAAATTTTTTTAAAATCCTTTAAAATAAACTAATAAAATTTTAGAAAAAAATTAATGCTGCAAGAAATTATATATATTAATTATATATTTCTTCAAAAATTTTAGGCAAACATTTAATTTAAAATACTTTTAAATTACCTCAAAATAATAAAATTAGATTTAATGAATATAAATCAATAAAATTTAAAAATTTTTTTGTTGGTCAAAAAAGAAAATAGCGCAGTTTTAAAAAATTCATTTCCAATTTTAACATCAATTTTATTATCAATTTTATCGAATTAGTTCGTTATTAAGTAAATTGATAAGCAAATAAGAGTTCGAATTCTTCGAGAATAGGCTTTTCATTCCTTAAAGGAAAATTAAATTCTAATGCTTAATAACTGCGATATCCAAAGTTATCATTGCTATTTTTATCATTAAAAAATTATCATCATAATTCGCAAGAAAATATTTCGAACAATATTTTGTTCTAAGTTTTATTTTATTTTATATTTTGGTAATATTTTTTTGAGAAAAATTGGATAAAATCACTCCAAAATGCAGATGGGTATTTCAGATGGGTAAATCTTTTTATCCAACATTAAATGAGTGCATATTAGAGAGATATGGTGAGATTTGCTGGCATTCGCCAATGAAATACAGGGATGAATATCTACGATTTTTCGAAGACTACGATTTCACAACTTGTCGCTTTTTTCTTAACTTAAAAAGAGTGAATTTTTATAATGAAATCGAGAAATTGAATTATGGTTCCGCTTCCGTTTTGGTTATGTTGCATACTAATGTTAGTTCTTCTTGTGGCTTTTTTTGCTAATTCGCGTAATGATGAGTAAAATATTAACAAATAATGTTCTTCGCTTCAAATATTCAAATATGCGAATTTTTATTTATTTACGATTTAAATTCAAATTTGCATAAAATTTTTCTTAAATTTTATGAAGAACTTCTTAGAAGATAAAATTACAATTTATTTTGTTCACAAAAGATTTCTAAAATCTGTTTTATCCATAAAAATGCTCGGAAATTAAATATTGTTTTATTACTTTTTTTGTTTGTTTTTTTATACGTTTATATTTTTTATTTATTAATTGAATTAAAAATTTTCATTGGTTCTTTTTTAATTTAAAAATTGAAACGAATTTTTTTGAGAAATTTTTTGGAAAAATTTTCCAATTATAAAATGAATTTCAGGGAACAACGATAAATAAAAAGTTTCTTTTTGCATTGAAAAATGCATTGGAAGTTTGCAAAAATGAAAATGAAACCACGTTAATCATACTTATATCGAATACAAAATATATTTTTAAAGGAAATTATGATTTAAATTTATTTCGAGAATTCGATCATAGCTCGGATATCGTTGATTACAATAATTTACTGCATTATTATTATGATTATATAGAAAATTACCCGAAGCCGATCATTGCTGCTATATCTGGTTGTCCTTTTCTTTATGGATTTTTTTCATTTTTTGTGCGCTTAATAGCTTTTGCGAAAAGAGACGATATAAGCTAAAACACTCGTATTTGAGGAGGTAGGCTGACTCTTCTAATTATGAGATGAGGTTCGTTCACGGTAGGGTGATAGAAGTATGAGTGTAGCTCACCACAGGCCTTCAATTTCACCTTCACTGATAAGCTTCAACTTCACAACTATTATCGTTGGAGTCTCGAGAGCTATTTTGTAGTACCCATAATATATTTTAATCAAATTTTTTTATCGGTGTAAATAGTGCTGCGTTATGGTTTGATGATCTTCTATAAAACTAGCGATTGGCTTTATTATAATATGAATATGTTATTATTATAATAGAACCTTTAAGGTGCATGTTTATGCGGCGGTGTAGGCCTTGCATTAGCGTGTCATTATCGTTATTTCTTAACAACTGAGTTCACATATTTGCATTTTAACGATGTGCAGTTTGGTTTAATACCGCTCGGAGGTACACTCAGAAAATTATGTGAAATTATTTCGGTTAAACGAGTGTTTGATTATCTTCTAAAATCGAGAGTGCTTAATAGTTCACTTGTAAAAATGCTCGATTTAGGTGAACAAGCATTTTTTGATCAATTAGTTAGTTTTTTTTCCATCGTTTATAATTTTATAACAAGGATGTTTTTCTCATTTTTCAACATTAAAATATTTTCAATTAATCATTTGTCATTTGATCTAGTTTTGCAATTCAGGTAAATATGACTGCGAGTGATTTAACTGAGTTGGAAGCTTTTGTTATCTCTGTATATGATACAATCACCGCCGACGCAACATTTTTATCAAAGAAATCAAAAGCAGTTGCGAAAGATTTTGAGCTACCAAAACTAAGCGATGTTCAAATTTCTTTCAAATTGGCTGTTTTTTTTTAAATAGATTTAAATTTAAATTTTCAAATTTCAATTAGTGTTAATTGAATAGAAGTGCAGTACTAAATAATTACAATTCTTAGAGACTCTTAATTTCGATAAGTATCAGAATTTCCTAACAATGAAGCATTCGATAATCCTTAGTAGCGATTGTGACGATTGCAATGAATATTTTCAACGAATTAAAAAAGGCTTAACTGTAATAACTGTCAAAAACTGTCAAAAATAAATTGTAGGAGATCGAACCAGCATGCGAAAATCTTGCAAATAGTTTTCAAGAATATTTTAAATATATGAAAGAATATAAAGAAGATATTAACGAATTAAAAAATCGTGAAAATGAAGTCCACCATTACTTCTTTTACGAAATTTTCTTTTAAATTTTCAAAAAATTTCATTAAAAAATAAATTCTTTTCAAATAATAATCTTTTATAATTTTAAAAAAGAATATTTTTATTAATTAATTTTATTAATTCAGATTAATTTCAAAATTAATTTCAAAATTGATTTGAAAAATCTGTTCAAAATTAAATTATTTTAGATAATCGCGAATTTATTTGAAACCGACGAATTTCACTATGGTTTAACGTTAAAAACATCGTTAATTAATCATAAATATTATTATAATTACAAAGAAGTTTATGGTTCCGATAATTTGTCAGTTTTTTTTATTCTAATTATTGATCTTCTAAGGACTCTTTTTTTGGAGCATTTTCTGGCTATATTCGCTCAGCTAGTTCGCCCGAGTTACTTACTTGATGGTAAAAATATAGGTGAGTCGCCAGCATCATCCGGGTTTTCGAAGAATAAGATTATAGAAAACCTGCCGCGAATAAAATCTCAGCACTGACACTCCGAGTTGGAGCAACGCCAGCATCAACCCACTAAACTAGTCCTTTCACTTCTCCAAGAAATTAATGAAAAATAAAAGAGTGATAGTTTGATTCGAATGATTTTTAGTGGTATAACGGCCTACTGGAATTCAACACAATATCACGCATATGACACAATAATACTGGCGTTAAATGCACTTTCCGTTGAAAGCGTTGATTTTGATTTAGATGACTTCGAAAATGCCTACTCCGATTACGTATTAAGTTTGCAAACTTTTATCATTTTTATCAATTTAATAATAATTTATTTTGTTACTGTGAGTATCTTTTGAAAACTCATCGTTTTTTTTGCAGAAACTTTTTCTGATATCCGTTAAATAGCATTTCCTATACGATTAGCCCCTTCTATGGCTTCCTTCTCTGCCAAAGCACCATTTTACCTTATCCATTGAATAATCCTTTTAGTAATTTCTCTATAATAAAATCTAATAAAATGTTCTCCTAATAATCCATCAAATATCGACTATTATTTTGTTATACTAATATATTACTAATATATATTCTCGATCTCCTATCTTATCCCTTAATTACCACTATTGCCTTTGGATAAATTCGCTGAAACCTATTCCAACCCCTCATATCCTCAAAATCCTTTAAATCTTCTTTAAGACTGCATCAAATTGTTTTCTTTTATTCCCATATTCTTTTATTAAAATCAGATAACTCCAACTCTCCCAAGTTATGTTAATTCTATAGGTTCTTTATACTACTTTAAGTTCTGCCTTGTAGAGATTCTTTGATTTCTTTGAAAGCTCCTTAAAAAACCTTCCCAACTCCAACTATTCCCATCAAGATCAAGAAATAAAAGAAACATGTTTTGTTCCATAATTCGTTGATTTCATATCATTATTGTAAACATCATCATGATTCTGCTTACTAGACTCGGTATCTTCTTGACGCTCCTTCTCTTTACTTTCTAGCCTCATCCTAGCAGTAGCCTCATCTAAATTTTAAAAAGGCAATATCATGAGAAATCGAAGAAATATCGCAAAAACAGAAGTGTTTTGAAGGAAAATTATGAGATTTCGAATGAGCAAATAGATGTTAAGGAAATGTGATAAGATAAATGCTAAAAAATATGCTAAACTCGAAGAATTCGCCAAGAATTAGAATTATGCCCAGAAAAAGCTCATCTATTTCCTTTATTATCCGCAGAATTCTACGGAAAATTTTTCGTCACAAATATCCTTCTTCGAATCTGATTATTTCTCTCTAATATCCCCTCTATTTCCAAAGTTATACCTCTTGTTCTTAATAGCATCATACTAGATCCTATAAAATCTTTAAAACCATTTTTTGCTTTCCCAGTGTTTTTTCAGACCCTATTGTATTCCTGGTCCTCTAAAGTTCCCTTATTCTGACAAACTCCATTTGCCTCATTAACTTCCATCAATGCTTCATCAAACTTTGCTGTTAAATAAGTATATCACCATACGATTTCTCATACGAATTTTAATCTATTTAGCATGTTTATTAGAACCTTGTTTGGTAATCTACTCAAGACCTGTTATAATCCTGTATAACCCTACTCTATATAACCCTATAACCCTAAATCTTCTTTAATACTTTAACATCCATCGAACAGCATTACCTTTTTAAAATTAGGTAGAAAGATTTATTTACTCTCTTTTCTCCACGTTGCACTCTATTTTAATTTATTGTCAAGTCCTTCTAATGCACTTCTTACGCAAATGAAAGTTGTAGTTCCAAGAGAGTTATAGAAGTTTGAGTGGTGCATCACGGTTGAGTGTCAACAAATTTTGAAGATATGTCAAAAAATCCAACTTTATTCGTTTTAAGGATTAACTTTTCATTAGCCTTAAATACCTGTATTGTTTTTACTGCTACCAAAATTTTAGGTAGATTTTATTTTTTGAGAGAAAATTTCCTTAACGAGATTTAATGCTAACAGTGGCGATGAAGATTGATTTATATATGTTTAAGTTAAAAAGCGATTAGTACCACCGCATATATTACCCTATATAACAAGTCATATTGTATGTGAGGAATTTTTGTCCATTGAAATTAGTCAATTTATTATTACGGCTGACGAAGTGAACCTGAAATTAAATAGCATTATTCAACTATTGCCAATGGTTAGTAATTTCATTTATTTTATTGGCAAAATTTTTAAAATAATTTAAAAAGTAAAATTTTTTGAAAAATCATCGTATTTATATCACTTCGCTCTTATAAATCTTTTGGCTTTTTTCTTTTCGTTTCATTCTTTCTTCTTTGATTTTTTTCAAAATTCCCATTTTTTTCAATTCCCTTTCGATAATTTTTTTTCACAAAATTATATTTTAATGAAATATTTTAATTTCTTAAATATTTAAAATACAAATTTGTATACTTATTAAAATACAATTTCTTACAAAAGTGAAATAAATAATTAAAATAGCATTTGTATTAAAATAAAGCTATAATACATTAAAATAATACATTAAAATATATTAATCTTTCCATGTTTTTTAAACATATTTCGTCATTTTTTAAAATAATACCGTTTAAGTTGGAATCTTATGTGAAGACGAACACAGCTATAATAATTGATACATTTGCTATTGATTACGAGAATGTCGAGAGAACAGCTCTGTTTCCTGCAAGAATCATTGCATCGAACTATATTTGCATTAATCGTTTTAAATTTATTGAAATTACGATAAACGATAAAATTGAAAAGCATTATTTAAAGAGATATGTAGCTATGGGTAAATATTTTAAAATTTTTAATAAAGATTATAAAAAAATGTTTTCGACTAAATGGGATGCATTTATGCTTTAATGCATTCTCATTTCGATAGCCAATGGAACGAAATGATAAATGATTAGAATTCGAAGTGATAAGTGATATTAGAAGGAGAAATGAAATATAACGATTTGTAATCTCTTTATTCGTTTAGAAGAAAAAATAAATGTGATCGAAAAAAATTAATAATTGTAAATTATAAATTTTAATCGCAAAATATCTAATCATTAGGCGTTTTTTTTTTAAAAATCTTTAATAAATATTTTGTTATATTAGATTTTAAATTTGGTTAAATTTACTTCAGCACGATTGCAAAATTATATCGTTCTAATAACGAAACAGAAAGGTGAAGGTTCAGGTTTCTTTCTGGCACGTTGCATTGTTGATGTATTAACGGAATTTTGTTGCATTTTATTGAAATACAAAAATTTACCATCTGAGGTAGAAGATTTAGCGAAGAAAGCTGGTTTTTGTCATAAACTTTCAATTTTATTCGATATAATTGGCTTGAAACGAATACATGTATGGGCGAAAAAGTGGAACGAAAATAAACCTCGCGACGTGTTGCTTGAAACGGTTTTATTTTTCCTAATGAATTTCGAAATTAAATTAAAATCTTTGAATTGATAAAATAAAATAATTTGTAGAACTGATAATTTAATCATAGGAAACCAACATTTCCCTCGCTCTGGCGAAAAATTCCCATTTTGTTCTAATAGGGAAAGGATCAAAAATGGTAACTTGGATATTGCCGATCAACCATGACAAAACCTCTAGATTAAGCGTAATGATATTCAAAGACCTGTTGACGAGCGGAAATCACAGTAATTTTTGCGAAAGGAAACAAACTCTTTGTTATTGGTGCACCAGTGGGGAACGAGCTGAGCCACCTCTCTTCAGCCTTCACTCGGGACACACATGCACCGTCCAGCTGCACCCCTGGCACGCTAGCAATCACTGCTTCTAACTAAAGGGTCTATTAATAGAACAATTATTTTAAAAAATAATATAACCAAACAAAATAATATTTATTATTTATAATTTATTAAAGAAATTTCAGTTGATATCGCTCAAAAGAATCGGTAAAATTACGTCGGCGGGTTTTAATATTTACGAATCAAATGATTTATCAGAACCAATAATTGCAAAAGACAACGAGAAAAACGAAAAATGGAATGTTGCTATAAGATCGGCGAAAATAGAATCGTAAATATATAATTATAAATATTCATTAGTGCTATTCTCAGTTTTTTTCATAATTTAGAAAGAATGTCGATTGGAATAATTTTAAAAAACCGATCATAATTTCTGGCGATTTGACTAAACTTCTATCGCTAAGTGTCTTTAATTGAAAAATCTCAAGCCTAGTTGGTTCGATTCAAAATTTGTTCGATACAAGAAGCCAGCGGTTCTAATCAGATGGGAACACAAATGGCCTCGATCCCTCTTGGCAAAACCTTAATCCTTACTTGTTGGCTAATGATTCACTTTTCAAATCTACTGATATGCTCAAATTCTGTTCAGCAGCATTTCTAGCTTAGCTTAAACCACTGCCTACTACTTCAATCATCTTTGTCATCATAGATATCCATATGCGAGCCAGTAAGAGCTCAGGCTGTTCTTCGAATTCCAATTTCGAATAGTAGGAGTTGAAATAGAAATGAATGTTTGATTAATTATAGCATCTTCGATACCTCTCAAATTAGAAGCCTTTATATGTTATAAATTTTCAGTAAAGCTTACTCAATAACGTATGAAAATGAGGAACTCTTGCACGAATATTTATATCTAAGTTTAGTTAACAGTGCTTTATTATCGTACCAGAATGGTACAATTAATCCTTCTCAAGTGGTAAGTTCCCTATCAACTTTTCATTCAACAGAACCATCTAAATTTCAAGTGGCAAAGGCAGTATCGATAATCACCTACAGAGCTAGCTTTTGTCACCATTAGTAACCAGTTCCAAAAATAAAAATAAAAAGTCCATGACATTTTTAATGTCCATTTTGCCTAACTTTTGTCTTTTTTCACCGTTTTTATTCATATATTTTCATTAGTTAATGACTATCGCTCTCCTCCTCCTTCTTGAATAATGAATATATAATGAATATTTGCGTGAATTTGATTTTTAAATATTACTTAAACGAATCAAAATTCTTGAAGTATCATGCGGATATGATTTGTCAAATTGTGTTTGGTATTTCGGCATTTCGCGGTGGACCATTTCAATTCGCCGATCGCCAACTGCATAATTATAAAGAAATTGTAATGAAAAATGATAAATACTGCGATTTAATGAAACAAAAAGCTCTCGGCAATTCCACGAAATTTCACTCCAATCTACATTTATGATCGAATCGAATAACAGATTAATGGATCTTTCTTCATTATTTCTTTTTTCTTTCATTATTTTCATAATGTTTTAAAGCTCGTCCTTTATTTCTCAAATGTATCTGCGCATGTGAATAATGAAATCTGTAATGATGATGCAGAGAATGAAAAAATAAAGATTTTTCAAATGATGCAACGGACTCCTTTAAACGATAACTACTATTGTATAAATTTGCTAACGCTAAATGCTCCTGCCAATTTTGCGATGCAAAATTCGCCATGCAAAATTTAAAACCTCCATTTCACCTGTACTTAATACGATACGACTATTCATAGTAATAGTAATAATAGTCATTAATTAGACATTAATTTAAAAAAAACAGTGGAAATTGTAATAGTACTTTTATGTTTAGATTATGATTTTAAAGAAAGACATAAAAAGTATAGAAACATATATATGTACAAAAGCATACAAAAAGCAAACTTCTATACAAAAAACGAATAATTAAATATTTCATATAATATTATGATGCACGATATTTATAGAAACATGGAAGGATATATATATATCTATATGATAATAAAAAAATTACGAACAATTCCGTATCACATCATATCACATTTGAACGCGCCTAGTCAATCACTACCTATTTAGAGAAAAAATATAGTATAAGAGAAATAATTAAAAGTAAAAGAATAAGAAAGATGAAAATAATTAATTTCTTTTGCATTGCCTTCTGCTGATATACAACTGCTCTTTGAAGATCAGCTGATCCCTAAAAGAAAATTCGAAAAAAATTTCCAGAAAAAAAACTAATAAATTTAAAGACCAATTTAATTTCTTCTAATATGATAGCTGCTTTACTTCTGTCAAAAGAAAGAAAATCGAATTCATAGTGCTTCTCCTCAGTAAAAGAAATATAAAACTTATTTATTGATTCTTAAATAGAAAGATTATAGTTTCACATATGAAGATGATTTTAACAATAATAAGGAAATTCTTGAGAAAAAAAACAAGAAAAAAACTGGGAAAGCAAAAACCTGTTGTATATACATAGCAGTATGTTCAACATTAGCTTCAATACTATCAACAGTTTCACCTTGATCGTGCACGATTCTTGCTAAATCTTTCATAATTTTCGTAATATCACCGATTTCGCTATCCAGTTGTTTCATCATCTCAATTGATTATTCATTTAAGCCAGTTTTCAAAAATTTCAATATTTATGTTCACGAATTCACAAAATCCAAAAGTCAAATCTTTTTCCTAATTTAGTGACATTCGTCATTTAAAATAATAATTAAATTTTTTATAGTTAATCCGATGTGATTTATCAAAAAATACTTCATTTCGTTCCTTGATCTCTTTTAAATAATGTTCTTGTTGCAATTGTAATTGTTCTTTATTGGATATTTCCTGATTCGAAATATTTTCATTCAACTAAAATTCAACTAAAATTTTTTAGATAAATTTTTCAGAATTCTGAAAATTGAAAATTTGATCAAAGAAGTAAACAATACTTCAAAATTGTCCAAATTTAGTTATTTCTAATCGTATACTTGAGAGACATAAATTAACCAAATAATCAAACCTGTTCATTTATTTGCTGATTCTGAAACTGAATTTGTTGAATGGATTGCTTTTTCATGTAAGAAATATTTCGCTGAATATACTGATAGCGATTCAATATTGAAATTAAATCATTCATTAACCGTTCCCTCTGGATCTTTAAACTTGGCGATCGCTAAAATATTAAATCTTAAATTTATAATCGCATTTCATCTTTTGATTGAATAAATAGCATAAACACGTGTTTATCTTTGACATATACAACTCAAATAAAATAACTGCAAGTTTTCTTTTTCATTTTATTGAAATTCATTGAAAAAATAAAAAAATTAGATTCTATAAAACGTCTATAATTATGAATCGAAAAAAATTATGAAAAATTACTTTGCTGTTGGAAGCATTAACGAGCTCTTTCATTAGATTATTAGTTTCTTTACTAAGGTCGTTCGTTAACGATAAAACTGACTGAAATTCTTCTTTACTATCCACGTCAGCCCTTTTTGTTAAAGTCTCCAAACGTTGAACTGAAAACCACCAAATTTACGTAATAATTTTAGGTCCACGCATCGAGAAAAATATTTTCCTTTTTTTGCAAATTTTCTGAATTAACCAATGTTACTTTTATCAAATTAAATTAAATAGGAGAATGAAACTGATAACCCCTTATATTTGAAACAAACCATATTGATTGAGCTGTTGAATGTTGTTAGTAATTTTTGCTATCAAATCTGAGTAATCCTCATCATTTTCATCTTTTGATGCCATTTTTAGAAAAACTGAAATAGTTTGAACAATAACAAAGATAATATGAAATCAAAAAATTTCATCCCTTATTTTTCTGCATTCAGAAAAACTAATTTTTCGAAAAAAACTACGGCATATCTTCGACTAACCAGAAAAAATCTATAAAAATTTCCATGATAACAATAAATATTTTAAAATACATTTTATAAAAAATTAAATGGCTATAAGCCACGAAAACAAAACTATTTGTAGCACAGTAAGAATTATGCAAATTTTAATTCCAAACCCGTTTCTAAATAACAAATAATAATAATGAAACGATGCTAAAATATATCAAATAATGCAATTAAAATTATCAAATTATCAAAACTACTGTAACAACAATTGTAACAAAAAAAAGAATAAAACCATCACAATTACAATGAGATCACAATATCTCTAACAAATTTTATACAACATTTTTATTCTATCAAAAATTTGCTGCTTAATCAATATCGATAGAAAAACCCAAAATCATTAGTAGATTAAATTCTTCATAATTAACTTTTCTATTCAATCATAAAATTAAATGGGAGAAGAAATTTTAAGAAATTTACAAAAAAACTAACACAAAAATTTTCGAAATAATTATGAAATTAATTCATTTCCTTTGTCCCTGTCCATAATTATTTTTCATTTATAAAAATAAATTTATAAATTATTGCGAAAAAAATTCCTTTTCAATGTCAGATACCATTTGATTAAGTTCATTATCATCATCAGAACCATCATCACTCTCGCCATCAGAAATATTATCGTTATCACTGGAGGAATTACTATTAACATCGCTATTTCTATTGCTATCATAAGACATGCTTTCAATAATCCTTTTTTTTCCCTCGAAACCACATTTTTCTTCTTTTTCATCATCACTGCACTGTTTTCTCTTTCGACGCTCCTTAACAGTACTGGTCATACCATTGTTCAACAAAGCTACATTATACAATTCGTTATTACAACTCAAATCAGCACATTCGTCGTCATCATCCTCACCGTCATTCATCTAAGAAGAAATATGGAAATATTTTATATTTGTATTTATTTATAATTTTAGCATCATTAAGGGCTGAATTTAATATATATATGATAAAATCCGAATTTAAATTTTTGAATAAACGAATTTAAACGAATTTGATTTCGAAGTATCTGAAATTATGGCCTTTAATAACCTCTTCCTCTACTTCCTTAAGCATTGAATTCAAAGTTGACAACGTTGGTAAAACTCCTTTGATAAGCGATCCGCCCAAAGGCTTTCCAGTTTTATTCATTGTTTCTTTCGTTAACAGATAATCTTTTTCATCAATCTGGAATGATTTATATGAGCGTTATTTGTCATGAATTTTTTGATGAAATTTCTATTTTTAAAAATATTTTATGAATATTCATAGATGAGAGTTCGCAAAACTTTTTTATACCTTTTGCCATCTTTCAACACAATCGTATAACCACTGCGGGTGAACTACATAAATATCTGATCGTTTTAGAGCTTCATGGACTTTTCTGAAATTCAGTTTAATTAAAGGAAATTAAAGTCAATATATCAACAATCAACAATTCATTAAATTTATAATCCTACTTTAAGAAAGTTTAAAAATCTTTTTTTTTATATCTGGAATTACAGCATAAGAGAATAAAATATAAAAATTACATCGTTCCCCATCGTGCTGCTATAATATGTGTTGTTTTATCATTAATATTAATAGTAACCGTAGCACCGAATTGCTTGCAAAGTCGATATGCTTCAACTTTTGTTAAATCTGTACCCACTGGAACTATCCCACTTAATACCACTGAGCAATTTTTTAACACTTTCGCGCGTTCATTCGCAATTATTGTTTTCAAATCCTTAAAGATAATTTAAATAAGAATTTATCAAAATGAAAATAGGAAAATAGGAAAAAATTTTTTAAAACAAATTTTTTTAGATGTGAATTTTTTTAGATCAATTTTTCGCGTTTGACATTACAAAATTTTTGCCTCACATTGCGTCAAATTAATCAAATCAACAATTTATGCTTTCCATTTCGACTACCATCCTACTTGAGTCATTAAAATGATAAAAGCATTACAACTGCAAAACTTCATTCCCTAGTTCAACAATGAAATAAATGAATAGTTTTTTTTAAAGGTTTAGTTAAAACAAATCGCTTTATTATTTTTATTTCCTTTTACAAAATTCATATTTTTCTGCTTTTATTCCCATCGAACATGGAATAGAGCATTAAAAAAATCGAACATATTTTTTTCTTGAATAAGAAATTAAGCACAAAACTTATTTAATATTTAAATACTTTGATAATGAAAACGAACCGTAATAACTTTTCCACCATCTTTATCATAATGATAATAAAATTCTCTATGTATTTTCGTTAAAATATCGGCAACATATTCCAATGTATGATCAGTTTCATCAGAATTCCCTATTACTGAGCAAGCCATAACCTTTCCACCAATTAAGTTTTTACATTTTAATTCTTTGTTTTTTTCTTCTTTTTGAGCTTTTCCCTCAAATCCACTAATTTCGTTTTCATTGGCATGTTCATCCATTTTTGAGTCATCTTCGGATTTTTCCACATTACCAGTGACACTAAAAGACTGCTGAGGTACATCAGTTGAGCTTTTTCCAGAAGTTGACACACTTTCTTCATTATTGCATATTGCGGAATCTTGTGTTATAACAGGCGTTAACAAATTATTCCTTTCAAACGCTGGATTTAAATGATTGCTTAAAGTGTGTCCATTGAAGGTACCAATTTCTTTAAAAAAAAGGAATGGTTTCACCTAAATTATATTTTTATATAAATTTCTAAATTTACATAAATAAACAAAAAATCTTATATAAACAAAAAAAATTTAAACTCAGGTCGATTTTCCTTATGAAGCTAAAAAAAAATGTTAAAACAGTATTTAATTTTCAACAATCGCTAGCAATTTAAAAAACTAATTCTAGAAAAATTTTTTGCATTTAGACTAAAGAAAAAGCAATTAGAACGACCTGAATAAGGGCATCAGAATACTGCCAAACATCGGGGCGATCATCAATTATAGCAATTAACTGATCGCCACATGGAAATAATGACTGCATATTTCTTGTTTTATACATGGCACAAAACAATTCATCACGCGATAATATACCTTAAGAAATTATTTCATGGAAGATGAAGAGCAAAGAGCTTTTTAAATATTTGAGACATAAAATTTCCTTGCAAATTTTTTTAAAAAAACTGACGATGCCCGAAATAAATTTTATCTGGATCCAAAATACTAGCAATCTGATGTGCATACAGCCTTTCGCCATAACTTATTATATGCATTTCAAATAAAATGTTCATTCTTTCTAGAAATTCCCTCGTATATGGTCTTATTTTTGTATAAAATGTTGTCGACTGCAATTTATAACATTTGATATCCTGGAATGAATTATCAATATTAGGAGCATTTTTATTGGAAATTTTAGCAATTTTATTTCAAAAAACTATTATTTGAAAATCGGTCGAAATTAAAGTTTCTTAAAAATTTAAATAACTTAAAACGACTTTATCTCATTTGAAACATTTAAAAAGAAAATTATTATTCATGCAAAAAGTAAAACACACCGATACATTATCACCACTGAATGGACAACTGGTTGAATGAATAAGGGTTTGATCTAAATCAACTAATAACACTAATTTACGAGCTTTTAATACAAATTCACGATCGCGATTACCGATTTCACGAGCCAGCTGAAAATGTATACATTCACCAATACAAAGATTCGATTTAAGAACGGATGGAACTATCCCATCACAACCTCTCATTTTTGTTAAAACTTCCATTTCATCAACATTTAAAATTCGAATCTTCTTCGCAACTGGGAGAAAAATACTGAGAAGTTAGAGAATGAAAAGCAGGATGAGGTAGTGTAATGGCCATTGAGAGGCCTAAGATGGAGTAGAAAAGAGTTTAAGATGATTTTACTGATTACAGCGCGTCTTCACGTGTTAAATAAATTAATTGACGCACGAAATTTGGAAAGCTTTTTCACAAAACTTAATAACTTCAAATTAAACGACTTAAAAAACACGAAAGGCCGAGATAACAGGAAATACAAAAAGTTTTCACAGAATAATAGACATAAAGAACTGGGATATAACATAACGACATGACAGAATCAACAAAGGAACTTTAGAAAATTTTATTATCTGTTATAAAACCTAATAATATGGTGTAGTTCGATATAGCTATAGTTTTAAAGATTAGTGAAGCCGCAAGAAGTTCTCACAAACTTATGAAGGGGCTATAATGAGACTGCGATTATGTAGAGAGATTAAACATAATATTAATACGACAGGACAAAATGATACGGCGAATTTAATGCGACATTAGGGAAATTTAAAAGAATTTTGAGGAATGTTAATGGGATATAATAGATTCCAAAGCAAAATAGGAGAATTAGTCTCAAAAAGATACCAAACTTGGGTTGAACAATAGGATATTAGAGTTGGATAAGTTTTTAAAGTGGAATAGCTGGATTTGGGGCAATATTAAAGCATTATTTAATGAAATGCGGATTGTGAACAAAATTTGGTAGATTTTTAGGAAAATGAAAGTTTTCACACGCATAAAAACATACACGCACCACATATAAACAAATAAACATGCACACATTTATGTATACATATTAATTAGGTAGCGAAATGCGATGTTGTCTATTGTTTCAAATTTATTATATTTTTATTAAACTGGTGGCCCCGACCCGCCAAATAAAACCTTTCATCAGCTCATAATTCTTTACTTTCAAATAAGTTAATAAAAGATAAAGGTCAATTTATAGCAAATATTGTATATTCTTTTCAAAGAAATCGTTCTTCTTCCCTCATTTCCCTCATTTTGGTTCCATTAAGAGGCCCGAGCGGTTGAGTCCCAATATTTCAATATCATACACTTTGTTGTTTAACATCCTTTGCATTATTTAATCATTTCTTATTTGTTTTGAAATATTGAAATATTGTCACCCTTTAATTCGTATCGAATATTGTTTTCTCTGTATAGGTGTTAATCGGTTTAATTAGCCAAGTCTGAGGTATGAATAAAAGTTTTATTAATAAATGCAGTAATCAGTGTTTATTCTATTGTCCTGATTAACCAGTCGGATCAAGGTTGTTCTAAAATATTAACGCGTGGCAGGCGAGGGATATCCCACTGCTTTCAGACATTAAAAATGGATTAACAATAATATTATTAAATATTATTTTTACAAACTAATAGCAATTATTATAGAGATTATTATTAAATCAGTGAAAATAAATTTGATTTTTGATTCTAAATTTATTTCAGTTCATTTCGATAGCATAATTTTCCCACACTTTGAGAAAAAAAGAAAAAATATGATTGAAAATTAAAACCTGGATGAAACTGGAAATTAAAATTTTTTTATAGCTTAAATTTTTTTATATAAAATATTTCTATAATTAATTTGATACTTCTTCAAGCAGATTCTCTTATTATTCTTTGCATCTATTTTTTTAAAAAAATATAAATTTACTTGGCTAGAAACAATTAATTCCGGGACGTGATGAATCATAGAAACGCTTGCAGCAGGTGCTTCATTAAGTATTCCAGTCACTGAACCATGCCTTTAATGAATTAATAGAAATATTCGATTTTCACAGTAACAGAGAAACCCTAATTGAATTCATTTGAACTCATCCGGTTTACATTCTTTATTGAATTATTAAACTAGTACAGCAAGAAGATTCGCGCAATATCAAATTTAGTTGATTTAAATTTTTAAAATTAATTTATTAAAGCACCATTCGGAATTTTGCATATGTTTAAAGCATTCATAATTTTTCATAAATAATTTTGTTAAAGGATTTCCCACTAAAATTATCGAAAGAGAAAAGAAACATACGCCGCTCTAAAATCCTTTCCACACGTGGCACACATATCTTTCATAACTATTTCATGTTTACACGGTTCAATTGTAGCAACTGTCATTCCATATTTCAGTAACTAAAATTATAATAGGGAACATTTCACTAATGAAAATAGTTGAAAAATAATTTTCGAAAAAAATTCGAAAAGTGCCTTATTAGGCAAATCTTACGCATTTATCAATACCTATGAGAAATTTCCAAGAAATTTCGCTACGCAAATCAGAATAAGTTGGGCGAGGAAGGATGGGAAGTTGGAGGGCAAATACGATGAAACAATCGAAAAGAAAATGAAAATCGAACATCATTTATTGTAGTAGTAAAACATCATTATTAAGGAAATAACATGTCAAATGCAGTGAATCATGAAAATAATCGTGAAAATCGTGAAAATAAAATTAAAAATTTAAATAATAACTGAAACTTTAAAAATAATCGTATAATCGCAATCTTTTTTATTACATTAATTTTAACGGCAAAATTGATACTTTTTAGTCAGAAATTTGAAAATTTAAAAAATCCATAAAAGCACATACGAATCCTTTTTTAAATGTTTTGCTATCGATATTTATAATACCATCTGCACTCGCTTTCAACTGACAAATCTTTTTCAATTTCGAATAATTTAAAAGATGAGCATTTTTACGAATGTATGAACCGTTGCACACTTTCCAATTCAAAAATTCACCATCGTCACTGTCTTCATATATAATCGCTAATTTTTCATCCATTAACGCTGTAGAAAATTCACTTCAGATTAGAATTACTGAACAAAACAAAAGTAGAAATGAGTGATAATAAAATAAAAACTATACAATACGTTGTCCACCAAATTGCCATAATTCATAGAGATAATCAAGTGAACACCGTTTATGCTTTGAACAGAAGTGGACCTTCATTAAAAATCCTATTGGTGCTGTGGATCCTTTGCTGCGGAAATACCTCACCATCTAAGAGCAATAGGATCGCGCCTAGCGCCAATCATTTATGTATGCCGTAATGCTTGCACTTATACAAATATTCAACTCGTACGAAACCCACATGGCCACCCACATAACAAAAACGCTTGGGCCAATTTGTGCCGAACAATGAGGATACTACCAACCGCAACAACAATATGGCTGGTACCGAAGGAAGTCCGACTAATTTGCCTCCTTTAGCATACACATTCTTCGAACAAGACAAAGAAGTGCCAAGACCGGAGGGTTCTGCATAGGTTGAACCTTCACAATAACTACCCAAACACACTTCCACCCACACTACTCCAAACACGACACTCTCGCCATTCCACAATATCTATCCATTAATTCCGTCATTGCTAAATCTAAAAACTATTAATAACAAACCACTTGCATTACTCCATCCTGGAAGCTCCCATACATCTTTACTTCCAACCGCTGATGCAATCCACAAAACACTAAGTACACAGAATATCGAAAAACAAGCAAAAAAGAAAGCACTGTAAACTTTACCTTTGAAAAACTTTTATCGTACAAAAACACATATCAACATAGAACAAAAAAACGACTGATAAACATTCAATACAATTTTAGTACATAATTTTTTTAAAAAATTTTTTACAATTTATGTAAATGAAAGATAAAAATCATTAAAATTCAAATTCTAAACAATTTTAAATACATTGTTGGAAATTATTCAAAAAGACAATCAAATCAAAATTGCAAAAAAATATTTCCCAACTGAATAAACGAAATTATTTTTTAGTTAATTTACTTTTAGCGAAACGTTCGTTTTCCGACAAAAGTATCATTTTGATTTTTTGCCGAGCGTTGAATTGCTTGACGGGCATTGCTGTCGATAATGCTGACGAATTCTCAAACACGCTCTCGCGATTTATTTTTTTCTGCAATAAAAAAAATCCGCAAAAATTTTAATTTTCATAATTTAATGATTTCGACAAATTGTTTATCTATTGATAGGGTACGCAAACAAACAAACAAATTCAAAGAAATAAGCCAAAACGAATTGGTAATTTATATTTAAGTGAAAATAAAGAACGAAGATAAAATAAATATTTCTAGTAATTATTTCCACCTGGACCACCATAAACATTTGCTAATTTTGCTAATCTTAACAAATTTCCAATGACTTTCTTAATTCTCTCAATTTCTGTGATTATTGTGAATAATAAAGGAAAACGAAAAAAAGAAGTAGTGAACTCCGGAGGAAAAAAAATATCCGGAAAATCATAAAGTATAATCTCAATTTTGACTGTACTCAATTCTTACTCAAATTTTTTTTAAAATGGACTTTTGGAAAATTATTTCATCAAGAAATATTGAACGAAATAAAATCCAAAAATAACCAAGATTTAATATATAAAAGAATGGAGTATAAAATTTCTTACAGTATTAACAGATTTTGATTCGACAGTGGATTTTTCCACGCATATTGCATTTTTGATAATAGCGCTTTGACCAGGTTTTGACACATCGATTTCCTTTGATTCAGCCAATCTTCCAATATTGATCGTTTTGTCATCTTCCGTACTACTTCTTTGAACATCACCTTTCTTGCGTTTCATAGAATCTAACCTCGGAATCTTTGAGGGAATTTCATCAAGAACATTTTCTGTCAAATTTTTATCTGGATTTTTCCGCAAGTGTTTCATACTTTCTTTGTCTGAATTCCTTTCATCATCTATATTCTTCTTTTCCACCTTATTTGCCTAAAAAATATATAAATTACAAATTAAAGCTTAGCTTATCTCTATCTTGAAGAAATTTAGAATAAACACAAATAAACTGCAAGTGAAATACGATGTGTTTTCGATATCTGAATTACTAAATTATTAGCCAAAACTTTGCAAAAATTTGTGTCTTATCACTAAGGAGAATTTGGAAAAATTCACCTCCTTTGCTGAAAAACTGGAAGGTTCACTGGTGTGAAGAAATTCGAATCGATATTTAGACGATTTAATATCTCTTTCTTTCTTGTCCTTTTCTTTCATATTTTCCTCTCTAAAATCATTTCTAAACAGTAATTTTTAAACCATTTAAATTATTTTTAAATTTAGATTATGAATTTTATATAACGAATATCAGAAATATGGAGAAACTAATTATGAACAACACTTTTCACCGAAAATTTCCAATATTTGAAAATATAAAAAACTTATTTTCTTAATTTTCTTAACATGCTTATCAAAAAAATCCGTATAAAATAAGCAATACTTTTCTCTTGCCGAACGATTGCTTTCAATTTTTTTTCGAGTATCTCTTTCGTTTTTTTCAGTGTTTCCTCGATCCAAAATCTGAATATGTTTTTCCTTTCCACTGTCAATTTCTTGGCGTCGACTATCCATCTCTCTTCTAATTTTTCTTTCATCACCAGTTCCACTTTCCTTTTCTTTTTTTTCACGCTTATTACCATGTCTTCCTTCATAATTTTTACTTTCAACAGAAAATTCGGAATTTTTCTGATCGACTTTCGTTTCACGCTGGCTGTCGCTTTTAGTTCGTTTTTCATTCTTGTTTTTCCCTTCATTTCTTTCTTCAACTAAAGATTGTTTTTTCCAACGTTTACTATCCTCATTACTTTCTTCACTTTTAAACCCTTCATGAGCCATATCTAATTCTTTGCCTCCGAATTCTTTATTCACTGACGAACCTGAATATTCTTCCACACTTTTTAAATTTTCTTCCGTTTCATTAACACTAAGATTCTTAATAGTTATATCTTCAGAGAGTTCCTTGGTATTCAATTTTTCCTTCTCTTTTCTTCGCCTCCGTTCCTCTCTTCGCTTTTCTTTCTCATATTTACGTTTTTCCTTTTCTTCACGACTCCGCTTATGCTTTTTGCTCTTGCGTTCACCATCATCGCTATGATGCCTTTTTTCCTCATGATGTTTATCCAATCGTTTGTGCTTTCTACGCTTCTTTCTTTTCTTCTTTCTACTCTTTCGTTCAGCTTTATCTACGCTTTCTTCCCGATCTTTTGTTTTTGAACTACTGAGTTCTTCATCCTCAGCTTTTATCATGGATGAAATATGATTATCATCGATATTTTGACTTTCGTCTTTCAGTATATCATTATCTTCATTAATTTCATGATCTGGTTCATGTATATATTCTAGAACAACTTCGTCTGGTGTAGCACTCGCAATTTCTGTCTCTAGTAAAGAATTAGAAGCAGAGTCCTTAACAACTATTTCAGCCATTTGAACTTTATCGAAATTAGGTTCTAGATCACCAGTTCCATCGTTATCCTTTTCTTGATCAACCGAATTCACCTTGGCTATTTTTCTTGGAGAACTTTCCTGCTATAAAAGTAATAATTTAATAATAATAATTTTAGAGTTCAAAATCAAAATTAAAATATTAAAAATGGAAAAAAAAATGTAGGAAAAATTTAATTGTTGATATATTTTTAACAGGTTCAAATATAACTATTTAATACCTTCGATTTTCGTCCATCCAAATCTGATTCATCTATTGATTTTCCTTTCGAATCCAAATTGATTTCTAAATTCAATCGCCCGCGAGATTCGTCCTTCGTATCCCTTGTTGCTTTGCGATTTTCTGTACTTTTATTTTCGTTATCTCTTTTCTTTTTCTTCACATCTTCATGTTTATAATAATCCTTCCTCTCACGTACACGTTCCTTATTCTGACTAGTTCTTCGCCTGAAAAGTAAAAGTAAATGCTTTTTCCCTTAGGTACTACGAAAGAAAAAATGCGACAAAATTTTCCTGAAATTAGATAAATTCTCATTCGACAATTGTAACTTTATTAAGTAAGTGAAATTAATTTTTGATCAAACTCGTTCCATTAAAACAGATGTCTCCATGAATTTTTCTCTATAATAAAAAATACCCTACTCTTACGGGAGGTATAAACACTGACGCTTGAAACGATAATCCAAACCAAAACACCCTATCCTACATCAAACCATATCAGAATTATAAAAATACCCATTTTGAAAAAAGATTATAAACTAACTTCCTTTCACTTCCTGAATATCTAGGCGAACGACGTTTCAGAGTGCGTTCATCGCTATTTCTAAAAGAACGGTGCGCGGAAGATACAGCAGCGCCATAATGAGGATATGGGAGCTGGTTGGGCAGAGGATATGCAAGTTGAGAAGATTGAAAACCACTCAAAATAGAAGGAATGCGATGATGAGAAACAGGAATGCCAAGAGATGCTTGTGAATGATGTTGATAATATGCAAATGGTGCTACATCACGATGATGATGAGAACTGATGTAACCACGCAATGGAGATCGCGACCTTAACCTTCGAATTATTTTCCTTTTAATTCCACTTTTTAAAATGAAAAAAATGAAAACATGAAAAAACTATGAAATCGCTAATGCACACTTATTACTGTAATTATTTTTGATAAAAATTGCAGTATTTGAAATTATAGAAAAAAACGAAAAGACGAAACGAGAAATTTTAAAAAAATCAAAAATAAAAAATACCTATTTCTTCTTTCTCGGCTTGATCGACGCCTATTTCTTCTAGAACGCTCTCGGGACCATGAGCGAGATCGTGAGCGAGAAGATTCAGAAGAAGAGGACGAAGATGTTTCAGAAGTTGAAGAAGATGAGCTTCTTGCAGAGCGACGATGCCTCTGAGGGTGCGCAATTTTTTCCTGTATGTTTTTACAGTATAAAATTATTTATAAAAATTCCACAATGAAATTCCAGAAAATAAGCCAAATAAATGAAAAAAGTACAAAAGTATTTTTAAAAAAACGCAAAAACGCACTTTTTCTTTTCTCTCAATGAATTCATCCCAAGCATCCTTAGCTGGAGGAGGCGCAGCAACACGCGGGAACATAATTGGTGCAGACAAACCTGAATTTAAAAAATTAAATCGAGAATCTAGAATAGAATGAGCATAATCTATAAGACAAAAGTTACAAGTTACCTGGAGGTGGTGGCTGAATTCCAGCGCAATAAAAATGAGGATGATTCAAGGAGTTCATAACATCCAGTGTGCTAGAAAAAATATTATTAAAAAATCCAAATAAAAAAATAAAAAATCTGTAAAAAACGATGTAAAATCTTAAAACTCACTTATCTCGAGAACCAGGAGGACGAATACTTGAATCCACATTCCCTGGCACATTTAAAGGCATTGGTGCATAACCAGGTGGAGGTTGACTGAGATTGATAGGAAACAAAGTATTTTGATGTGGTACAGAAGCCAAAGGACTATTGTGAGTATTGACCGGAATATTCAATGGCGCAACTGGAACTGAAACTTGTGCTGAGATTGGGACGGCTGATGATAACGCAGTTACCGCAGTCACTGATACTACAGTACTGGCAGAATCAGTTGGCTGAGCAATGTATGTTGCAGGCTATAAAAAGATGAAATTTAATGATTTGGATTTTAATGAATAAAAATAGAAAGGGGAATAAGTAAGTCAAAAAACCTGAGGTTCTTGAGGTATATGAGGAATATTCTGTTGAACGACAGGTTGCTGGGGCTGTTGTGAACGACTGCCAAGTTCAATACGAACTCTACTTGGTTGAGATGGTTGTTCATCAAATCGTGGTGAATTAATTGCAGCTTAAAAACTTATTTTTGCTTTTTTTGATAAAGCGAATTCATGCTTTTTTAAAAGAAAAATATCTTTCCAAAACTCCTTAACAAGTAGGAAGTTTTTCTTCATCAACTGATTAGCCATTTTCGAAATTGTTATCCATATGAATAACGGCTTTAAGCTGAAAAAACTATCTCGCTAACTCTTAGTAAATAAATTTTAAAAGTTGAAACCATTTTCAGAAATTTTGGCAGATTTTTCTTGTTGTGATAAATTTTTGACGGCATCATTTAGGTTTGGAAATGAAGCGCTTGACTGTAAAGTATTGTGAGAACCAATAGGAGCGTTTTTAAATGCTTCCACTGCTTGACGCACCTTAAAATTTCACTTGTTTATGTGTACCAGAAAACTTCTTTTAATTCTTTTTGAAAACGAAGAAAGATTTATATAAAATTTGACAACCAATTTTACCTAGTTTTACCAGTTATGGATAGCTGAAATTCATATGAAACTAGTTTCAGCCCATCTTTTAGCCGAGCTGATTTCAAATTCGATATTGATCAAAAGACGTAATAAAGATTGGAAGGACTGAAGATTTGAAAGATCTCTACCATATATCTCTACTTAGAACCACAAAAATCATTTATTTTAATAATTTTCTGATTAAAATATACATTAAATAAATGAAATTCCCAATAATTCCAAATAACATATATTCAACCAAAGCTCACAAACAAAAAACAAACTTTGATATTAGGTACGAGTTTATCAGCAGAAAGTGACATTTGATAACATCCTGCACCAGGGCATTTCGCATTTGACGATTCAAGCAAACACTGTTGTATACATTCAGCACAAAAACTTTCACCACAACAAGTTGTAACTACAGCATCACGCAATAGCTGTTTACATAAAAAACAAGTGAATTCCTCCGGAATTAACCTGGAAACTTAAAACTTTAAAATCGACATCCAAGAATTTGTTAAAAACTGTATAAAAGATAAGGTTCTACGAACTATTCAAGAAGAAACTACTACAAGACAAAAATTACATTGAGATGAATTATAAAAAAAATGGAAAATTAAAACATGGAAGGCAGGAATAAGATTAAACAAGATAAAAAAAAGAGTTAAATCGAAACCATAATGGTATTTAGTCTTTTTTTAGCTCATTAAATAGATAAGGATAGATAAGGATGTAGAGATAAGTACAGTCTTCAGTTTTATATTTTATAAAAAATATCTTGCGCGATGAGGTTTTTTGAGCCGCAAACAGTCTGTTTGTTGCATTTATTTCAAAACGAATTACAAAATCTACACTTAATATAAATGATTCGCAAAACGATCATTAAGTTCGATGGGAAACAATCTATAACCTATGCAAAGGTCAAAAGGTTTGATATATTCATTTAAGAACTCATTTGAAAATTGGTTTGCGAATATAACAAAAGAAGTTTTCATCAGCTTTAAAGGAATACAAAACTAACCTAACTTCTTGTTCAACATTATTAGTAGACTCGACTTTTTTTTGTTGCCTAGCTTTCCAATGCATGATTGGTACCATATATTTACCTGAGCTATGCAACATAGCTAGTGGATCATCAGATGTAGTTTCCATTAATTCTTCCATAGTAATGCCAGTTGTACGACGAGTATTTAGCTGAAATTTTTCTTAATATCCTATTAATTATTAATCACAACCATCAGTCATTCTAAATAAAAAATGAAACCAATAGGTGATTGAAGAAGATAATGAGAATAGACTGAGATGAATCTACCAAAGGAACCTTACTGATTATTAATTAACAGAATCAGAAATCAGAATCAGAAATTTCCAACAAAAATCAAAAGGTTTATGATTTTATAAAAGTTTTCACTTTTTCCTTTCTTTTATAGGATTAAGGAGGATAAAAGAATTACTTATCCTTCATAGAATTAAGGAGGATAAAAGAAATTAAAAGTAAGACATCACTACGATATGAAATAACTGCTTATCGAATCAATTAAAAATTTAATGGTTACTGGTTTCATTAATATAATACCATTAATTAATTATTAACTTGTCTTATTCGCTAATAAAAGAATCTTAAAAGCGTTATTACAACGTAAAAAATCTTGATAATCATATATATTTTATTAGACAAATTAAAATTTCAAACATCAATCTTAAAAAAAATAGAAACATAAATATCCATTTATATTCCTAATTTTATAACAAATTACAAAATTTACAAAATGTAACAGAGAAGGAAAGAATGGTTTATAATATCTGAATATTTTTTAAACACATTCCGGCCAATGCCCATTGTATACTTAATGAAATACTCTGTTATCAAGATTCTTAGAAATACATTCCAAGAAAACCGAATTACTCTTCCAAACGATCGGAAAAATATTTCAAACCCAATAGGAAAAACTCTTGAACACCACAATATACAGATCCCTGGCAAAAATTTTCAAATGGTGGAATGCTTATATACAACGATGGGTTCATAATCTTCAAATACAACCATCTAAAAATTTTTCTAGAATTTTCATTAGAAAATAAACAACTATTAATTTGTGATACAAGGTTTCCTGAAACTTATCGAGAACAAAATATTTACTTCGGTCAAAATTTTTACACACTTCACAAAGATAAAAAAATAACGAAAAATAATATAATACCCGTACTATTCGAACTGAGCAACTGAGCATTAATTACAAAAAAAAAAAAAACAAATATAAATTAATTCGATTCCCCAGTGAGGTCGAACATATGAGGTTTAAACTCCGCATTGCAATTACTGTAACAATTTAAAAAATATAAAGACTTAGCCAGTAGTAAAACTGATATTTTCAATACCATTGGGCAGTTTTTATACCAGTGGCCAGGTTGAGAACATCGATTGCATATGTATGTCGGCGGTGGAGGACCTGACATTATTGATGACGTCTTTTTTTGGAAGCTGAAAATTTTTGAATAGCTTTAAAATATTAAAAGTGGTAAAATGGACATAAAAAACCTGATTTCATTATAACCTTAAATCTCACAGAATTCATAAATTCAAGTCTAAAAAATTTATTAAAAAAGATGACAACAGTTTTCCCCAATTTTACCAATGACTATGTTGTTACTATACTATGGTGATATAAGTATTATTTACTTTGCAGGCGAATATTTATAGGATGACACTTCTTTTACATGCGCCAAACGTTCATTCTCTGTCATTTTCTCATATTGGTCCTGAAATTTGAAACACTTCTCTTAAGCAAATAAAATAATTTTTAAAAGAAAATTGAAAAATGAATATTAATGACCAAAGTAAAACTAACTGAATCTATATGTGTAACAAAATTTGGTTCAGCAACAGGTTTGACGACAATTCCAGAATTCGCAGTATCTCTACAAATAAGTGAATATTCACATAATTTCCTAATATCGATTGCTTTATGAAATTCTGAATAACTATTCCATTTTATACCATGAAAAAAAGTACCATTATGTAGAATGTAAAAAAAAAATTTTTAGCAGACTAACTGTATTTTTGGAAGTTTTGATGCATTATCTCGTGGTGTTCGTTGCACAATAACGGACGAATTTCTCGGAATAAGTTCTTCTGCCACATATTGCCGTTTTGTATGTGCATTTGTTAAAATTAGATCAAATGAATCTGCCTAAATAAAATGCCTTTAATCAAACACCTTTAAAAGTTTCAAAATATTCAAAAAATAATAGAAAATGACATAATAAATCCTCTATTTTTCCAGCAAATTTCAGAAAAAAAACCAAACTTCGCTCGAAAAAAAATGAAACAAACAAATTCCATAAATAACTAACTTTAATATTTTCTTTTTCACAAATTTCTCTCTTCAATTCATTCACTGAAATGTGAAGACCATCAAAACTTAAGGTTTTATATTCGAGTGTTGCTTTGAATTTGTAATGTATTGAAGACATACTGAAAAACGCAAAATTTTAAAATCCCCGCTCATAAATTTTTAAATAATTCTAAACGATTTCCATATTATAGATTTCCTTGGCTATTAATTTACAATATATCGTAAATGAGTAAACGCGACCAAAAAGCACAAAATTCGCCACAAGGGAACTATAAAAAATAAGTGCGGAAAAATGAATCATTTCATTTATGGCCTCGCAAAACAATTTCTTTTCGTTAGCGATAAGTCAAACTTATATTCCTTCGGCTCAGAGCAAACACTTCGACCACTGAAAGTGAAGTCCGGGAGGGTACCACATGGCACATTTTGTGAGTTTATCGTCAAAAAATCCCATTGCCGCAACAAATGAACCAAGCCGAATCAGACTCAGTAACGAAAAGAAAAATGGATAACAAAACTATTTGAACGAATGAAATCAGAAAATTAAAAATTGATACACTCAATTTTATCAATAAAATATCTCAAAATCATAGTATTTGGAAATTTAGAAATTTTTATTTGGAAATTTTTAAAACTGATTTATGATTTACAAAATATCAGTGGACGATGCTTATACAACAAAGACAGCCAACGGATAAAAATATTTTTTAATCAGTGATAGGCATTACACCAATGACAATCCGACACCGGCCCGACCAGCGATAAACAACCCTTCCCAACGCAAAAGTAATATACGACAAAGTGGTTACATTGTTGCACGAGCCATAGTGCGAACCCCATGCAATATTTTCCCTTTAAAACCCAAATTGAATTCAGCAGCGAAAAATCCAAACACCACCTGACAGTGCCACGTGGATACACAAATTTTTCGATCTTTTTTAAATAAACATTTAAAAGAAAAATCGTTGAAATAAAGCTTTATTTGATAATGCAAATTATTTAATTAATTTAATAAATTTAAATTTAAAAAAATTTATGAATAAATTTATGATAATCTAAAACTGCCCGAAAATTACTTAAAACTTTTATTCTAGCAATAACAAACTATAATGACAATGAAAATAGTAAAAAATAAACTGATAACGACAGTACTTGGATAATGAAATTAGTGAAAGCAGAAGGCTGAGGGGCTAAAATTTTTAGAAGCACAACAGGAATGAGCACTGACACACTAATAAAAATTTTATGAATAACACAATATAACTAATCTCAAATAAATAAAAATAAACTAAAATAATGAATTAAATAAAAATACAACGAAAAAATTGATTTAAATAGTAATAATAATAAAAGCACAACGAAAAAAATGTATAACACTTAATGAAATAATGAAAAATAACAAATGATTTGTAAGTGTTATAGACGAATTAATGCGAAAGTTGAACGGACAAAATTTAAAGCCAGCAATTCATTTGACTTAAAATTATCCGCAATATTCATAAAATTATTCGGTATAAATTAAAATGTGCCCTTTGATGAAAATCTAAAATAGAAAACCGATGCTTTAATTGGAGATTGTTTGTGGGAAACCTGACGGGTATAAGCGATATATAAGACCTATCAGCAAATGGAAAAGGCTACTATGGGACCATAAAAGTGGAAAATGGACTAACCTTGCCTACTAGCCTAGGCCCAACTAACCGCATATAACTAAGAAAATGCTGATTAGCAATGAGAAATGGAATTCTCGCTTTAAGACCGTAAATTATTAACAGCTAAATATCTCATTTGATTTGGCATTGTGCCAACGTTGGAATTTCCTTCTAAATTCTTATTTCCATGGATTTACTATTCAAGGATGTGAAGTAAGGTGGAATCAGTAAGTCGGCAAAATAGTGAGTGGGGTACTTTCCAAATTGTATGGGACCAGCAGAGTCGTTCCATTATGTTTCGAAATGGCTGCTGGGGACCCATCTGTATTTCAGTCCCAAGTGACTCTATGGTGAAGATTTCAGACGGTTTCATCGCATTCTCTCCCCGTTTGGTGGTACATGCGAAGGTTGGGTTGGGATACCAGCGCCATGTGCATGCGGAGATGGAGGGTCCGACTACCGTCCACAATTCGTCCAAATATCCGCTGGCTATTGGAAATCCACTGTAGGAAATTCATTTGCCTAATTCTGCGTCCAGAGACGTGATTATACCTCGTTCAAATAAGAACTACTGCATATGTTTCGGGCAAATTAGGGAAAAATGAAGTGTGCGAAAGGATGCACGATCGGCTCTGATCTATGGAATCTTCTTAATAACCGGCCGGTTGGCTTTAGTGTTACTCCTAGTGTAGTGTTTATACTCCTACTCTGTGCACGAATGATTCGAAAGACGGATTTTACGTTGAGGTTAATCTCCTAGTAGCATTTTTCCACGAGTGTTGTGCGCAGAATAAGAGTGTGTCGGAATAAGTGTAAGTTACGAGTTCCCCTATCATCTGTGGCGACAAATATGACTATGGGACCAGTGGAGAATCATTACTTTACTTAGGAGTATTTTGCTTAATATTTGCTTTCAGCATTGCAGAAGACATTGCGACATCTAGTTACGTCGCCAATATCAACATTTGAATCGGTTATATGTATTTTAGTTAATTAATGATGGAAGAATTCCACACCAGATAGCCGTCCACATCGCGGAAACTAAGATACAATTTAAGGCCAACATAACCAGCGAAAAGATGGTCTCTTCAAATGTTGCTTAACTGTCAACATATGCGCTTTACTGGAATGGGATAAGGAATAAATACTATATGACTGAAGTAAGATAATTCTCCTCCTAATTCTCAAAATGCATTGCGATAACTTGCTGGACATTTCTGGGAAAATTTTTTGTTTCCATTCTAATACGCGAGATTGAGGATGACAGTTGCCACCGCCAAGGGGTGAGAAAAGAATTTTGTATATATATACCGATATAATGTGCAATGCACAAATATTTTGTTGAAATTTTCGAATGGAAGGGAAAAAATATTATCTCGAGGATGAAATTTATCCATCTACTTACATTTGGGAGGGAGGGGGGGGGGGGAGGGAGGGCATTATCTTTGATATAAATAGGTAGCCCATTCATTTTATGAAACTGGATGAAATGGACCTAATTTACATAAGGTATAATTGTATTAATGATGGCTCACGTAGGTGAGTAAAGCGGTTTGTAGATTGTGCTGATCGGACTAAAAGTAAGCCTGAGGATATCTAAAGGAAGGAATTATATTCTATGGTAGTAACCTGTTTCTACTTCTAACCTACTTAACTTCTTTAACCTACTTCTTTAAAAAATAAGCAAAAAAGACTTTGAAGCATATACTCTCTTATAAGGTCCTTCCTTATTACAGCTGCTCCAGCATAGATATTATAAAAAATAGATTAATAATTATTGATTGGAAGCAGTGGGATGATGCTCACCTGCCACGCGTTAATTATATTAAAATGATTTTGATCCGGCTGCTTTCTCAGGACAAACAGATAAACACTGGTCACTGTACATATTAATAAAAATCTTTTATACCAATTAAATCTTTTAAACCAGTTAATATAGAGACAGAAAAAATAATATTCGATATGAGTTAAATCCAGAGTTAACTATTTCAAAACAAATAAGAAGACTTAAACAACGTAAGGGATGTTAAATAACAAAATGTATAATATAGAATCTTGGGATTTAACCGTTCAGTCCCTTGATGGCACCAAAAATGAGGCAAGAAACACTTCTTGAGAAGAGTATACAATATGTAAATTGATCTTTTATTGCATATTTAAAAGTAAAGAATTAATGTGTTGATGAAAGGTCTTATTTGGCAGATCGGGGCTACCAGTATGAAATAATAAATTTGAAATAGAAGAAAATATCGCATTTCGCGACAGATATGTTAAAAATAATTAATACTTTTTTAGAACTATCTTTAACCTAGCAAGGATCCGCTATTTGTAGTTCTTTATATGCTTTCATTGTAAAAAATTTGCAAAATTTTACCACGCTGTGGAGGTCATATTGTGTCATTTAAATTTGCTATATTACTGGTACATACGAGCGGAAACGTCAAATCTTGTCGGAGAAGCAAAAATAAATTTGTGCCTTGGGAGAAGTCGTTTGGGAGAAGAGGCTCACAGCTTAGACATTAAAATATTCAACGCGAATTTCCCGAAGATATTGACATTTTACATCCAAACAGATAAGTACTGACCAATCAACCAGATATCGTGCTAATAGACAAGAATTAGAAATCAGCACTGGTGATGGATATGACAAATGTCACAAGCGGCGAAAACAAAAAGGGCACTTTGCGTTGCGTTCGGCCCTCTTCCACTCCTTTGTGCTTCACCAGCAGGGTTTTATATCCTTCACTGGGTATTCACATTATTGCATGTTTTATTGAGCCTTCTTCACCTTTCCAGTTTTCCTTTTGCTTTCTTTATGGTGTCCATCAAAAATATATATATGTATATATGGACATATAAAAATATATATGTACATTTTTTTTTGAATATTTAAGGCTTTGAAAATTTCTTGTCAACATCCTCTTCATTGATCCTTAATCAATTAATTTGTTCACTAACTGCTGATTCGAATGCATTTTCCATTTTTATCGCCCCATGTAATCTTTTTCATATCTTTCGCGACAGCAATGGGATAGGAACATTAGGAAGATGTAATATGAGAAATACCAAGGGATGAAAGAGCTTGAGGTATGAAATGTGGACGATACCAATGATAATTCTTCTTCCTCTTCTAACAGCTCTCATAATTACTGGTTAGGCTGGCTATAAGACATCTCCAAGCTGTCTGGTCCGATGCCATCGCTAGTAGTAATAGAAGCCATTCCTTTTTCCATCGTCTAAGTTTATATATCGCTGGTCCCCCTTATACGTTCAAAATCTTTCACTAAACTAGAAAAGTTCAACAGATTCCAGGAACAACATTAGAGAGATCTCTGAGCAAAAATTGCACTGTTGAAAAAAATTAAGATATTACGCAAATTTCCTTCTCAACTCTCAAGCCTCTCAAATAACTCTCAGGAGTTGAGGGGAATCCATACCACCCACAGGGAATTAGAAAATAAATGGTTAAGTCATATATTTATTTATTCCGAATTTTACGTAGAATATGACATCACGAGCTATCTACTATTTCTCGTGAGGCTAGTTTTACCAACTTCCTGTAAATTTTTTTATCAAGGAGTTAGTTATTCGGTGATAAAATATTATATATGACAAAATCGCCTCTGTCAGCAGTTGGGTTCAACTCTTTCTTTAAAAGTCCAATTAACGATGATTCGGTTATCCTGTTTCCACTACATAATATAATATAATATAACACAATATATATTGATCAAAATGGATTTTAAATGCGCAAATAATTCAAATTTTTTGAAAAAAATTTGAAAATTTATAATTTCATATTTTAACAATTCTAAATTGTAATTTTTATTTCTATATTCTATTTTTATATTCTAATTCTTTAATTTTATTTAATTTTTCTGAATTTTTTTAAGACGTACGTGTGTGTATATGTATGTGCACCTATAACGATTGCACTAATTTTTTCTGAAATTACCTAATTTTAATCCCATAAAATTAAAAGTGCAAAATTGGTACGGATGCTTTTTTGATACTTTTTTGCTGCGGCCCTTCAGTAACGGCACATTAGTGCAAAATTCTGGATACTTCTCGACCGTGCTCGTTCGTCTTTCTTATTTTATTTTAAATTTAATAACACTCATTTAAAATTTTCTTCAGATGCTCTCAGCCTCATTTTTAATTCAGTAAACTCTCTTTGGCTTGTCTTTTCTCATCTATTAAAACACTATTAAATATTAAAACACCTCGCCAGCACCATTCTGAGCTTCCGTACGTTGTATGGATATGTGCTCCATCGGTTGGGACTACCCAGCCAAACCAAGAATTGCAATGACCATAAATTCCAATTGGTCATTCAACTTCAAAGGTTTTCAGTGATTTCGCGACAACCATGGCAGCTTTATGAGCGGAATTATTCTCAGCCTATGACTTTTGAAATTTGCGTTGGATTAGTACTACAAAAAAAATGATATTTCGTCACGATTTGGAAGGTCATATGCCGCATGTTTTTTTGCGTTATCATGCTTGTTGTATACTAAGCATATTTGCTTCTGAATTTAATTTAATATTAAATTTTTTTCTAAAATCCCTGAAAACAATTTGATATCCTTTGAAAAATTTTATTTTCAAATATTGCAACGTTGAGAAATGCGACGAAAAAGTAAAAATTAAAGGTATAGAAGATTAATTTTATTTAAAAAAATTGAACATAAATTAATAACAATTCAATAAACCAGAAATAATGAAAGCAAAGTGGAGCGGAAAAATGATGGTCGGCAAATTTTTTTGCGCGAATCTCCTAGACAATGCCATGAAAATCCATGAATTCCCAGTACAACATTTTCAAATATTTATTGGTTTTCTCATCTAAGAATTTTGAATATTTCTTAAAATATTAAAATTGAATAATCATCATTCAAATAAAATAAGAATATATATATCGAATATGGATCTCCCATATTGGACTCTTCCTAAGAGGGTCGATGGAGAGGAAGGATCCGTGGGAATCAGCATGACGATCTCTGCTATAGATTTATCAATCTCTAATAAGAATGAAAAGTAAGAAAATATTTTCTTTTCCATATTTCCTCGAAAGAATCCAAAATTTTTAAAATTTAAAAAAAATAAATTCTTTGGACATTACGTAAAGCAGACTGAATTAAATGCTATTCGTTGGTACAGGATCCATCAAAAGACTTTTACATGGCGATGATCTTCTATTAGGACGTATTGTTACAGTTTCAGGGTGATCCAAATACGACTGTTCTTGCGAGCCATTAATCCTAAGAAGAATTTTGTCAAAATAAAGCTTTTTGAAAAGGTTTTTATTGTAAATGAAAGTAAATTTTAATCAGTAATTTATTAGTGGTTTATTTCTATGATAAACCTATGTTACGTTATTATATTTCTCTCTCTTCATTTTTCGTTATCACTCTTAAAACAATCATCATTTTTACGGTAAATAACGAACGGTATCGTTAAACCTGTATGTGTTCCACATTCTTTTCAGTATATCGGTTGTCACCAGTTCATTAGAATGAGTCGATATCATTCGTAATAAAATAATTATATCAGCCATAATTTTTTGTTCGCAAAACTCATGAAATTTCTTTTGTTCATTCGATCGTAATTTAATAAAACTTAAAAATATAATTATTTTTTTTGGATTTTTAAAAAATTTTTATTTTTATTTTCTATTTTCAATTATATTTGTCTTCGATAAGTTTTTGAAAGAAGAAGACGAAATAAAATGAACTTGCTGATGTAATTTTTTCGTCGAAAAGCAAATCGAGTGTTTATAATCCAATAAATTATATCAAAAAAAGTTAATAATGCAACCATTATGTACCACCAATATAAAAACAAAAATATTTTTTCATTGAACATATTCAATACGAGAACACATTGTATCGTATAACGATGCATATTGCCCAACATACGAACCTAAATTTGCAGTTTATTTCAAAAATACGTTTAATTAAGACTTTTAGAATCTCCAAGCAAATTCAAAGTTTGAACAGTTCTCCTGGTTGAACTACTATCCATTGTTTGATATGTGGAAAGTTTGATATCAGTTATTGCTGTTATTAAAAGGGCTCGGGGCGCAGAGTTCTTTTCAATATCTTTGGAATTTATTTTATAATTTCCTCTCTAATTTCCGCTATATTCATTTGTTCATCGTAATACCCACTAGCCAATTTCAAAATTTTTAAAAATTTGCCTTAGGCAGGGTTCTTATTAGAAATTTGCAAACGTTATAGCAAGCAAAATTTATTTTATCATAATATAGAGGTTTAATGCAAATATTCTGTTGTGCTGGCTAAGTTCAATGCATTTACAGTGTAAGTACGTTTACATATTTTCACTTTTGAAACTATTTTTCTAAAACTCTTTGAAATCCATTGATAATCTCTTGAAAAATTTGTGTTATTGCTGCAAAATTGTTTTGTTTAACACCCTTTTCAAATGCTAATTTAAAGCGATCTTTCCTTATGGTGAAACTTTATTGAATTATCGCTCAAAGATACGAATGGGCCGTTTTTTGTAGAAAGAATTTTTCAAGAATTCCCCAGCTAAGTATATTGCTAGCATGATTATGTGATTTAAGTAGCTTTTGAAATTACTCGAATCCTCTAAATTCAATACTTCAAGGCATCCATGTATTTTCTTGTTACAACCCGAGCTGTGGTGCCTCGAGTCCACAATTATATTAAAAAGCGGAAACTGTATAAAGAGTGCCTGCCATGCGATTAATTTGCTTTGCAGCCGAGCTTTTCTTTCAATATATCTTCTGCCAAATTTAAAATGAAACTGATCTGTCGCACGAGGAATTCTCAAACTTTGGGTAGCTAAAATTTTATTTAAAAAATTCGAAATATAACTAAAAGACATATATCTCAACGCGGGTTAATACACTTTCGAAAAAAGTAACAGTAAAACAGAATTTTATGAACCAAAAAATGAATATCTTATGAATTAAAAAATTATAATTTATTAAAATTTTATGGTCGATTAATGGCGCTCGGCTGCGAGAAGATGCGACAATGATAATTTCCAAGGCGTAACGATCTTATCAACTAAATCAATTTCACTGAAGATATGATTTGTTAGACCGATTCCGGCTTTGTTGCAGCTACCATCAATTAGATAAAACAAAGAAACTGATCAGCAATGAACCGTATTTCCTCTACATCATAAAAACCAGTTAAGATAATTAATTGCCTTTTTTCGATATCTCGAAGTTATAAACTTAAATGATTAAACTAGTAGTTAAATAAAATGGCAGTTGGCTTAAAAACTCTACTATTTTTCCTTAAACATAAATTCAATGAATTCGATATGATCTTATAAATTAACACTCGCTTAATTAATACCCTCCACAAGTTTCGCTTTATCATTTATCATTTATCCTAAGCCTTTAATGGTACCGTTATACCCTTGCAATAGCTCGCTATTCCGCTAAGTTGTCCAAACAGCTTTGTTAGTCCATTCAAGCCAAAAAATTGTAAGTAAATAGAAGTTAATATTATTTTGAATGATACAAGATAACGATTTATTTACTGAGTTTCAATTATTTAATGGTAGGGAAGGAACACTTTCTTATCAGTAAAAATATTGCAAAATATTTACACTGGGCTATTATCAAATAATTAAAGACAATATCTTGTCACGGTTTGGAGATCGTATGCCAATAATATTTTTTTTGTTATGAAAAATATTTTTGTTATGATGGACTTTTATTTAATATGAAGTCATTCAGTCATTGTTTATATATTTACCTTTCCTATGCTCCTTATCTAAGACATTAAAAAAAAAGAAACTGCCATCTAAAACTAAAATTGGCCTATAAAATATTTTATTTTCTTAGGCCGCATTGGTTCGATCATTGTTGAATTCACGCAAATTTATTTCTGCTGCAATTGGTTTGAAGTTGTTGCTTCTTATTGCCTTTCAATTTTTTGCTCTTATTTTTCCCACTAATGCAAAAATCCTAAAATTTTCGCTAAATTTGATAAATTTAACCTGAAAATCGCATACTGTAACTCTTGGAAAATTTCCACTCAATTCCCAATCATGGCCATTTATAATATCATAAAATAAATTTGCACCCCATAAATGATCATTCTGACCAAGAAATTGATTCATCATTAAAAACTGTCCTACAACGTTGATTAAGAACAATGATTTTGTTGCAATATATACACTGAAAATATTTAATTGTATTTAAAAATGACCACTTTATTTATATTCATTTACTTTTATTTATTTATTTCTATGAAGTAAAAGCTTAAATGGTTTTGCTTAGGCAAAAATGAATTAAGCTTGGATTTATTGCAAATTAAATTGTGTGCCATTTTATTCTTAAAACATAACATAACTATTTTTCATAATTTTATATTTTATAATTTTATTTTCAAAAAAATTTTTCAAGGATTAAACGAACCTTACTTGCTAATATATTTTCCGCTATAAAAATTAAATATAATGAAATCGAGCCACTCATGTGATGCTGATCGCCGATTTTGGCATAAATGGATGCTTTTTTCAATATGGTGATGGATTGATAAGATTATTTTATCACGACTTTCATTCTAAAATTATCTTTAGTTACTTAATTAGTTGCTGCATTTTCAATATTTCACAGGTTTATAATTTGAAATTTGCATGCGTTTAAAAGGTTCATTCATTTCTTTGGAGGAATTTTACATGGAATCGAGAAAGAAATATTAAAAAAAAAACAAACTTCAGTTAAATCAGCGCCCTTCGCCAATTTAACCAGGCTAACAATATTCAAACCAGATTTCGAGTTAGTTTGGCTCCAAAATAAAAGCGGCAGATAAAAAAATCCTGCTTCAAGTGCCATTATGAATGGCACCCACTGATAATAAATTAATTGACGAATGACTCTGTACAAATAAAATTGTCATTCACTGCTTGAAAATTCGATGAAATTTAGCCATATGATTTTAGCTATGGTGAAAAATAAAAGATGATGAATTTCAAGGACAACAATACCAAGGATAATACAATAATCTTCTTTAAAGGTAGATTTTAGATTTTACATGAAATTTTTATCGTAGAATTATTGGAGTTATCTGGGCAATAATGAAAAAAAACCATCATTGGAGAATCATTTATAGAATTATAGAATTTTTGTTACTTTTTTTCCGGTTTGTTTATTTGTTAGATTTAGATAAAAAGTATTTATTTAGCATTGCACTATATTAAAGGATTGGAAATGTGACACGGAAGGTGACACTGGAAAATCTCATTAGAGATACTTAATAGAACCAGAAGGAGAAGGACCATCGCATTTTATGATTGGTTTGCAGAATACTTGCAATATATTTTTATAAGTTTTATATATACCTTTCATTCAAATTTTGAGGAATATTTTCATTAGGTGAAACCCAGTAAGTGTTGTGAACAAAACAATAATTTTCCGCATACTGTTCCCAAGCTCTTGTGAACTAAAAAGCTTTAATTAGTTAATAAAATTAAAATGAAATTCAACAAAATTCTCCTCATTCTTACAAATATTTAAATATTTCTCCCAACTAGCAAAATAAAACCTGAGCGGGTACCCAGCATTGTAATGGTTGTCCAACGTATTGTTTTGCTGAAATAGTAAGTGACATGACCATTATAATTACAGTAGTATAGTAGTAATTCAGGCGATCAATAGCTGAATCGTCAAGACGAGGTTTTATCGTTGTGATCGCTGATCCAAGTAAATTCATTTTTCTACTTAAAAAAAATGTTTAAAATTTTATTTTCACAGAAATTTGGAATAAATATTATGGGAAATAAAAAAAGAAAATAAATAAAAAAATTAAATAATATATCAGCAAATTTCATTTTAGACAAAATATGAAAACTTTGTTAGTGCAATAATTAATCGTTTGGAATAGAATTGCAAATTATATATAAAATTTAATAGCTTAAAAATAAGTTTATAATAAACTACCAAAAACTTCAAAAAACTTTGAAATTTACTAATTAAATATAAAATTTATTAAATATATAATTTATAAAATTTGAAATTTATATTTTTGATAAAAATAAAGTTGCGGAGGTGCAAAACAAATTGGAATCGATGCGGGATATTATAAATTTATTAAAATAAGAAGCTAAGAAGTGATAATTTTTTATTTAAGAGTGAAGAGACCAATGAATTTTAAATAAAATCTTAAAGTATTGTTTGTTCATATCGAAAACCATCTTTAACCATCTATCCATCCATTTAACCAAATATTTTAAAAAGATTACTATTGTCATTATGACGGTTGAAATCTCTGTCAACTTTGTTATAAATAGTTTCTATAACAAATAAGTAATTTCCACTCTATAAACAATAATATCCAGAAAACCTATTATTTCGAAGCCGAAAAAATCTGATGGTTTGTCTTCTTCTTCTGCCACGAATTCCAGGCGACAGTCTATTTTTATTCTACTGTCGCATTTTTCTGATACCGCGAAGATTACGGTACTGCTATTTCTGAAGTTATTAGAGCCAATCATTATTCATGTTAAATGTGATTCGTTTGCTAAATTAATTTCATACGGTAGCATTACCACAACGAGCTTAGCTACAGATCCATAGACGAGCGATTGATTCTTTCACGAATTCGATGAAAGGATGATAAAAATGAATTGAAAAAAATGCAGCGACTTTTTGTCAGTTAAAATTTTATTAAAATTTCATATAAATTTCATATAAAAGTTTAAATTTAATTTATATTTAACGTATCCTGGAAACTGGAAATGATATCAATTCTTATTTACTAAAAATACTTCGATAGCAAAATTTGTTAAATAAAATGATTCATTGTTTACAAAAGCTGCTATCCTCTATATATTACAAAATTTTATGAATTTTTTCAATATCTTTCGAGCAGCCAACGCATCGATCTTTCAAGACAAAGTTTTTCACAATAGTCTTAGAATATTTTTGATAGAAAACCTAAATTTTAATTTTTAAATTCAAATTCGAAATTTTCATTTTTAAAAGCCATGGAAAAAGCAAAATGATATGATTAACGATATAATTTAAATTTCATAGATCGTAAAAAGAAAGGTAAGAGAGGATAAGAAAAAATTTGATAAGACTGGTGAAAAAGAAGAAAACAAATTTGATAAAATAAACTAATGAGGCAATTCAGAACTATTACTCTACTTCTGATATAAGTATGAAGTATAAGTATAAATCAAACAAAATATGAAATGTAAATATTATAAAATGAATCGAGTTCGTGAAAAAGCTTCCTCTGAAAATTCAATGATTTCCATCATCATTTTTTAATGTTAGGATTTGACGAAATAATTTCGGCAAAAAATAAGATAGATATCAATGAAGAACGAATTATTATTGCAAAATAATTAATGTCCAAAAATCTCAAAAACCATTCAATAAAAAATTAATTAATTAGTTAATTAAAATATTAGTATTGATAAGTGATCGCTTATTTTTCATTCTTCGATTTTGGAACCAAATTTTCACTTGTGTTTCTGTTAAATTTAACTCCTGCGCAAGTTGATATCTGAAAAAAATTTATTTAATCATAATTTTCATAGAATTTAATTTTTAATGGCAATTTAGAAATTCTTTGGTTCTTCCAGTAGTAGCAAACTTCTTTTGACAACGCCATTTCTCGTTTACTTGATTCCAGTTAGTAATAAATTATTTCCACGAGTAAGTATGAATGTTTATGGTGCTTTATCGCATTTAGTACACCACTGTACACCACTCAGCTAATTGGTACCAACAAATAGGCGTAAATGATTTTTTATAATAGAAAATAGCAAAATATGTAATATTTAATTCATTTCATAAACGTTAAGTATAAACGTTAAGAGAGATAAATATGAGATTTTATGAAATATAAAACCTTCGAGGTCGCGATAAATAGCGGCTTTCAGCAAAATTTCTTTCAAGTTCAATCAATTGTTCGCTAGTAAAAGCCGTTCTTGGACGACGCATTTTGCCGAGTGTTTGCCATGCACCAACTAGAAATCAGTTAAATATCCAATGGCTTTTTTGAATTTAAAGTTTGAATTCGTTCTGATCATATTCGATTGACGATTCTTGAAACACTTTTACAATCAAATTTTCTAAGCCCCCTTGTAATTTGCATATTTTTAATAAATTTATGAGGAATAATAAAATTTTTTTTCATATCTGATGTAGTAGCGAAAATTATAAATTAGGATCCACTGAAATTATTGTAAAAAGGGTAATTAATTTGTATCGTGCAGAAAATTTCTTTAGATTATATTAATGACATAGCTAAAACTGAAGGAGTATAGGAGAATAAGAATAGTAAAAAAGAATAAGCAACTAAATATTCAACTTCTAAAAGTTTGGTTCATTAGTAGGACGAGGTGATTTTACCAAAAGGTCATTCGGGGAATCGAAGTACAAGTGGAGCTGCTGGGTGCAGTTACACTCATTGGGTTTTCCCACTGATAGGCTTTTTCTGGTCGAACCATGGTGCTCGAAATATAATATAAGCAAGTCAGTTATTTTGCCTAAAAGAATTTAGTAACTTTTGTTTTATTGGCTTTAAAATTTTTTGAAAATATAAAACTAATAATTTTTTCGTTACAACTAATATTGAAAGCAGCTCAAAATAATCTCTATGGCAGAGCAATGAAACGCTTTGTCGATGGACATTTTTAGAATTAAGAAAAAATCATGGAAAATACTCATACTTGTAAGAGCGATATGATCATATAGTAGTGGTAAACTTGTATTTAATGGATATTGTAATTGTTCAATGAATAATCTTGGCGATATTGCGAAAGTTATCGGCTTTGGTGAAGATTGATTGGAAATGAAACTATTCGCTTCACTGAAGGAATCACACGAATTTAACGTGGTGGATGGAGTAAGATGAGGTATCGTGGAAGTTGCACTTCGTTCCTGCGAATTGTATAAAAATTCATTGAGATTTGGTTTTGAAAAATTTATTGGTGAATTCTGCTTTTTACTAATAGAATTACTTAAAGAACGATTTGAATTATCTGATGATTTGAAGCATTCGCTTGGAATATCAAACTGATTCAATGATGCGAAAGGTTGATTCGAAGATGATTGCTTTATTGGCTGAATTAGATCATTATTAGTAGAATTTTTAGTTGAAAACTGGCTGGATGAAGCTTTTGGAAGAGATTTTTGAAGCAACGACTCAATTGACGAGAACATTTTATCGTTTATAAAAATGAATGATTTTAAGTTTGCTGTTAATTCGATTATCAATGCATTTATCCTCGTGGGGTTCAATTTTACTTATATTTCATGTAGAAGAAAAATCATTGGCCGCTTTCTTAATCTTTTTTAGGGTGTCGTCCCAGAGGACTGTTCGTATTGATGAGTGCTCGTCATAACAATGATCGAATACCGAATACTTATAATTCTTTTTTTTCATCTTGGCACATCTTTTTCATTTGCCTATTTGTCATCATATAACAACTTTTATGAAATATAATTTTTCTCGATTATGGTAGTCCTTTTAAATAAAATCATTTACACATTTAAGTTCTATCTTCTCAATAGCCATTGTTACATTTAAAATGCCATTGTCTTTTATCATTTAAAATAACTAAAATGGAATAATTTTTGGTGAAAATAGGCAAAATTGATAAATTGTTGAATGCAAAATAAAATTGATGTTTTTCGATTTTTTAATAATTTAAAGATAAATGTGGCTAAATAACAAAGTATTTCTTTAAATTCTTATAAAAATTTTCTTTATGAAAAAATTTTTAAAAAATGAAATTCTTGAAAAATTTCCTTGCTCCTTGCATATTTATTTCACACTGCATTTTTCTTAAACATTTTTTCATAATTTATTAGTAATGAAGAATAAGAACGGAGACTTTTTAGGACTTAAAAATTAATAATTATCCACAAAAAAAAACTTGGAGGAAATCTAAATGGTTAACGTTCGCCATTTGCGATTATCTTAATTCCGCTGGCTGAGAAATTTTTGCTAGGAAGCGGTGATCGAAACGCAAGAAAGTCTACCTCTATTGGCAAGAGTAAATCTGTCCTTAAAAAATCTTCATCCTTGCTTTTCAACAATCGGATCGCTATTCGCTATGCCACATCAGTAGGTAAAACTTTCGTTCTTTTTTGATTCGATAGATTCTCTCTTATCGGACGCTCGAGTCAAACCATTGGTGGTCTTAGTTACAGTTAACTCGACCATACAACCTCTACGGGAAAATATTTTATTTCATTTTCATAATAAATTTTAACGAATAAATTAGCGGAATATTTCTTAAGAATTATTTATGCAAATGCATTCATTTATTCTATACGAAAATTAATGCATACGATTATGTAATTCATAAAAATTTTATAAATTCAGTGGTTTCCTTTTGATGTGGCAATCATTATAAATCATATTTGAGATGCTAAAAAGTCGGTCGACTTCATGAACTTTAAATGAAGAATAAACAGCAAAATATTAACTGTGATTTTCCTACAGTTCGCTTTTATTTGTGCTAATTTCAAAATTTGATTTTAAGCGGTTTTAAAAATTTATAAAATTTCGGAGGCGAAAATCGTTGGTTAACTGAAGGAATAATTTCGTTCACCAAAAAACAAAAACTTTATAGATAAGAAATAATAAATGAGAAATATAAACGAGTTTAATGCCTCTAAGCTCTCTATGCATTAGAATTAATTATAAAATACAAAATAAAATAAAATACAATTATGCTTTTTTATTTTTTCGCTTTTCATCGATTTAATAATCTGAAAGACTTCGAAAACTATATTGGCCCAGGTTCTTGGCCTTTCTCGCTTTTAATGTCATTCATCATAGGATTTAGTGAGCTGTGCATAAATTCTTGGCTGGGTGACGAAACAATAGCAAATAAGATTTTGTGACCATATTCTTAGTGCAGATATTCGAGTGAAGGTAAATCATATGAGACTTACCCACTTGGCATTACTTTAGGTAAAAATGACAAAGAATTCCTGATATCCTCCACTCCCTTTGGCCAAGTTTCGAGGTTTTATAATAGGATTGATAGGATTTAATAGGAGTATTATACTTTTGCTTTTTTGTTTTGAAGCTAATTTTGCAGCAATTCTAGAGAGGTTTCGCCAGACTAAAGAAGATTAAAGAAGACACATCTGGCTGTAGATATGTAAGCTGGAATTGGCATTGGCCATTTAAGTATGAGAATGAATCCGAGATTAATAATCGAATGTTAATAAATTTTTTAAATATGTGAATGAATTGCGATTTTATCAGTATCTCATCAGTTAAAAGTTCATTGATTTGAAGGTTAATTTTCGTTACTGCTACCAACCCTTCGCCTAGCTTCTACTGTGGTTCTTCGTAATTTGCAATGAAAAAGACGTGGTCGATCATTAATCTCGGTCACTATGCTTTATACATTTCCTGAATGACTGCAATCAAGTGTCTATAACCCAAAATTGAAAATTGCAGAGGAGAGAAGGCAGCCTTAAAGCGTATTTCAAAAGGCTGCGTTAAATTTTCACAAATCTGCGCTAAAATACGCAGATAAAAATATTGATAAATCTGATCAAATGGAATAACCACTGTGTTGCATAATTTGTCAGAGTACTACCTTATTAGTCGAATCAAAAATAAGGTAAAGTGAATGAAGCAAGTTGCGGTAGATACCCTTTTGAACAATCTGGCGTATAACTGCAGATTGCATGAATAAAAATTTTTCGCTTTTGTTATGGCTTTGGTAATCAGCTTTGGTTAGGGCATATCTTACTGTCACTCATTTGGCAGAAGGAAAGCAAAAATCTTTCCAAAAAATATTTAGTAAGACAATTTCTTGACAATTGTGGCAGTGCGTCCTAATTATTCTTAGGAGTTGAGAATGGAAACTGCCTTGTTCCATGGTATTTGCTCCTTCTCTCACAGTATAATTTATATATAATTTTTGCAGGTGTATTGGAGGATGCTGGGCAGATCATCAGAGTTTTAATGGTCTTAAATTTGTGGACTGCAGATTATTTCGTGCTCGATTGGTGGTTTATGCGCTCTAAATATGTTCCAGTTACATTTGGGATGTTGGACGGCTCATATCATAGTTCAGCTTAGATTTTAAGAACTCTCTCTATCTGGTAATCGGGTAATCAGATAATCTGGTAATCAGATAATCTTTAATGGTCTTAACGTAATTTCCATATTTATCTCGGATCATTTCATTGACCATATATCGAGCACCAACGATGAAGTAGGCAAAATAATCTTTGATAATCGCTTGCTCCATATTCAAACTATATTCCAATGTTGATTTTTTCTCCCGTTTTACTGTGATCGAGGGAATTTTTGCCCTGTTTCACCCCGAATCTGCAGAGCTATCGATAGCCAGCAATTTTGGTACACGCTCTGTCCATGCGATCGAATGGCTGGACTATTTCGTCTTAGACCAGCTTGCATTCTTTGGTGCATTATCATAGCATAGCTGACTTTGGGATGTTAAACTTGAACTAGGACTAATCTTCTGAAAAGAGGTGGTAGGGTTATTGAAGTCTTTTAGGCCTCAGCCTGAAATATGTCCTTGAACTTTTTAACCTGAGATGAATTTTGTGCGACATTATGCTTTAGATTTTATAGAAAAGAACGAAGTTGATTGAACATAGTGGTTCAGTGGATTCTTAGCTTTGGCTGACGCATCAGTTTGTCCAAAACGAAATTCAAATAAAAAAATCTTTCTACAAAAATGAAAAATTTGGATCATAATTATCAGTTGTAAATGTCGGAAATCTAATCAGATTTATTTTGTGCAGGTAGATTCGTGGCGAAATCCGCGATAATTTTGATTTATTGACAATTTAATGTGAGTATCTAAATGGATAACTGCAGAATCAATAGTACATAAAATATATTTAGGAAAATGATTTGATCTGCCATTTAACATTTTATGGACAGATGAGTAGCGAAATCCACGAGAAACCATAATATGGTCCGACTAGTGGAGATAGTCCAGTTTTGTCTTCACTCCGTGACTATGGCAACATAGCTTTCCTTCTCCAAATGTGTGGCTATTTAGCACAGATTTCTTCTACCCGTAATCAGCCTGATTCCAATGTTGATTGGCTGGCAAGCTCCACCTAATTAGATGCCCCTTTTTAATGCTGAAAACATATATTGGCAAAAGCCCATGTCAGTGTGCTCCACAGAAGAAGCACTTTCCTTTTGCAAAGCAGATCCGAATACCACACTTGCCAACTGCTGAAGATTATGAGATATCAAGCACTATTTCAATTCCTCGCAATTACAATTATGTCAATTTTTGACTAATTTTTCATTTATTTTTTATCCAAATGTGGAAGCCTGGCTTCCTACATCTATAAGCGTTCTGACTTTCCAAGCAGATCTAGCTGTTTTATCGCTGCATACACGTAGAACTAGTAGAACATTTGTCCGAACTTCCTAAGGTGGGGCAGAACATTTTTTCAATTCCAATTCAAATCCAGAATTTATATGGACGTTTTTAATATTACATATTGCTATATCCGAGCTCAGTTCGCATATTTCTCGCATGCACCGATGGGATATCCTGCGGAATTTGCGGACGCTGCTTGCGAGATATATTCATTTCGAGTTTATTAGAAATAGACTTAGATTAAAATTTAGGTGGACCTCCAGCAAATTCCAATTTCATGAATGAAGGCGCAAACAAAGAGAAAAGACGTATCTTGTGATAATCACGATAATTAAGAGAGAAAATTTATAAAAGAAAATAATTTACAAAAAGATTTTGTATTTTTTTAATTCGGAAAATTATAAGATTATTACGAAACTACAAAGAAATGAGAGAGATTTTTAAAAAATTCGAAGATCGACGTACTATTTTACATATTGAGTGGAGGCAATTGACCTAATTTTTTACAAATTAAGAAGGCCCGAAGCGACACAACAAAATTTAACATAAAATTTATAACATAATATAAATTTATATAACATAACACACACATACCATAACATAAATTTATAACAAATTTTATAACAAAATTTAAAATTTAATTTTTTAACTTCAGAAAGCACTGCAAAATTCGATTGAAATAATACGAAAAGCTAAGTTAATTTGAGGTTAAAAGTTAATCAATTAGAACGAATAAACCAAAATCGACCTATTTATATCACATTTATTACTCTAAATAAACCTCTTTCTGATAGTACTAACGACGATGAAAAAGATAATAGCAACAACGGCATTAAAACAAAACACGAATTTTACAGGCAATTTTATCAAAGAAGACTTTTAGGGAGATGCAAATGAATCTCCAGCAAACATCCCGATTTCAAAGAAAGGGATATGCCTAACCGATATAATGTGCAATTTCCCTTAATCTGGCAAAATTTATCAATTTCGTAAAATACTACAATTTTATTAAAATTAAATTTACAAATTTGAAATTGAAATTTATAAAATATAGAAGGAAAATTTGAAAGGTATAAGAAAAAATCATCCTTCTCTATAAAATTCAATTTTCCCGTTAATTTCTTCTTTTTCTAACAATATTTTTCTGACCTGGCTAGTTCCATTGATTGCTGAGAAATTTTCCAAAAGATTACTTAGGGAAAGAAGTACAGATGGTTCTCCTAAACCACTCACTTTTCACTTTTGTTGATTCCCATCAATATGCAAAACCCAAACATAATTCGATCTTTCCCAAAATTTTTTATTCTCCTAACTTGAATTGTTAGTATAGGACAATGGCAGTTATTCTTCCGCTGAACAAATATTAACTTAATAAAGAAAGAAAGAGGTTGAGAGAATTTCAATTTTTCTGATAAATCCAACAAAATTTCTATTTTCAAGAAATATTTTCTTTTTTTAATAGGCAAAATGTGTTATTATTATTCATTATTGTTAATTAGGCTGGTTCTACTAGTTAAAGGCTTAAAGCGGTTCCACAGACCACCATACCTGAAAGTAAGCTAGTTCTCCAGCGATTCAGATCGCTGCGGTGCTCAAAATTCTGGTCAATCAATCCATGTCCTGACTGTTTTAGCTAAGGCTTAGCAACGAAATATGCGTAAATTCATATGATGTGTAACGAAATATAGGATCTAATCAGCGTATGTTTTGCGACTATATTACCAAAGCATTGTTTTATTTATATTATTTTGATCGGATGGTGCTGGCGATCTACTTTTTACTTCCAATAAAATAATTCGCTAGGAAAATTTGATTGGTGCGATAAGCCAGTGGAACCAAAAATATATAGTAAAATATGCTATAATTTACACCGCTTTAATGTACCATTAATGTTAAAGGCATTCGAGCAGAGATGGAAACAACCATATAAGACCTTGTGCTCCTTAATTTGGAATGGTCAAGAAGAGACCATTCCAAAAATACCTATCATTTTCAAAAAGAACTCAAGAAAAAGCCTTTTTTCTCCTAACAACACTCATCTGATTGATTGGTTCCATCGGCGATTATTACATAAATAGAATAGAAGGAGAAGGAAGTAGGAAACTGAAAGCATTCCTGAAGCAATAAACATTTTATAAGATTAATTCCGTTTCTTGTACGCCGTTCTTCTCCCCTTCCTTCATTACTTTATTATTCTTACCTTAAGTGTTCCTTTGCCAATTGCTTTTAATTTTTAAACTAATTGTTAAAATAAATTCACAACTTTAAACTAAACTAATCGCAAGAATAATACCAGCTGTTATCACAAATGCTTTAATGTTGCCATTCACTTCGTTGTAATTATAAAATTTTAGCTGAAAAAAAGCGAATTATCGTATAATCGTATCACCTCGATTTTTTAATTTTTTCAATTTTCCATCTCCTTTTCGCTTTCTTCCTCAGTTAAAAATGTAATACAGGATTCAGTGCATAAGAGTGAATATTCTCGTTTCGAAAAACGCCAATCTGCTTGGGCTTTTCTCATTCCATTGGCTTGTCAGATCAGACAAATTTTGCTAGCGAATCACTTGACGATATAAGTGAGTCACAAGGATCACCAAAATACCAATTAGTGAACCAAGGAAATAATTCACTGCCAATGTTCACCATCGATGAGTTAATTTTTTATTGAATTGAATTATTGCTATTCAGTTCGTTTTTTCCCTGTGAAATTGAATTTTTAAAAATGAATAAATTCAAAATTTATAACTTAATTATTTTTGTACTCTCTCAATTTTTCTTATTCAATACTCATTTGTTTTGGAACATTTAATTAAGTAAGAAAAACTGGCGAATAATTCTAGCTGGGCTCACTTCGCCAATCTTTGAATTTTGCTCCAAGCCATCGTTTCAGCACAGCAGTGGCTCCCTAACGGATTGCAGAATTACATTCAGAAGATAGGTCTGAGAAATAATTTGGCTATTTTGCCTTTAATATATTTATCAAATTAATTGCTGCCAAATATTTAATAAATTGAATAAATTATCCGTAAAATAGTATCAAATTTTTTATATTTAGTTGAAAAATACAATATGGACAAATTAAACAAAGTGCAAAGCCCAGAGAACTTTTTAATTTTTTCTATTTTTCCATGAAATATATTACTAAAATGAAAAATCGTAATAGGCACAAAATTTGTACAATTTGCTTTGTTTTCCATACCCGCATCCTTCATTATTTTTCCGTGTGCGGTATATTCCGACATTTTCTTGGATATTCCTACAATTCTAGGAATATTAATTCGTTTAACTTGAATAATTTGATAATTTTGGTAATTATTTAGAAAATTTGCATTATCATCACAGAGCGTCGCCTTCGCTGGTTAGAATACGTTCTTCGTCGTCCACTACAAGAGTTGACATATATTTCGCTATCTGCTAAACTCTGTGATGGGTGACGTCAAAAGGACCAATCAAAACGTGGACTGACACGTGGTACGGTAAATTTTGAACGTATAGATGGACCAGCGATAGATATGGACTTAGGTGGTGGAGAAAGGAATGGCTCTATGATTGCCAGAGATGGCATCGGATCGAACAGCTTGGAAATCCTCGCAGCCTTGCAGCCATTCTAACCAGCAATGACAAAGGATGAAGAATAGAGGAATTTAGATGAATTTAGACTTTTAGGCAATTCGATATCAAATTTCCGGGTGGTTTAAATATTTTTAAATTCATTGAAAGAACAACTCAATGAAGTTTGCTAGCTAACTTCTTTTTCAGTTAATTCTCCTCATTTCCCCTTAAGCGAGCGATTGCGACTTTCAAAAGCTATGAGCAAATGACCTCAAGTGAGATATGTTTTGCCCAACTGAGAACCGAACACGACAACCATGCGAGGTACCAAAACCGGCACACACCTTTCCTCAGCTTTAAATGTCGTTAACCTCTTCACCTTTGCACCATATAATCTTCAACTTTAGCGGATCTTTTTGGCTGACTTTTATCATTTCTGAATAATCAGCTTTATCGAAATTTTTTCTCATTGAGTTTTTGTATTTTTTACGATCTGAGAGAAAGAAAAATGTGGGTTTTATAAATTTCTTCGATTTAATATTTTTTTAAGAATAATATTTGAAGGTTTTTTATTTTTTATTTTTGTATTTTTACTTCGCAAAAATACAAAATGAAAATTTCTGAAAAAAGAAATAATTTTCAAAATTTAATTTGTTTCTTCGATTTCGTATAAAATTCGCATAAACATCAATAAATCAATTTTTCAATGTGTTGCGCGCTGTTAAAAATCAATCAATACGGCGACACATGTCCCCTTTCGTTATAATTGAAAGTCGCTGTGCCCACTGGCGACTGGCAATTTGCTGGTTTGAGATGGAATATAGGCAAACACATTTATGGCGAAAAAATGATTTAGCGAGGGTCGTAGTTAAATTTGGCCCGTGGTTGTGGCTCGTAAAACGAATTCATGTCGAAAAGAGCAATGAATTTGGTGCGAATGGCCGATGGCTGTGGATCGTCAACTGAGTCCAACGTGAGGCTGCGAGGTGCAATCAGAACTACGCGGCTATTTTTCTATCTCTAATTTTATTTATTTATTTTTATTTGCATTGTCTTTTAGGAAACGATATCAAGTGAGAAACTCCACTGATAAGTAGAGATAAGATTTTGTCTAGAAATTATGCGAGATAAGGGAATTTCAATGGAGTGATCGGCAATGATATGACCTTCTGCAGAATTTAAATGAGGCGATGTGCGGTGATAAGGTTTATTAAGAAGTTTGAATGATAATTGATAAGGCATCGCGAAGAAATTTAGATTTTTAGTTATCACGCGAAAATATCGAAATATTGACCCTAAGGCGGTGTTTTTACGAATATTTCGAGGCTAAAATCAATATTGAAATGCATCGCTGTCGTTATTATCGTTGTTGGTTGTCGTCGTTGTCGTTGTCGTTGTTCGTTTCAATCGATTCCAGCGAGAATGAAGAATTGAGAAAAATTTTTTTCTAGGAATGAAACGAAAGATTTTATTGCTTTGCGATCGAATTATTCTCTTTATTATTGCAATTTATTAAAATATTTTTTGTTTTTTGTAAATTTTTTATTATTTATTCTATAAATAATAAAAAAACAAAAAAAAAGAGAACAATGGTTGAATTATGCGAACTAAATATCAACGAATGGCAGTCGGACATCGATGAACACGTCGCTGAACTCGACTTTAATTCGAATTCGAGTTCGTTAAGTAATAATTCGTTGTTTATTTCGAATGATAGCTTGGATTTCGACAAACTGCATCGTCATTGTTATGTTAGTTTTTGTTAATTTTTTTTCTTATTTAAAAAAAGAAAAGAAGCTTTTTTCGACTAACTTCCGCAATTTATATAGTTTTATTTTTATTTGTAATAATAACGGTAATTAATAATAGTAATTAATAGTAATTAATAAGAATAATTAGATTAATATTAAGATTAATATATTAATATTAATAGCAATAATAAAAGCATTGATAATAAATAATTATGAAAATTAGTAATAATAATATAATAATTAATTTAAAAATTATTAGATTTTTATATTTTTCAAAAAAAAGTTAATGTTAAAATAAAGAAATTGGTTATTCTTTTGATTTATTAAATGCTTTTTAAAGCTTTTTTGTGTTTTTTACAGTCAATTATGACTGTTTAAATTTCAATAGGAATTAAATAATTGAGATGGATTTACAAGTTTTCAGACGGAAATTGTTGAACATAAAAAAATTGAGGATTTTTTTTTAAATTTCGACTTTATTTATAGCTTTAAATTATCAATTTTTTTTTCAAAATTAATATAATTAATCGTCTGCAACTAAAGTTAATGAAACTAATTAATTAATCGTAAAAAAATCCTAGTTATCCCCTCATTTCGCATCGCCTCTTCTAATTGATTTAGTAATATTTATTTTTAATGTATTTTATTGTCATTATATTATTATTATTATTCATGATTGTGAAAAGTGGTTAGAGTGCGATTATTTGTGTATGTGTCCAGAATGAAACCAAATATTCTGCCTGTCATATTTTGTGGAAAAACTTTTTTCCCGCAATGTATCCTTAACATCTCCAGAGCTTCGCTCTTTTCTTTTCTTATTACGATTATTAATAGAATTTTAAATCTCTTTCCGCTAATTCATCTCTATCATTAAAAATCAGAATCTGAGTCGGCATGGTGTATCCCTATCGTTTTACAACTTTCTGGCAACAATTTTTGGCCGATCAACAATTAGTGGGACCAGTCTTACCAGGAATGGCGAGCATTAGCCACTTGCATTTACCTTACTACCACAGACTTATTGTTCTTAAAAGCATGGCACTGGATTAAATTCTAAACTTCATTTTTATATAAATAAATTTATAAGTCGCTGAGAATAACTTGTGGGAATTTGGCAAGATTTTTAGGAATGTTGAAAGAGCGTAGGTTGCGAAGCGAGTCAAGAGATATATCCGGGTCTCTATGCCAGGATTTTTTCATTAATATTATAGTATTCAGAAATATTAATTTAATATTAATAAATATTAATTTTTTAATTTTTAAAAAGTTAAAAAGATTTAAAAAAATTTGTCTTTTAAGTAGTGAACAATTCAATATTTTTTTCACTACTCCTATCAAATTCATTTTTTATTTAATCAATAAATAACCCGTGGATTCGAAAGAAATTAGAGCTTAATGGTTATTATAATTAATTGTAGGTCAAGAAAAATGATTATAAGTTGACATTTAATGATGACAGTGGCCAGTGGACGACAAGCGATCATAATTTAACGAATTGGGGAAATATTCGTTGCAATGAAACAGAAAAAACGAACAGTCTGCCTGAATTAAAAACAAGTAACAAGTCTGATTTATTAAGAAAATTTGTGGAAAGAAAATCAGATTATGAACTGTACTTTGCGAATGGTAAATATTTTGATATAAATTATAATGAAATAAATAATAATGCATTTGATCGATGGAATATCCATAATAACTTATCGATAAATCCATTATCGAAACCAAAACGAACGTTTGCTGATTTTGAAAAAGAAGATTATCAAAATGATCTTCATCAGCGTGCACCTTCATTAGATTTTATGGCCATGAAACATAAGGTTAAATTTTATTTTATTTTTTCCATTTCTTTTATAATTTTTTAATTTTTTTATTTAGTGATAAAGTGATTTACTTGGTGAAAACTATTTGATTTTCTAATTAAAAAAATTTTTTTTTCACGTTTTCACTTTTAGAATTCCGTTATTATATTATTACGAATTTTATAAAAATTGATTTAGGTACCGGATTTATGTGAAATATCATCATTGTTTTCATCTTCATTAACAGTAAATGATATATTATTACGAATAAAAGATGATGGAATTATAAGTAATGATAAGTTGAATATAACAATTGAGGAAGGACCAGATTCTGGTTTAGGTTCTAGTAATTATAGTAATAATGGACCACTGCATATTGAAGATTGGCCATCACTCGCCATACTTCTTCCTAAGTAAATTTATATTCAAATTTATGTTTATGTTTTTGTCGAAATTTTTAATAAAGATTTTGTAATTTCCGCAAAGTTTTAAATCGCGATTTAGGCATTGAAAGTTCTTTAATTGTTTCTATTTCTATTAGCTTATAATTTCTGTTAGTTTTTGGATAATTTCAACTTGGTCTTTATAGTTTAAAAAATAACCTCTAAGTTCAGTTTCATTTATGCTCGGAGATGGTGGTTTTATATATTTTTCAGAAAAAATGCATATGGCGGATCATTTCTTAGTGGCTGTTTGGCCTATTTTCACCCCTTTACAGTGTGGTTGAGAGCATTTTTTTTAAAATTTTGTCAGTTTCTGCATTCTCTCTTTAGAATTGCGTGAATTCAGAATTTTCTCCATTTTAAGGACCATTATTATTTTAGAAGCGTTGTTGAAACGTGCACTTTTTTTAAACTAAATAATCGTTTGTTATCTGCATCGTCATTAATATCCAACAATAACAACAACAACAATATTGAACGAATCAACAGCAATAATAATATTAAATTTGGGCGATATGAAGCTTGCCGAACATGTTTCGGCATTCGAAAATATTTGCATCCTCCTTTATGGGCTCAGCCAATAAATGTTCGAAATATATTATGTAATTGTACTAATAGCGAAGTTAGTTTATATTGAAAATTTATGCATATTTTTATGGTTCTATGGTTTCCTTTATTCTCTTCTGGTGTGAGGTCTGAAATTTTTTTATGAAAAATAATTTTCAGATTTTTGACAGAAGTTATTTATCAGTTCGAAGTCAAACATCGATAATAAATCGTTTAAAACTTCATTCACATGAATTAAGTATTATTGGACTTCCAATTTACAGTGAAAAACGTATGCTAGTCGAAAAGGTTTTTTTTTTTTTATTTCTATATTTGCATTTAATGCATTTTGAGGGTTTAAACACTGATTGAATACTCCTCTTATTTTTGGAATCGATTTTTTGACTTTTGGCTAAAAATTTAAGATTTAAGGTAGTTGAAGGAGTGGCGGAATTGGCTCGAACTGGTAACAGCTCAAGTCTCTATAGTTCTTTGGAGACGTTGGTTGCTGATGGCTTGAAGGATTCTTTAGACTTATGGCAAATGATTGTAAAAATCACTGGTCCAGGTTCTTTTTTGGTGCTTCTATTAATCAATCAATCTTTACATTTTTTTAGCTTCTAATTAATTTCATAGTATATTCTTCTATGGCTCTTAAAATTAAAAAATATGAAGAAAAAGATTTAATTGTCATCGTAAAATCCATTTTTTTGGTTAAGACAGCGATTTTTATCGAACTTTATTAAAAGATTAATTAATCTTATATTTTATAGGTCCTGCAACCAATCATATTTTTAATTTTGTTAAAGACTTAAATAATGACGAATGCATAAACAATTGCCGCGTTTTATTATTCTTCGAAGAATTGTTAAGGTAATAAAATTTTTTGATAAAAAACAATTTAATGAGATCGATCATATAAAATCTACTTGTGGAAAATATAACAAATCTTTTTATAATTCATTTTTTTGCTTTTCTCTTTTTTTCGGTTTTTTGGTTATCGAAAAATTTTCATAATTTGCAATTTATTTATGAAATAATTTAAAAATAAAAAATAAAATTCTTGTTTTTCAAACAATTTGATGAAATGAATTTTTAAAATTATATTTAGCAAATTTATTTTATTTTAGATTGGAATCCGTAGATTGTTGGATTTATTATGCAGTATTGAAAGAGAATATTTTAAAGGATTTGTATAAAGACGAATCTTTCTTGCTACATGCAAATACGTCCTACCGAAGTTTATTATTTCGTCTGCTCGAGAATCTCGAATATTTGACATTTATTAAAAGTGATAAAAAAATGAATTATAAACTATTAAAAGCATCGCGTATAGCCAATGATTCAAGAATACCAAAATCATCTTCAATGCCATCACGTTTACCGTCCTTCAGACCGACTCGAATACCAAGATTGGTTACTCGCCCTACGCTTGGTCGTGCAATAATTTACAAAAAGTCGTTTTCATTTAATCATGCTTTAGCTACTATTGATTATGATCAGCCAGGCATGCTTAGAGTGTCGAAAGGTGAGCCATTATATATACTAACAAAGCGTGGACCATTTGCTCGTTGTTGTCGCGTTCAGCCTTTGTATAATCGCATTTTCCAAGGTTTGTTGCCAGTTTCAATTCTAAATCATCAGTGATTCTTTTTCTCAAATTTGTGCCGTTCAGCTCATTTACTTTTTTGATCTCTACTGCTCTCCTTGATGTTCGAATAATCCTTTTTCTGATCCCACCGACTACTGGGTAAAGCACGAATAGATCCACAGCGACCACTCGGATTTCCCTCTGTTAAACAAAAGTGAAATGCTTATATGTAAATTATTTGGCGATTACTCTATATTTTTTTGCAAATTCTTCGCAAAAAAAGAATGAAGCACATTCTTGTGTTTATTCCCTTTACATTTATTGTTTTGTTCTTAGTTGCTTTTCTAATATGTTGTATTTTTAAAAGCTTAGAAATGCTTAGAAAAATTTCACGGTGCTCCAGTACATTATTTTATAATAGTCGACTATAATTGCCCCATATAATCCATTTTCAATTTAACAATATTTATAATTCGGTGAATAATTTACTAGTGAAAATAACATTGCTTGCTTGAATCAACAATCTGTATGTGCCATTGTTGCTGAATTTATTTTTCTCATTTTTAAAAAAAAAGGAATGGGAATAAATTTGGGTATTGTGAGATTTTAGGTTAAAAATGAATGACCATTCAAATGGTACTTATGAAAATATAAATTATTTGTAATTTTGTAATTTGTTTTTTAACAAATTGTAATTTGTAATTTGAATATGAATTTGATTTTATGTATCATTTAGAATCAAAGAACATAAATTAATAAAATCCCTTTATTTAGCTCAAATTTTTTTTTGCAAACGATTATTTGCCATGTCTAATCTCAAAGAAATGTATACAATCCAAATAAGATTTTACTATCAAAAAATGTTGAATAAATCATAATGGACTGAACGAATGGAAAAAAAATGAAACTTGTAAATATAAAAAACAGAATTCGGCAACAAATTATATACAAATTAAACAAATAGAGAGAAATAAAATATATGAAAATAAAATAAAGAAAATAAAAAAATGGGCAAACCAGCTAAATGAGAAATAAGGTGAACCTAAGATCCAAAATATGAGATTTTTCAATATCGACGACTATATTTATCATACGAATCATATTTATCGTAATTAGATGCATGTGTATCCTGCGATGAGTAATTACCTCCATTCCAACTGTCCACTATAAGATATTTTTATAAATGTTTGAAATATATTTATAAAATATAAATATTTATGAACATTTTTGTACATAAATATATAAATACTTCTAGTAGAAAGTACTTTTTAAATCGTAGTAAAAAAAATTCATAAATAAAACTTCAGAAAACCTCGGGAAGGCCAACTGCCACTGCTTATATTATGAGCCTGAGACGATATTGAAGGCACCCATGCAGAATCACTACCATAATCACGGTTCGAAGCCCCAACATAGGGTGATGATGCATTTCCACTATTAGATGCCCATGACGATGTACCGACTGAACGTGACGTACTTCCATAACCTCAAATATAAAAGGGATATAGGAATATAGGAACGATTTCCAAGTTCTCTAAAATAAATTTTATTTGAGAGGCGAGCTTTTTAGGTCTATTCTTTTGACTGATAACTGTTAAAAAAGATTATTTTACCAATTTCTTTACTATAAGCTGAGGGAATAGCATCACGATTGTAACTTCCATAATTGAGCTCGCGACTAGTATATGTTGTTTCACGATGACTGCTTCCACTTCCATATGCTGAATCGCCGCGATACATTAAATCTCTTTCTTAAAAATGTGTAAAAAAAAGTGTAAGCATTTAACGCAAAAAAATAAATTAAATGCCCTTTTTCGACAATAAAGCCATTAGAAAGAAATTTTTGGTGGAAAAAATAGATGCAAAAATAGATGTTAAAGATTTTAAATCATACCATAATTACTTCCCGTGGTGGATGGCTCAGCTGAACGTCCATAATTATGCGAATCTCTTGTAGAAGTTCGCACTGAAGAGCTATATTCTCGAGAACGTCCACCTATAAATATGAAGGAAATTCAAATATCAATATCATAATAAATATGGCAGAAGGAATAATAAGAAACATAAAGGCACTAACTATGTCTGCTTCGATCACGATCTCGATCGGATGCACTCGATCTAGATGAATGATGACTTGTGGCAATACGTCGCGATTCACGTCTATCCGAAGTAGAACTACGAGAAAGAGAATTCACAGACCGATGTGACGACGATGAAACTCGCTCTCCACCACTAGTTCGTATATGTTCTCCATGTCGACGACTGCAAAAAATTTTCGCTCCTTTATTTTATTCATTTAATAGAATAGAATGCAATATATGGATGATGCAAGGTACGATGTTAAGGATAATATAATTTACCTTGTTGCTCCAGTGTCATCATATGTTTCATGTGAACGACGTGATGCAGATACTATCGGGACTGGCGGAACAGCAAGTGAGGCCATCCTTAACTGCTGCAATTCTAAACGTTCCCGTTCGATTCTTTCACGTTCAAATTTCAGCCGTTCTCGTTCTCGTTGAAGTCTAAGCTCTTGCTCTTTTAAACGATGTTCTTCCTCTTTTCTTCGAATTAAATCCATCATTTCACGTTTCTCCCATGAAGGTGTGGGTTCTACACGCCGAGACGAAACTTCACGACGAGCAGATGCATAAGTATTCCCTCGCATCGATCGACTTAACATATAAGACCTCCCAGCATGACCTGAACGACGCAAAGCCGATGATATGTATGAAGGTTTCCGTGATGCCGCAGTGGTAATTTTCCGAGTTTTGAAAGATGGTTCAATACGTTCAAATACTCTGCGCCCACTACGATATACCGGTGGTGAACGAAACGCTGGCACCTGTTTCTTGTAAACTGTTGTTTTGCTTTCACTTGGCTTTGTTTCTGAAATGTTCACTTAATGAAATAAAGTAAGGAATTTGAAAATAATTTAATATGAACCACATCATTAAAAATCCCTAAAATTATATTTTCTTCCAATAATGTCAACAATCATAGCATTAATCCACCCTTAATATAAGAAAGAAGTTTCGTTGAATGGCATCAATTCATGAAAAAAAGGGTTCTCTGCCAGAATTGACTGCAAATATGAATATCGCGTTGCCATTAGAATACAAAAAATATGAATAAAAAATCTCACAATAAATACCGTTTGTTACTGGACCTTTAACGGGAGTTTTCTTGAGAACGGTTTCCGAATCACGTTTTAAGCTACTTCGACCACTTCCTGCAGCAGACTTTTCTTTTTCGATTACTGAATTACTGCTAATTCGCTTTTCGTTTTCTTTATACAACGATTCTTTCTCCTTTTTCACTGGCTTTTCTGTGAGAGTTTTTTGTTCACCAGTGGATGTTTTTTTCACATTTGCAGTTTCACTGTCTGTTGCAGACTCTTTAGCAGCTACCGGTACGGATGTAAGCGTATTCTTTTTAGATATTGATTTTACAACAGGCATAGTTGATCGATCTGCCTAAACTTGATAAAAATTGAGTTCTGAAATTTGAACCAGTACCTTCAACCAGTAGATTTTTTTGGAAAAACAAGATTATCAGATGAATTTCAAATTCAAATTCAAAGAAGAATGAATTAACAGACACTTTTTCATGGGTGTCTGCAAAGTTTTTTTTATGACGACAAACACAAGTTGAGATACTTTTGACAATTGTGAATAATAAAGCATGATGATTAAGGCAAGGATTTTTTGAACTGGCAGAGTCGGCGAACCATGTTATCCAAAAAGTGGTCCGATACTCCCTTCGATTTACTTATTTGAACATTTTAAAAGATTTTCGTCCAGAATTCATAAGTTGATTCGATAAACTGGATGTAGCTGATAAATAAGAATGAAAAATTCAGCCGTGATTTCATTCGATAATAAAAGAAATGACCAGCATCTACAGTTCTTTGATATCCTCACGCAGCCCATTTCAAATGGAAATTTTAACTAACCAGTCACCAAACGATTCATTTTCATACTGATGACTTTTAAATTGAACTTTTCATGCCGAAAATTTTTCTTCGTATTTTACGATGTCGATGGCCTATTAAACTTGAATTTGCTAATATTTGATGCTCAATGATAATCCCTTTTCCTTATTCCTCTTTTTTTCGACATACCGACTTTTCTAAATTTGTGCGACACCAAAATCATCGAAAAATAAACTGAAAAAACATACACGCTCGACAACTATTATACGCCCATTGACAGTTGTCTTATGAAGTTTTTGCACGCACAGATCCGCGGCAGCAGCATCAATCATCGTAACAAAACCAAAACAAGTGCTCGATGGCTGCTGGCGTCGTGTAAATATTTTGGCGGTAATCACACGGCCGAATTTTGAAAATATCGCCTCAAACATAAAAAATGAACACGCATAAAAATAAAATATTCGACAGAAAATAACAAATGATCAAAAAACTAAAACTACTTTAAGATCTGCAGCCTTTGTGGTAGGACTAATGCCTTTAATCCACAATGAGTTTTCAGCAAATTTTTCTTTCCTAGCACTGCATTGTGGATGCGCAACCGTACTAGTATCAACCGGAGTGGATTCCACCGTTTGTACGTTGGCAGTAGATGCGACATTAGATGAATTTTTCTCGTTAGATCTATTTTTCATTATTTTTTCATCTGTTTCCACTTCCTTTTCTTCAGACTTTTTAACATCAACAAGCAATTTCGTTTCGATGCTCTTATCATCGACGATTTCCTAAAGTGCAAATCTTTTTGGATAAACGCATTTAAAAATTTTTATCAACCTAAACCGTTTTTATCAGATTTTTAAAAAAATAAAAATTGCCACAAAGATAAAATGGTTATTAAAGAGAAAATATTTGAAACATTGAAAATATTTCCAGTGAATTTTTAAAAAAAAAAATAAAACAGAAAAACCTATGGTAATGGACATACTTTTGACTGATCATCCAGCATTTCCACATCAGTAATAAGAAGATCGGGAGATGCAACTGGAATTTTTTCCTCTACTTTTTCTTCCTTCATTTCCATGCTAATAAAAGCACTCGATAAACTTAAATCGGCAATTTCTTTATCGTTTTCTTTTTCTAAAATTGTATTTTCTGCGTCGAATTCACGTTCTTCTTCCACTATTTCGTTAGATTCTTCTGATGCTGTAATATTATTTTTGATGTGTTACGATTATATCCAAAATTTTTTTAAAACTTTTTAAAAACCTCAAACTTCTAAACAAACTGAAAAAACTTACAATTTTCCTTGGTGAATGAGGTTCTCGATGACAACGTCTTTCCAAATTCACCAACTAGAAAAGTATGCGTTTTTGGATCGTGTCCTTCTTCTCGAAGTGCCTGAAAAATCTCCAAATAAAGCCAACTACACAACCGATAAAGAGTCAAATAAAAGTCCGCGCAATTCCTCTCCTCTTACTGAACTGAATATAAATGAAAGAGGTGGAAAAATTATCACAACTAACACGATCTCCTCAATATTTCATTAAACATCCATCAGTTTGCAACAAAAACAAACAAACCGCTTCAAGACGCTCAACAAGTGCCAGCTTAATGCCACTTTTATCAAGTCCACGCTTTTCCAATTCTTGTTTTAATTCAAAAACACGTAATTCATTGATGGTAACGAACTTCGCTGAGGATGTATTCATTGCTACTTTCACAGCTAAATAAAATGTCATTGTACTTTTAAAAAAAGAGAAAAAATTATGAAATACGAAATTTATAAGAAAAAAAAGTGATAAAACGAGAAAAATAATAGAAAAATCCCCTCAAAAATCCCAAAAAATCCATTATTTTCTAAGTTTCTAAGCCTACAAAATAGATTCTTCCTTATCTATCAGCCGCAAAAATCACTTCTCACAGTCCTATTGATGCCTTAATGACTAATGCACTGAAATCCCTCACACCAATCAACCACCTTTATTCCAAACAGACCGACTAGACCTATTTGCGAGCATTAGACCAAGAACAATTCCACACGAATCGACATTGACACAATAAAAATGCCGGCAATTGACCAATCGATCAGTTATCCTGCAAGTTTTTACAGTCGTCTTAAGACCAGATTATAATGGTTCTTGCAGCACAAAAATTTAAAACCACCATTATTACCAATTCGCTCAAAATGTATTCTATTAAGGTAAGGCATTACAATTTAAGATGGTATTAAAGGTAAGGAATTTAACTGATGATAAGTTGTATATCAGATGAAAGTTGGTCATAACGGAACATTTATACAGCTATAGATAAACTTGATAACACCGATTTAAGACATTAAATCATGATCTATAGATCATTAGATCATCACCATCAGCCAACGAATCAATTTTATCAGCAATTAGAAAATCGAGATATTAAGATGATAGCACGGAACAATTTGATAATTTGATAACAAGAAAAATTTGCAAATAAGTAAATATAAGTTTGAAGCAACACTGAAAGGTCAAGAGGTCAACGACTTAGCAGTAGAGTAGTAGCAAATAAGGTAGGTGAACACGAAACAGAAAAGTCTCGGTGAATGATCAAATCAATGCTTAATAACCTTTTTTATAAATAGGATTTCTCGACTGATTGCGAGGCGAAAAGATTTCAACCTGCCAGCCAGTGGAACTAACAATGAATTATATATATGCCATAAAATAGAAGACAATTACGATTAACACGTAGGAAAAAATCAAAAAGATATTTATTGCTAACCAATAGATTTGCCATAAATATGATTGGATTTTTGGAGAATCTTCCAGTATAATTTATTTTGGTTCCACTAAATTTTCATTTCACTCCACTTCAATGAGTTCCACTCCCTTGAAATTCCCCGGGAATTGGTCGGTTATCGGCTGGCAATTAGCAATCGAAATATATAAGCAGGAATTACCTTATTTACTAAATTAGATTTTGGCAAAACTGAACGAAACGCTAAAAAATTATGCGGGGCTCTCTAGGCGAATAAACGAGACATGAACTGGCAAGCTGTGGCTAGCAACACGTCGATCTAATAAATTCAGCGACGACGCGAATAAACGACTGTGGCTGATCGTGATGAACCCAATGTCCAGAATTTTCGATTATCGAAAATTCGGAATTGGGAAATATTTTTTTTATATCACAAAATTCATTTTTATCAACGTAATTCGATTTCGCACCAATGATAAACAATGTTTTGCCCATAAAAATTTCGTTATCATTATTTAAAACATTATCAACTAATTTATTTAATTCTTTCAAAATAATATTTAAATTTAATTTCCATTTTAAATTTCCATTAGGTAAACGTTGAAGATTCGTTAAAATGAATTTACGTAAGTCTTCATTATCGATAAAGCTTTTTAAATTTTTATCAATCTTATCAATTGTTTCATTTAAATTTACATGCGTACGCATTATGTTAATTAAATTTAATAAATCCTCATTATCGTATTTTTTTGGTGAAATGTCAACAACAATTAGTGATTTCAATAAAAATTTATAATTTACTGAGAATTTCATCGAAATTTTACCGCCTAATGAATGACCGATTAGATGGATTTTTTTGAGATTTTCCATGTCGAGAAATTCTTTCAAATCATCCGACATTTCGTCGAATTCCATCGTTTCACGCCAAAACGAATCACCTGAAATTATCTTTTGGGTCAACCCAAAACTATTTCTATGACCCACAATAAATCAATAAGCCAAATTTTTTAAATGTTTAGGACTTTTTGAATGTCAATAAAAGCGAAATCGCTCGACTGATGGAAACAGGTCGGCATCGCTATCTCCTATTTGTATTAAAATGATTCAGTCCTTTTTTTTCGAACCTGAAATTAATTTAAAAAGAAACCATGATTTCTTAAATCAACAGCATAGATATCTGTATTAAGCTCTCTTAACAAAGCTTTAGCAATCGACTGCCAATTTCTTTTTTGACCAAATAATCCATGAACGATAACAACCGGATCGATATCACTTCTTTTATCACTCATATATTTTTTATATGATAAGCACTGTCGGCTTGAAATTAAGCGTTTACTTGACATAATTAATCGTGGAATTCTCCATAAATTGTCCAACAATAGTTTCGCAATCTTGAAAAAATTTTTACAAATCTACCGACCACAACTGTGGACACCAATGATCTATTTTTTATTTTATCACAACTAACCAATGTTCCTTCCCTGTTCGTTGATTAAATGGCTTTTAGACGCTATTAGTGATACCAATAATATCTTTCTCTCTTGCAACGCAAATTCCTCTCCCACAATTTACAATAATTTTTTTCCCACATCTAAACCTTTGCTTTCCCTTGTTGCCCATTTTCTTAACGATTTAACATTTCAGCTCCCCATGAAGTCGAAAAGGACCCTTTTTGGATCAAATTTGCCCTATAAAATTAAAATTTTGACAAATTCTTAAAATCTAAAAATCGCTTAAACGACAAGTGATAACCAATTGATAGATTAATGGCATCAAAAAAAGCAACTTTCCTACATTTACAATAAAGAAAACGAACCATTTTTTGCTAATAACGATACTCGCGAATAATTCTAACTTTTTATTTTAATTTATATTTACAAAATCGAAAAAAATTCGCAAAAAGTCTGCAAATAACCAAAGCAATTAAAAGATTACAAAAATAATTATTAAAAATTATCGAGAAAAATTACATATTTTATTTAAAAATTCGCTATTATTTCATAAAAAATTTCTATTTTTTCAGTCTTTTTTTGGTTAGAAAAAAGAAATGAACGATAAGATATGTCTTGATAATAATTAATAATAACATTAATAAGAATCCTTCCACACTTATAATATTTTATTAATAAAACAGCGATTTACCATGCATTTAAGAATCGTTAAAAATTGAAAATTCTAAAATGAAAGATTGAAAAAAATAAACTATGCCAAATAAAAACAATATATTCATAAGACATGAATTATTGTTTATTAAAGACTTACATTAGGAGTACAATTGTCAGACTAGAAGGAAAAAAGAGTAGCTGCAAAGGTTAAGAAGTTTTATGAAGGATTACAACAGATATTTTTGATGCTGAGCCAAAAAATCAAAAATTCATCAAGATTCATCATAATAATGAACAGAGATAACAACTAATATTCGAAAAGGAAAGGCTCGATTAAACTAAAAATTTTTTTATTTTTCATGCAATCTATGCCTAATTTTAAAACGACCTAAAACAAAATTTAAGTATTATACAATTTTTCAAATTACAAAATGGAAGAAAAAACTATATGAGTAAGAGTGTCTTCCGGCACATTTGAGTATCTTTTTATCTGAAATAAAAATAGCAAAATTAATCAGTAATCAATAAGTAATGTAAATAAATCATGAAAGCACAATATTTATAATATTATAAGTAAAGTAAGTATAAAATATAGACTATACTTAAAACTAAAATATAATAATAAAAATAACGACGGGAATACAAAATGGCAATGGATCAAAGATATGCTAATTAACAATTAATGGCTAACTCATTTCGAGTTCATTGCAGGATTTCGTTAAGATATGTCTGTTTTATAGTTTGAAGAAAACAGATGGACTTACCGACTTAGTTAAAATTTAGAATTCATCGAACTGATCCTATGGACAGATTTCAATTCTAAGGATAAAGGAATATAAAATACCTCGAATTATGCAATATGAAATTCAAATCAAAAGGCGACAGATCGATGAGTTACATTCGAGTCAAAACCAGAATGTCTTGTAGAAGAAATGGTTTCTGAGGAATGTTGTTCTATGGGCTGACCAGGTAATGTCATTGAAGGATCAGCTGCAGAAAGTTCCTCAGCTAAAGATGGACTCGAACCGTTACGTTGTAAAACTGATAATAGTCGAGGATTCGTCGTAGCGAGCTTCTACAAAAGAAAAATTTTAACTAAAAATAACCAAAAATGCATATTTATTATAAAAATCTATAAAACAACCTATAACAATCTATTACAAACAATCTAGATTTTTATAATTTTCTAAATTTAAAAAGAAAAATATTGATACCAAGAATACAATATTTTTGAAAGCCAAGCTAGCCAATGTTTCACTGTTTCATTCCGATATTTTTTCCCATACTATTTACAAACGAAATGAGTCCAAAATTATTTCAGCAAATTAATGATGATTTAGTCCCATTCACCACTTGGAGTGACTTAATATTTTCCTAATACCTTTTACTGCCATGAAAGCTTCTAATATAATAAATTAAATTTATTTTAAAAATACGTAGATTACGTAAATACATTCGAAACAACGAAGATTCGCAATTGAATCATCTCCAAGTTCCATGATATGAAATGATTACCATATTTTTTATATTTTCTCAAGCAAAAAATAAGAAGAAACCTGAAGCACAGAAGCAGTTGTCTGGCTAAATGCATATGAGCTCGAATCAACTGCACTATCAATATCTTTGAACGATTCCTGTATTCTGTCCTTAAAAATTAAAAGTACATTTTCCCAAAATTTATTTCACTTTTTACATTTCATGGGAAAACATGCAAAACTTATTATACTAAACCTGTATCAAAAAAAAACAAACGTTAAATTTAATAACTCGTTGAGATGTTGGATTTACAATAGCTGTTGGTGTTCGACGAGTACGACTCATAATTGATGCTAATTTTGCTTTCCGTTCTTCACGTTCACGTTGTTCTTGCTCAGCGCGTTCTTCGGTTGTACGACGCCTTTCATCAGTTATTCGTCCTTTTTCATTTTCATTCACAGCACCAGATACATTTTCATTAATATCATCATGCGTGCAACTGTTGCTGCTTTTAAGCAATGTATTATTTTGCTGACCAATATCCTCATTACTTGGCGCGGCAATAAAGTGTGTTTCAGATATGTCATTCGATTCTTCGATTTTCCAATCTTGATTCAATCTTTTTTCCTCTTCATGTTGCTGAAATTTAGTTAAACCATTTTTCATAGAATCTTCCAATTGTTTTTGTGGTTCACTTAGACCACTTAATTCATTTTCACTTTCTTTCGAACCCTGTTGGAATTCAACTGAATCAACCGTTTCCACTGACTCTTTGAATAATTTTTGCAACTCGAAATTAGTACATAGTTCATCTCCTTCATTGACATCCTGCTTTTGAGATTTAATTGAATCCAATTTCAAATCACTTCTTTCTGTCGCAGCGTCCAACTTCAAGTTTTGTTTTTGATCATCAGATAAAATAGTCAACTCTATATTCTGATTTTCAGTTAAATTTCCCGTGAATTCTTGTTGATTTTCAGTTAAATTCACCAACAATTCAGAATTAGCACCCAGTTCATCTACCTGTTGATTTTCAGATGAATCTTCGAGCTTTAAATCTTCTACAACCCGTTGATCAGATATAACTGCACCAAATTTCAAATCTTTTTTTTCTGTTAAGATCTCCAATGTCAAATCTTGTTGATCGTCAATCAACTTCGCAATCAGATTTTCAGCTAAATCCTCTAATACGTCTTGATTTCCAGCCGAACTCTCTATTTGTTGTTGCTGATTTGAATTTTCCAACTCCAAATTTACTCTTTGATTTTCAGATAAATCTTCGAGTTTCAGTTCTGGTTGATGTTCAGTGAAATACTCCAGTCTCAAACCTTGTTGTTGGCATTCAGTTGAATTTTCCAATTTCACAGAATAAACAGAATCAACAGGTTCTGTAGTAATTTCTTTGGTGAGTTTATCAACATCATTTAGTTCTTTTTGAATACTTTCATTCATATTCTGTTGTGAATGAACTGGGACTTCCAGTTTAATAGATCCATTAAGTGCTTCCTTTTGCAACTTATTGGCACCAATATTCTGAAAATTCACAATATTTGAAAAAAAGATTTAATGAATATATCAAAAATTCGTAAATAATAGCAATATAGCAATCATTTAAATAATTTAAATAGTTCAAAAATTTTAAAAAATGAAACTTGCAGAAGAAAAAAAACTTTTACCTTTTTGGACTTGATTGCTTTCACTTGTTTAGTAGTATCAGAATTTCTAACAAAAGTTTTATGTAATTTCGGAGATTCAGATTTAAGCAAAGTCTTAGACTTAACTTTAAGTTCAGCCGAACTGAAAATAATAAAAGCTTAAGAATTTTGCTCCCAAATATATATTTTTAAATCGGAAAATACAAAAAATTTTCAATTCAAAAAATTTACCTCATATTCAACGTTGTCTTTTGACGATGAATTTGCTCAACGGATAAACCAATAACCATTTTATTCAATTTGTTGGTGGAACGTATATTAACCTTATTATGTTCAGGAGAGTTTTGATACGAGAGCAATGCTAAAACAAAAATTTATTAAAATGATGAACTAAAGTAACAACTTGAAACGAGCCTATTTGAATATTTTTTTTTCAGCGCTGGATTTGAAACCTGAAGCTCATTTTATTTAAATAGAAAATGGTCATTTTATCCAATGTAAAAGATTGTATACCACGAAATAAAATGAAAACTTTGTTCTTTTTTTATTAAAGGGAAAGAACTGAAAAGACGACATTAATTATGAATTCAAATACGATGATAAATGTTACAGAGCACCTTTTCCAGTTGTGCTCTTAGTACGGCAATTTTTGCCATGAAATCATTTTGTTATGAATATAAATATGAGCGTATAGTCAGAAGCGCTCAGAATTTTTTAACGACAAGTTTACTCCTGTCAAACACAAGAGCCTAATCTCTACCCTTAAATAATCTGAACCACTAGGCACTAGCCACTATGCTAGCCTATTATAATAAAAACGAAGAAATAAAAAATTGGTCATTAGATTTTTTTAAAAATAATTTCTCCTAAAAATATTGTTTTTTCAAAAATTCCTCATTCACAAAATTTTTTAATCAAAAATTATTTATTTAATCTTTTCAAATAAGTGAAAAAATGAACCGGAGCATTGAGAATCCACTGAAGATTTCACTGAATGTGGCGGAGTTTTCGAACTTAATAGCGCAGACTGCGTCATAGTGGCCGGAGATATAGCTTTACTGCGAAGTCTTGGTTCTAATCGCATCATATACATACTATGCGCCATTGATGGATTTATCTGTGCTCTAAGTGGTACAAACGACTTCCCACCTGGTGTGCTGCCACCAGTCGTTAAAGGACTGCTGGTAACCGGTGGACGCAAGCGACGATCATACAGCTTCAATTAGAGCTACATAGAATAAAGAAGTGCAATTAGAATTTAAATATTCTATTTTTTATTCTTTAGTATTCGAGAAATGCAATTTTAAGAGTAAGAAAACCTTTTGTTCCTTGGTAAGCTGGGTAAGATATTCCAGCTCACGAGGGGTACTACTTCCGAATGCATATACTGGCTTCGGTTTATGCTGGGCGGTGAGTCGAGAGGCTGCAGCATGAGCTTTTGAAAGAATTGCCTGAAAAAAAAATTTTCTATTTAAAATTTTGATTTCCGAACACATAAAACTTACAGCCCTTCGTTCCTTTTCTTCCGCAAGAAAAGCAGCACGCCGATCCAAAACGGCTTTTGCTCGTAACATTTCACGCTGCTGATATTCGCGCTGCTTTTGTAGCCGCTAAAAATAAATATTGTATGGAATATGATGATTATTCATGATTGATTGATTCTGTTTTTTATCTTACCCTCCACAACAATTTCTAATTGCTACCAACAATTTCTTACCTTTGCAATCCACTTTTTCGTTAATTAATTAATTAATTCGTTAATTAAAATATATTCCATAAAATTAAAATAAATTTTTATTGCTCTTAATATTCTAATCAATTTTTTTCCAACCATGATTCCTGTTTTCTTCTAGAAGGTATCAAATCCTCAACTGCTGAAAATCTCCAAAAAACGTTTCTATTCCTCTCTTGCTGCATATAGATCTCTCAAAAATAGTACATGGGATAGGACTGTGGCAGCTCGAAATTCAGTGTCGATAAATAAAAGATAGTTCAAAATATTTGCCACTCGTTTTAGATTAACACAATTTTTTAGATAAAAATAAACAAATAAAAAAACAACTGTTCAATTAAATTTTCTCGCTTTGTCACAGCAAAGCACTAATAATTTAACTAACTGAAAAAAAACCTCTTTCTTTTGCGCGACAGCTCTGGCAATTTTTTCATCTTTAAGCCGTTTTGCTGCTTCACGACTATAAAAAATAAATTTGCACTCTATAAAATAGAAAATTCTTTGCGAAAAAAACTGTTCTAAATTTATATTTACTTTTTCAAAAAAAAATTTCAATAAATTTCATTTTTTAAACCAATTTAACTAAAATTTACGATTTAAAGAATCTAACATTAATCGACTTAAATACTTTCTTATTCAACTGAAGAAAAAGAGTGAATGGAAACGGAGAAATTAGCATGCGAGAACTACGAGTACAGTGTCGGACTAAATCTCTTAATAACGCTGCCCTTTCTCACTGAAATGATAATTGTTTTTAACGAACTACAGCAATGCAGACGTTGAACTGCACTTCGTTAGCTGCGGTGACAAGAAAACTCGCTTCAAATCACCGTAAATAAGATTAAACTCAATTATATAGCCATAGAAGAAGAAAACTTCGACGAAACTAACCGCTGCTCGAGTTCCATTTGCATTGCGGCCCTCCGTTTAGCGACTTCTTCCTTATTTGCCTTCTTCAAACTATTCATTTGCAGTGATCGTTCAGGCTGCGTTCGATTCATTTCCCCCATTTTTTCTTTAATTCGGTAAAATTATTGAATTACTCCACAATCGATGTTCAAAACGCGGAAAACTTTATCGATTTCAACTGAATTTCATCATTATCCACTAACGAAATAATCAGTTATATTTTCCGTTTGCTAAATAAAACACTCCAATGAATTATTCATAAATTTGCCTTTTTTCACTTTTCTTTTTTAAATATCACTAATTTAATCTCAAAAATTACGGCTGAAAAATCGACCATAAAATATAAAAATTATCGAAAAGAACAGTGCAAATTGTATTAAAAACGAAATCAATTATTAGCAATTAATTATAGGAAAAATAATATATAAAAATTAAACAAAGAATAATAAACGACCATAGAGATAAAAAAAATTACACGATTCAACTCTATTCATGGACACTTATCGATTCTTTAGTGGTGGTTTCTTTGGTTACTCCTATTTTATTCCAGAGAAATATTTACTGGGAAAGAAAATTTTTGCTTTTCGTTACTTTTGCTATAAAAGTGGACTATAGATAGCCAAAAATTAGCAAAATAATAAAGTAATGGCGAAAGTAATGGAGTTTAAAAATCAATCAAAAATATTGACAACATGTTATTACACAAAAAAAATTTATGAGAGAATTATTCACAGACTTCGCTTATCAAAAATCTTCGTATCTACGATGAAAGTTTTTATAAAATTGGCATTGTAACCTAAAATAAAATACAAAAAGAATTTGGAAAATTTGGCGATTAAGAAAGATTTTTAAAAAAATTTAACGAAAAATATTTTTTACTTTCGAGAAAAAATGAAAACCACAAACAAATTCAACAAATTCAACACAAATTCAAAAAAAAGCATTTTTTAAAAAAAGTACTTTCTAAAGAATTGCAAATCTTCAAATAACTGCATAAATCATTTTACATTTTTATTAACATAAAAGAAACAACAAAAAAAACAAAAAACAGTAAAAAAATAGTCGAAATAAAAAATTCTAAGAACTAAAAATAGTCATTTTCCAATTTTCTTCTTTCCTTGTCGCTTTTTGATGTGTTTCGGAGTCTTATTTGATCGATTCTCACGGCGTTCTTCTTTTACTAATCTTTTACGCTCCTATAAAATATCGAATAAAACGCTGGTTGCTAAATTTAGTAAAATAATTCTAAAATGAAAATTATAAAAAAATTATTAACAAAAAGACAATGAGAAATTTAAAATAAACTTAAAATTTATAAATAAAATTTTAATACAAAAACAAATAAGCCTCGGGGCAGCTAGAAATAAAAACGATATATATATAAAATTAATTCATTCCTAGCATTTCTAACGTTTTATCGCCATTTTACTGATATAAACTATGGAAAATGTATTAAATAAATTGAACATCAATAAAATTAAAAATTAAAATTTTTTGCCACAAATTTTAGCTTTCGACCAATTCACCAATTCACTTTAACTTTCGACCAATTCACGTAAATTCACCATTAAATTACTATATTCATTTAAAAAATACTTTCATTAAATATTATATTTCAACATATTGACGAACTTTTTTTGTATTTGGTGACTCATTTCTACTCCGATAATGAATATTTTTCACAATATTCATTTTATCTTCCTTATTTCCACTAAAATTCTTATTTTCTTCACTTTCTTCTGTTGTCTCTTCTTCTCCTTCGCTGTGACTTGCACTGGACTAAAATCGAGAAAAGCCGATAGAATATAAAAAGTAGAGATGACGAAATTATTCGAGGCACTAGATAAAATGGCGCATAAAAAGGTGAAACCAAAAAATTCAATACATACTTTTATACGATATTCCCTCTTTGTAATATTACTTTGAAAATTTGAAAAAGCAGCTGGCCCATCGACTTTTGAAATCATTGTCTGATAAGGATTGGGTACTTCTTCACCTTCCTTCGCCATAAGTGAATCTCGTTCAAAATATAGCACATGATCCAGTTTTTGTGCGATAAACGCGTTCATAAATAATATATCATCTTCTTTCGCTTCACACGACCTATTGTTTTTAATATTTGTTGAATAAATTATGTTATTTATTCACTATAAAATAATTTTAAAAAACTGGAATTTACAAAAAGGAAGATGTGAATGGAAAAAAATGACAAAAATACAAATCCTTATACGATATTCTACCTTTTATTCAGAAATTTATCAATATCAGACTCATTTTTTATTGAAGAATCCGTGATAAACTGAAAAAGATCACGAACTGATAAGACTGCAACCTAAAAAGCATTAATAATAACTAATAATATGAAGAAAAAATAAAATTTTAAAACAAAAATTTGTAAATAAGTTAGAAGTGATCCCAAATTTTTAATATCGTTTTTTCAAATAAAAGCATTTAGAAGCAAAAAACAAACTAATATAAAATTAACCAACTCCTCTTTCATGAAAAAATTTGGTTACATTCGAGCAATCAGATCGAAGGAAATCCAAAGAATGTGGATGATCATGTTCAACAGATTGTGAAACATCAATAATATATAACTGCTCATCACAAACAATTAAATTATATTCAGACAAATCAGCATGCACTAATCGACATTGACGATACAAATCCCTCATATTACGCACCAATTGCAAATAAAATTTTTCGGCAAGTGATTCAGATATATTCGCATTCTAATAAGAAATTCATTTCATTTTAATACATACCTGAATTGAGCAATGAACAAAGAATAACAATAAACGTCAACCAAATTCAAGATACAATTTATAATTTAATATACAATTTAATAAGCAATAAATCCAATTTTATATTCCCATTAATTGTTAAATTTCGGAGAGAATCATCAAAATGACTCATTTTTGCTTGTGGTATGGATATTGCCAGGTCCTGATAGAGTTAAACCTGTCATTAAAAATCCTTTGTGGTTCCCTGTATTTTTACTACCAAGTGGTACTTCTAATACCTTCACTTCTGGTTCCTCAGCAAAAATAATCGTCGAATTAATAGCCAGCAATGCTAGCCTAACCAGACATGAAATGAACACTATTTTCAATTTTAAATTTTTTGGTTATCCGTGTTTCACATTTAGTATTCAATGAATCATTGAATATTAATTAAAAAATATTCATCAATAAAAAATTACTTTATATTATTATTCAGTCTAAAGATTGCAACCTCATACAACTAATCGTTGGTATTTGATAATCGTTGTTACACTATATCACAACAGATATAATACCTTTAATAACGGTGCAGGCCAACCATCTTTGCCAATGAAATCCATAACAACAACATGACCTTTCAGTGCATAAGGTTTAGGAACAGGCAGACCGTTTTGATACATCCTTAATAAATTTCTCATTTCTTTTTCGGCCCATGTAGCAACCATTTTCCTCGGATTATGTTTGCAATATCCACGCCGATATCTAAACTTAAAATTGTTAATGAACATAGGAAAATAAAATATTGAGAAAAATCATGAAGGTCACCAAAGAACAGGTGAACAATTTATGAACTCCACCTGAATTCCCCAGTGACATATCGATCACGATCCTTAAAAATTAATATACTTGTTTTATACACTTTCAAAGCCAAACTCTTAGTTTCACCATTTTTTGCGTGATAAACGTTTGCTTCTTTGCCAGTGCTTATACAACCATCGATCGATGAAAAAATGCCCTTTTGGAGAAGGCGATATAGAATTAAACGAGTTCGTGTATCCATAACCTATAGTCCAAGAAAATTATTAGATTATAAAAGTGAAAAGATATAGGTAAAAAGTGCTAAAGCTAGCTAAATAAAATAAATAAAATACTGAAAAAGGACAAAAGTACCTGTTCAACAGTTCCTCGATCTGCTCGATCTTTTACTTTTCTTGATGATTTCCTATCATCAGTAAAATCACCTATTAAAATATTTCTTGACAGCTGATCTAAAATTTCAATACTTCAATATTTATTATAGTCGATATTATATTATAAAATATAAAATATAAAAAATATACAATTCATTCATACATAAACGAAATATCCCTTATAAAACATTTTCAAAACTAGGAAAAAAAATTTTGAAACCTTGATATTTTAGCTTTCCCCATTTAAAAAAAATCTTTTAATGACATAAAATTTTGCAGCGCCATTTAAGAACGAAAACAGAAAAAAAATATGAACTTAGATGAGTGGAACTACATAGTAGGCTGCTGTGATTCGTATTGCTGTTTGGCTGAAAAAAATTTCGCGGAATATTCAGTTTTTCAGTAAAAAAGAGATAATTTCTAATAGTCTTCGAATATATGCCTGCATTGAATATTTCGATGGCTTATTCTCTGCTTTTATAAGATTTTCCATTTTATAATTCAATTAAGTGGAAGAAAAAAAACCTGATTTAAACCGATTCTAATTGCATTCAATTTTTTGGTGAAATCTGAAAAATATTTCGAAAAATCAGAATTAATGTATACTGAAAATTAAAAAATTAATTTGAAAAAATTTTTAAGATTCGAATTTTAACATTTTTATTCGAAATTTAATAATGGAATCCAATTGATTAAAAAATTTAATGTAATAAACGAGGAAATCCAACTGAAAAGTTAATTTATTAGCCGATTCCAAATATAATTCCCGGAATATTATATCGAAGGAAAGTTATGGTCCATTTTTCGGTCTTCGATTTTGGCTTTGGTAAAAAATCACAACCGAAAAAAAATACAAGACAACTATAATTATTTGAATAATTTCTCTTAATTAGTAAAGATGTAAATGTTAATGTTTGATTGACAAGTGGTCGAATTGTATGAACAAGAAAGTATATGATGGCTTGAGGGTTTCACGAATTATCCTTATTTATATTTTGACTTAAGCATTTTTGATTAGGATTGCTTCATGGTTGGTAAAACAAGACACTTTGGAGAACAAGACAAGTCGTGATTTGGAACTAGGAATAGTATCAGAACAGACCCCCCTCATCATCGTGAATCTTCGCTGCATCTAAGTCCTATTGAGACGAATAGAATTATTATTATTATTCGAATTTCATAATTTCTTTCGATTAGATTAGCAACTGTTTTTTGTTTTATGCTTAAAATTCATGCATGATGCACTCCTATATGTTTTTTGGCATAAAATATCTTTAAAGAAATTACATACAATATGAGTGCAGAAAGTTCGACTTCTTCTCCCCGCATTAAAATTATTCAGCATAACAATTTTCAATGGAGAATGAAAGCAGCTCAACAACTGTACAACTAAGGAAATTCGCTGCTGTGGTATTAACTGAAGTAAATACGCTACTGGACCTATTGATATCTGCTTATCCGTTGAAGATTTAAATATCAAAAATAATGGTGAAAACATTTCCTCTGTTTTAAAAAAGCGAAAAGTAGCATGGGAATTTATTATTTGAAATTTCATAAAAAATGAATGAACAGTGGACCTCACGATGAATTAGTGGTATTCAAGCCTTTTATTAGGAGAGAGGATAGTGTACTTAACAAGCAGAATAAAATATGAATATGGAAAGCACAAAAATATTTGAAAAATTCTGAAAAAAATTTTTAGCAAAGCAAAAAATATTTGCAAAAATTTTAGACCACATGTTATGCTAATAATAATATAAAAAATATAAAGTTGATTTTTTGAAATAAAATAAAAACTATTTTATCTGCATTTTATCTAAAATTTTTTTTCTGTATTGAAATTTTAAAATAATTTACGTTATACTTCTGTTCTTAATGAAACTTTCGAGTTTTTGCTTCAGCTGAACTTCGGTTCGGTCGGTATAATTTCCCCTCCGCTACTCCTAACAATTTCTATTTTCAGCTGTGTTGCTCGAGATATATGCATAAATATATTACATATGGGATATATTAAATATACAAAAAAATAAGACATCTACACAAAATATTTTCAAACATTTTTATGTTCCATAGTCTATGCTTAAAGTGGTCCTTTCAATGTGCAGCTCCTTCAAAAAAATCAAAATCAATCTCGAAAAAATCAATTCAACCAGTGAAGTGGAACAAGAATCTTAGTTGAAACAGATGGCTAATTTAACAAGTTTACTCGAAAACAAATTCATTCAATTATCTTTATCGGCAAACTTTATCAAAGTAGAAAGTGAAAGTAAATAAAGTAGAAATACCGGCCGCTTCATCCGAATAAAAATCATTCAGTATATCATCTTCGCAGTCTTCTTCATCACTATAATCAGAATGAAATTGTTTACAATTGTAGAGTTCACCCGAATCAAATTGATCGCTTCTCTCAACACCAGTTAAACTGTTATCAACAAATTTTGAAGCCATAATTAGTCACCTGAAATAAGCAATCGCAATTATGCGATGAATGAATTAATTAAATTATTGCGCAAAAAAGAAGAGTTTTATCGCACGAGAAAAATCTTTAAAATGAAATAAAACAAGTTTTGGCGAAAATATCGAAAAAAAGAAACAAGCAAAAACATCAAAAAACAAATCGGAAAATTAATGGAATTCTCACTGCCATTTATAAACAAATAAAACCAAATATAAGACCGAGGCAATGAAAACTGACCTTTAAATCGACATAAATCAGTAGTCTCTTCGACTATCCCTGACTAACTAAGCTGATAAAAGCTGATAAAACATATTTTTCTTACAAAATTTTTTCATTAACAAAAGAGGTGCTAAATTTTAAAATTTGCTAAATTGCTAAATTTTAAAATATCTTAAAATATTAAAATTTTGAAATAAATTCTAAAATTTTAAAAAACTTTTTAGTCGTTTTAATTCCAGAGAAAGAAACCAAATGTTGAGCATTTTTAAAACAATTGCCGTCGACAGCAAATAGTTTTATCTAAATTTCAACACCATTTTCAAATTCGGGCAATTTTTATCGAAACATTTCTTTTACATTTTTGAAAGAGTAATACTGAGGAGAACAGAACTTAATAGAATAAGCAGAAACAAAGGTCAAAGTTCAAATTCAATATTAACGCTTCCCCAGACACCCCACCGCACCATATCTTACCATTACAAATCATACCTTACTCCTTGTTATGATTTTTATGGCATTGCGAAAAATAAACCCAAAACCTGTTTGCATGGAAAGTCGCCAAGAATTTAAATGGTATTGGGTCTTTAAGTGATTTTTTGTCTTCAGTATTTCATTTCTCAGATATTCATTTCATTTCGTTGTATGAGTTTTAGAGAATTTATAAAAGGACGATGAGCCAGGAATTGTTGGATCAACCGTTAAATCCGGAATTACTTCAACAAATTTTAGCATTTTTCAAGAAAAATGGCTTAACAGTTACTTTTCTTCGATTTTTAATATTTAATTGTATAATAAAAAAAAATTGAAAGATTCTAAAATTCCTTTAAAAAATTTCTTTCAAAATTTTACCAAAATAATTTTATTTTTCAAAAAAGTGAAATTTTCGGTTTCGTTTTATTTTATTTAAAAACTTTACTGCTTTATTAGGAAGCCGAAGAAGCATTGTCAAGGGAAACAGCTGCAGTTCTTCGCCTCTCGAAGGATTCGGTCGAGATTGGTGACGCAAATAAGTTGGCTCTTTTGTATTTCTTTATTTGGACATTTGACTGAGTAACTAAGCTGGTAAAAGCTGATAAAACATATTTTTATTGGACATTTAGACATTTGGCTGAGTAGCGAAGATTTTTTTAGAGTTTCTTTATTTTTACCTATATGTTGGATTAAAGTTTAATGGAAAAAAGAAAAAATTTTATTAAAAATTTTAGTGATGCAATGATACGCGAATATTCTGCACTTTTAAATCACATAAGTGCATCTTTTGATAACTATCGGGCTGAACTTTCCGCTTTATTGTATCCAGTTTTCGCCCATTTCTATATTCAGCAAATTTTGGAAGGTCACAGCTTATCTGGTATTTATTTCTTTATTCATTCGCCCAATGCCAAAATTTTTGAAACTTATAATTGAGATGCTGGAAAACGAAAAAAACTCTGTTGTCTTGAATATTGTCTTTTTATAATACTTATTATAATATATTTGATACAATTTTTCTTACGTTTTCAGCTGCAGTATTTAGTGAAAAATTTGCTAAAAGCATACCATCAATATATGAAGAGCAAGTCTGCTCTTTGACAAGAATTTCAACTCACGGCCAGGCAGCTAATCATCCACTTGTACATGCGCTCACGTAATTTTTTATTTTCTTTCGCTATAGCAGTTATATCTAAAAAATAATTTTAAATTATATCCTTTTTATGAAATCTGATATCGTTTTATTTTATAAATAGGCTCTGCCATTAATATTTTAACATTGATTTTTGTCTTAGGAAAAATCAATTTGTTGTTCGTATGTCGAAATCTGCAATCAAGCAACTTGAACCGTTTTTGAATCGCAATAGCATCATAAGAGATTTGATTCGTGAACATCTCGTTATCGAAGGTAAACATTCTTGTTCAAGACTTAAGTTTTCTTTTTCATGTTAATTTAATTTTTTTTGCATCATTTAAGATTATTTCGTTTTAACGGAATTTTATTAATTTTTAGCTGTGGATGGGCCAAGAACAAAAGCAGCAATTGAAGCTACTATGGGTGGAATTATTGGACAAGTGAGCAAACAAGGTTTCAATTTTTGGTTCAAATTTTTTTTATTCTGTTAGTACTTTGTACAGATTTCTTTTTGGTTTATTTTTTATAAAAAATTTTCAAAACATTAAAACATTCTTATGGCGTTAATAAATGAAAATATTTAGATCGGAAACATAAAATGTATTACGGAACTGTAAAGGACGATTTGTCAAGTCCATTAGGCGTTGAAAAGAAGAAATCTAAAGGAAAAGACAGGAGTGATTCTAAAAAGAAAGATGCCAATGGACCTGTTCCTGATCGTATCCCACTACCAGCACCGTTAATCTTTCACATTTTTTATACATTTTTATATATATTTTATACATTTTTTTACATTTTTTATACATTTTTTATCGAACATTTCTGATGAACCGTTATTTAGATGCGAAAAGCGATTGTTATGTAAAGAACCTTTGACAAAAAAAATACGAATATCATCAGAATCACCTCCTTCTGTATGTCTTTACACTGCCTTAAATGCTCATGGTGGACTTACATCTGCAGATATCTCTGAAGATAGTACTTTCTTAGCTTTGGGGTATGGCAGCTCACTTATACAAGTACGTTTTTCTTTATTTTAATATTGTTATATTTCTTTAATATTGTTATATTTATATTTCTTTCTTGATTCGATTTAACGAAATACCAGTAGAAAAATGATTAATGAAGAAAGAAAGAAGGGCTTAATAATGATGTTAATAATAGGTTCATGCACTCGGCGAAGAAAAATTTCGTCCCTTAAAAAAGATTGATCAGCTTGAAGCAATCGATCAGGAATCTGAAGATTCACTTGAACAAATATATGATGATTCTCAGGCAACAAATATTCTCACTTTCACGGTTTCATTTATTTTTATTTTGTTTATAAATGGTAAATGTAGTAAATCTACTTGCTATATTTCAAATCTTTTTTTAAATGTTTTTTTATATTATTTATTTATTAAAACAATTTGTTTGGTAAAAATTTATTGCTGTTTTAATATTTATAAATATCGCTTATAAATTCTATATTTTTCGTTTTCATTTATTTTTATTTTAAGATTTTTTAGGGTCATAGTGGGCCTGTATTTTCTTTATCATTTTCTCCCGATAAGCGTTTACTGCTTTCTTCTTGCCGTGATTCAACCATTCGATTATGGAGTCTTGGTGCCAGACAAAATGTTGTCATCTATCGACAGAGTATGCCAGTTTGGCAAGTATGTCTTATCGGTTCGAATTTTTTTTCTGAAAAAAATTTCATGTAATATTTTTAATTACTATATCTTACTGTAGAATTTGACTATAATTTCTGTAGGCCCAGTTTTGTTCTCGATCATATTATTTTGCCACGGGTGGTGCTGACGGAACAGCAAAATTATGGGCAACCGATCGCTTACAACCGCTTAGAATATTCGCTGATGCGTTATCAGATGTTTCTTGTATAGATTTTCATCCAAATTGCAATTATATTGCTGGCGGTAGCGATGACCGTTATGTTCGTGTATGGGATGTTCTTTCTGGGGTATGCGTTCGTTGCTTTTCTGGTCATAAAGGTGCAGTACGAACTGTCAAGGTTTTTTTTAATTTATTAATTGGATGATATTTTATATTTTATTTGATTTTATATTTTAAATAAGTATAATTTTCGGAAAAATTTATTCAGATTAGTCTTTTGATTTTTACAGGTTTTTTCTTATAATTAAAAGGTTTAGACATCACCATGTGGACGCTATCTCGCTTCTATTGGAGCGGAAGGTTCAATTATTATATGGGATATGGCAATGCAAAGAATGTTGTGTATGTGTGATACTACTCCGTTTTCTTTCTCAACAGCAATGGCTTTTTCTCGTGATGGTTCTGCTTTAGCAGTTGCACGTGCTGATTGCGCTCTTTCTTTTTATTTAATGGACTCGATAATTTCTTCCATGAATCTGCAAGATCATTTAAATCAAGATCCGAAGTATTAAATTTTTTTTTTGTAACTTTTCATCATTTTGAAATATCCCATTGTCTGTGGCAATTTTTTTCTCTTATTTCTTTTTTTCTTTAATTTTCTTTTGTTTCTTTAATTTGTCTTTATTAAATCTCTCAACATTTTGTCTGTAAAAAAATAAATTTCAGAATCAATCCGAGTGGTTTTCATTTATCAACATATGCTACTAAAAATACACCCATATTAGATTTACATTTCACCCGCAGAAATCTGGTTTTGGCTGTTGGTTCTTATGGGCAGTGATAATTTCCAGTAATTTATTTTTTTGTATGAATTAAATTATTATTACATTAAATTAAATTAAATTATTGCATTAAATTATATTTGTATATAGTTGTAAATATCAATAAACGTTTGAATAAGTTTTTCTTTTCTTATTTTTATGGGATGTTATCCTAATCATTTTTTGCAAAATAGGCCAAAAAGAGGAAATTTTTTATTAAAAATTGTCTATTGTATACTTATTCGTCGGGAATTTGATTTAAACAAATTTATTTAACAAAAATTTGTTTATTTGATAAGAAAGACTTTTGATGCTATTTTTTTAAAAATAAACGGTAAAATCATTTAAAAAATTCCCATTCATTTGTAATCATTGTCCTATTTGTGAAGTGCATTAGTGAACTTTTTGATTTATTTGCGTTTTTGAATAGCTTTTCCATCCATATTGTTGATAAATTGTTGTTATTTAAAGCTATTTAAATTTTATAAGCGTCACGACCTAACAGCATGTCGAGTTTCGTCGAAGGATTGACGAGTCCCGAGGTCGAAATTGCTGAAGGTGGTGCGATAGTCGATAACAAAGCGTATGCATTTCAACTGGCTTTCTCTTTAATCATTTTTAGAGAGTTTTGCTTTATTTTTTTGCAAAACAATATTAGGAATGTTTTAATACTTTATTTTGTTAATATTCGATTTAGGAGATTTGCTGATTTGAAAGCCATGCTGGACAGCTCAAAAGATAGTCTAAAGATGGATGCGATGAAGCGAATTATTAATGTTAGTATTTTTCATGGTGGAAATTAGATGAAAAATTTTTGTTTGCGGAATGGCAGATTTATATGATTTATTCATTTTTGAAAATAATATTCTTTTAATAAAAATTCATCACTTTTCCATTGGATTATACTATACCAAATTCACTAAACATTTAGTTAGTGGCAAAAGGTCGTGACGTTTCGGAATTATTTCCTGCAGTTGTAAAGAATGTTGCAGCCAAAAATCTTGAGGTTTTTTCGTCATATTTATCATATTTTCATCATATTTACTTTGATTTTTTTTCAGTTTTTTGGTCTCTTAAGTGGTTGAAACAATTGAGTAGTTTGGATAAATTTTATTTTTTTATTTTAACTTTATTTTTTTTAACTCGATGCATTTTCCATTAATTTTTTTTCAGCTAAAAAAATTAGTTTACGTTTATTTGGTGCGTTATGCTGAAGAACAGCAAGATTTAGCCTTGCTTTCAATTAGCACATTCCAACGAGCTCTCAAAGTATATTTTGTATTTTACGATATTCCCATCTATGCAATTTACATTTTCATATTAAAATATATTGAAAAATGTTTTATAAATTCTTTATTTATTTAATAATTTGTCTTTATTTAATAAATTGATATTTTCTATCATCCTTTTTTACTTTCTTTTTAGGCTTTTAATAGGATTCAAAATATATATTTGAATTGGTACATAATTTTTTATTACTACAAATGACTTTACAGGATCCGAACCAGCTTATTAGAGCTAGTGCTTTACGTGTTCTCTCCAGTATTCGTGTACAAATGATTGCTCCAATTTTACTTCTTGCTATACGCGATTCGGTTCGCGATATGTCCGCTTATGTTCGAAAAGTAAATTTTGGTAAAGTTAATTTTAAGGTTGCCTCCAGTAATTTTCTCATTAAAAATTTTTAAATTTTCACTTTTAACAATTTTTTGCCAAAAATTAATTTTGTTGTTGCCAAAAATTAATTAATTTTGAATAATAATAAGAAAATATTATTATTGCAAAATAATAAGATAAAAATAAATTTTATTAAATTTTTTTCTAATTTCTGAAAAATTGGAACCATTTTTTTAATTCACCACTTCATTCTTTTGGAGCATGGTGGTTACGTCGTAACATGACATTGAATTGAAATTATGATAGAGTTAAACTGTTACTGAAATTATAGTTCATTTTTAATGTAAGCTCCATCCTTTTTTTATTTTATTTTCTCTTTTTATTCGTTTCTATTTGTTCAGTTTCTATTTGACCTCATTAATTCTAACCATTTATACCATTAACACTTGCTTTATTATTTAATTGTTTCACCCTATCTATCGGTGGTGCCAATTAAATTGAAAGTGGTACCGTTGGAAGATTTTGTGTCATTAAATTCTCTATTACTTTAGGTACTTTTTTTCAGGTTGCAGCTCATGCTATACCAAAATTGTATTCATTGGATGAAAGTCTACAGCATGAATTAATAGATTGTATTGATTTTTTGCTGGGTGATAAACGAACACTCGTCTTGGGTAGTGCAGTTTATGCTTTTGAAGAAACTTGTCCTGACCATTTTCATCTTATACATCGGCATTATCGATCGTTATGCAAAGTGGATATTTTTGAATATAATATTTATAATACAATGGGGGATTTTTGAAAACAAATGGTTTACAACAAATTTTTTACAACTTTTAGGCCTTGGCTGATGTTGATGAATGGGGTCAAATTACAATGATCGGTCTCTTAACGCGTTATGCTAGAAGTCAATTTGCTGCACCCACAAATACCATCGATCCAGATCTTGGCTTGCTTCTTAATACTTCACGTCCACTTCTTCAAAGTCGTAATTGTGCTGTGGTTATGGCTGTGGCCCAATTATTTTATCATTGTGCTCCACAGTCTCAAGTTCCTATTATTTCGAAAGCCTTGATTCGTTTGCTACGCAGTCCGCGAGAGGTGCAAAACGTTGTTCTTCTCAATATAGCTACAATTTGTTCTGTAAATCCGGTTTGTGCATTTTTATTTTTAATAATAATTTTAAAATTTATTTTTTAATATTTCACATGGAATTTGATTTTTTGCTAATATACCAAAGACTGGTCATTTTATAGCAAATGTTCGAACCATATCTAAAAAGCTTCTTCGTTCGACCGACAGATCCCGCTTATATAAAAGTACTAAAACTTCAAGTAATGACGTCTTTAGTAACAGAAACGAATGTTCAAATTCTGCTTAGAGAACTTCAAGTCAGTTTATTTTTATTTTTATTAGCTTCAGTATTTGTATAGTAACACTAATATTTCAATATTGTAGTAATATAATATGAGAATTTAATCTTCAGACTTATGTAGGCATGTCAGAATTGGCAGATGCAGCAATAGATGCAATTGGTCAATGTGCAATTCTTGTGAAATCTGTCGCCGAATCGTGTTTGATGCGATTAGTTAGTTTAATTGCTTCGTCTAATGAAAATATTGTTTCGGCAGCAGTTGTTACTCTCAAAAGGTTTGGATGAAATAATTGATAATCGTTTAAATTATTACATATCTTTGTCTGATGAAATTTATATCCTGTTCTTTGATTATTAACTATTTTTTATCAAGAAGTTCCTTTGTTATATAGATCTTGAGTTTGAGTAAGATTCGTTTATCATTATCGTTATTATATTTGACTGAATTAATATTCAGTCTGATTCTGAAGTTTTTGAGGCTGTTACATTCCAATGCACCTCTTCCTCTTTTAACTCGTGTGCTTCGATTAATTGATTCTGTCAAGGCTCCACAAGCAAGAGCTTGTGTAGTATGGCTCGTGGCAACTCATGTTGATAAGGTAAGTTCTTTTAATTTTCAATTGGAAATACTGATTTTTTTTTTTTGATTTAATATTTAATGTACATTTTATATTAGTTTTTGTAATGTGCTTATATTTTTGCAGGTACCATTACTTGCGCCTGATATGTTGCGTATTATGGCAAAAACATTTGTGCATGAAAAAGAAATTGTTAAGCTGCAAACCATGAATTTGGCTGCCAGATTATGGTTGATTAATCCGGAAGAATGCAAGCAATTGGTACTCTATGTGATGCAGTTGGCACGTTTCGATCAAAGCTACGATATAAGAGATCGTTGTCGATTTCTTAGAAATTTGTTGTTCGTAGAAAATAAATTGACCCCTTTCGCTAAAGAAATTTTCTTCACTGAAAAACCTTCGCCAATCGTTCAAAACTCTTTTAAGGGTTAAATTTAAGCTCATTAAGCTCATTAATAGACTTTAGATTGGAATGATCTTACCATGTGAAATATGAAATATATTTTTCTAAAAAAAATAATAAATAATAATTTTAAATTTGAAGTTTATCGATTTTATGGAAAATTCCCTTCCATTTCATTTAAGATATTTTGAGAGTTTTTTAAATTATTGAATGTTTCTAATCAAACATTATTAAATAAAAAGTGAAATGGTGAAGATTGAATTTTAGATCGTGAGCAATTTCAATTGGGCACTTTGTCCCACTTTTTAAATCAGCGCTGTGCACGATATCGTGATTTACCGCCATTTCCTGAAGTCACACCAGATCCTTCTGTAAGAGGCATAGTTGAGCCATCTTCTGTGATTATTCCTGATAGCAAGCTAACAACTGGAATTGCATCTGAAGTCGCAGGAGATTTTTATTCAGATGAAGAAGATTCAGGTGGGGGAAGTAATGATGAAGATCAAGATGAAGATGAAGAAGAAGATGAAGAGGATGAAGAAGATGAAGAAGAAGAAGAAACAGATGAAGTAAATTTTTTCAAATCAATTTTTGCTTGTGAACAATTAATAATTTTTTTTCTATATTCTTATTTTATCTATAATTTTTTTCGGTCGAAAATTTTAATGCATATAATTTTTCTTTTTAATCATATCTTTTCTTTAATCATATCATATCATATTTAATCGTATCATATCTTATATATCTTTATCATTATCATATCTTTTCTTTATTTTTTCCAATTTTCTCTAATCAAGATTTGATTGCAGAGTGGCAGTGAGGAATATGAAGATGAGAAGGAGCAAGAAAATCAATTGCTTCAAGGGAATGAAATTCATTCGGCTTCAAATATTCCATCGCAAAAAAAGTTTCTATTTTTTCTATTCAAAAAAGCATTGATTTATCATTGCAAAATGAATTTATTTTAGTCATTTTTTGTCGATTTCATCGTTTAATGAAGTTTCGACCAACAATTAGATTTTATAAATTTTATAAATTACAGATCAGCTAATCTCGATTTACTTCTCGATCTAGACTTCGATCTTGCTCCAGGCTCCAATATATTTTCTAATACAATGAAATCAGATAATTCCTTCAAGGAATTGCTTAATCATGCTGCATGGCCTGTTGGTGTTTCTGTTAGCATGAATTTTATTAGAGAATCATCAGTTTCGTTCCCTACAATGAATACAGTATTGCTACGTTTTGTAAATACACTTTCATCTATATCACCTTCGCTCACCTTGGTTCCAAAGGTATTTTTATTTTCTGCGATAATTTTGTGGACTATTAAGAGTGCAATTTAAAAAATTTTTTATATATATATTTTTTAACTATCATTTTCTACTTTAGAAAATGGAAAGTAATGAAACAAGCGGTGTTTTAAAAATTGGTGAATTAGGAAGTGAATCTGAGAAATTCGAGCGAATATTTATCGATTTTGGTGACAGTGGACGTTCTTCAGAGTGGGTATTAAAAACTGATGATAATACGAGTGTAACGCTTACGATAGAAGCACCAATCGGTGAACAAATGTATCCTATAATCATGAATATTGAACAATTCAACGAATCTGCGGCACAACTTACTGGTTTGAATGAACATATAGTACCAATGAAAATTATATTAAAACCTCAGCAGCTTCTTGAATTTATCAACTGCGCTAATATTATCGGGTCAGAAGTAAGTGTTCAACATTTTTAGCAAATTTTTTTTCCAATTTTTTCATTTATTCGAATTATGAAATGAAGAATTATTTTAGGTTAATTTTTGTGCTCGGACTCTGTCAAAAAAGCAACTAATTCTCATAAGCCTTGGTCAAAATGAACTTTGTGTTCGTTCAGAAAGCGTTGTGCTTGGTTCATTACTATGTAATTTTATTATTAAAAAAGCTGAAGCTTTAAAAACAGAAAAGACTGCCAAAAGCGAATCTTTATTATGATAAAGCTACTTTGTAGAAAAAAATAATGATGATATCGTACACATAAACAAAAAAGACTATTAGCATATAACTTTTTATAATTTTTTTTTGTAAACATAATATCTTTGCTGTAAATGAATTCTTCTTAATGTATTTATTAATATATAACGGCTAAATATTAAATAAAGATATCTGAACCACACCATCTGTGATGAATGAGCCAACATTGCACGCCATGTACAAATATATGCCGAAAATGATGATACATAAAGGAACGTTGAATGAAATGAACTAATCGCTGCATCCAAGGCTATTATATATTTTCTCCATACTGGAACACTCTCTAGTACAAACACCTAAAAGCCATCAAATTATTTTATAATTCCAAACATTTTAAATTTAAATTTTTCATTCAATTTTAAATAATAAACAAAATTATTGATAAAGTTTTAAAGCGATAACAATTAAAATAAACTGAATAGAAGATAATTACTTGAGCATCGGCTGGAATAGATCCATTCGAATAAAGCAACTGAACAGCTCTGAAGCATGCAATATGATTCGGATGTGAACTAACTCCTCGTCCATCGAACGTTACAACTGTATCCACGTCCAGTATTTGGATATGTCGGAGAATTATATCGGCCAGTTTTTCCCGATTCCATGATACAAAACCATCACGAAACGATTCATAATTCATAATCATAAGATTATTAACTGATATACCAAGAATATTTACTGCATGGGATAATTCAATCTTTCTTTTTTGTCCTAAGCCATCGTGATCACCAACTGTTATGCAGAGTAAATACACTGATGAACCCGACTGACGCAAACCAATAATAGTTGGAGCAAAAAACATTGATTCGTCATCTGGATGAGCGATAATAAAAAGAGCACGACGAGTCGATGGTAAACTTCGTTGACAATGACGACTAATTACAAAAATTATCAAAATTAACAATGATAAAATAATAACAATTAATAAAACCATAATTAAATAGACCGATCTTTGAGCAAAATCGCCGAAGAATGTGTTGGATGTTCTTTTACGAAATTTGTACTTGGATATCGTTTTTCGACAGTTGTTTTTTTCAATTTGAATCTGTCGCCGAACGCATTTTTCATTTTATCACCAAATTGGCGAGGTGTATCAACTTCAAGTGATGCCGAAATTCCAAGAATAAATAAACCAAAACCAGAAACTGAAATAACGGTTGCGAGGAATAAGGCACGTCTAGCAAGTGCTACACCGTTGTTCAATCTTGCATCTATATCTTCAATATTTTTTGCTCGAATAAGGCGTAAAGATGTTTGAATTCCCCAAGCGAATGAAATTCCTGTTAGCGCACCACAAACTGAAAATATCTTTAAAAAAAGAAGCAAAATTTAAAATAAAAAAAAAGCAAAATTTTCACCAAAAAATCTAAAATATTTAGTGTAATTGCAAGGATTAGAATAATTAATCAAAAGAATAAAAAAATAAGAAAAAAATGACAAATTTCAACGGCTGCTTAATTTAAAAAATTTTAAGAGCAAGGGAAAAAAGAACTTACTAAGTTTTACAAATTTCGGCTGAATGAGAGCGTTTTTGGCGTCTTTTTTTTCAACGAGCTTACTGCTTAATTCTTTGTCCAATTTTACGACATTGTCCATAAATTTAAAATTACAACAAATTTAATTCGCAGTAAATTCGACCGTCCAAAACTATAAATGCATTAAACTCGGAATTTAATAAATAAATAAAATCCGTTGCGTAAATATGAAATATTCGATGAATTTTAATAAAAATTTTGTTTTTAAAAAAAAATTCTAAGATTTATTAAGGAATTAAATAAAATTTCAAGAATAATTTCAAAGAAATGAAAAATAAAATAAATTTATAAAAAAAAACTTTTATACGATTAATCGAAATAAATACAAAAACGAAAAAAAAAATAACCAAAAAGTGAAGAAGAAAAAAAAAAATAACGAGAAAAAAAGGAAATTTATTCAAATGTAATCATATAAAGTTTCTTTTAAACACAAAAAATGCAAAAGAATTTTTAAAATTTCGATTTAATTATCAGAAATAAACGAATTTTCATACGGAATACAAGGCTATGCAAGGCTAATAATATTTCTTCGTGTAGAACGCCGTTCTATTTTACTGGATAATTCCCGTGGTACTAATCAGACTTTTGTCTCCCTCAGAATTCGAAATAAACGAATTTTCATACGGAATTTGCGGTTCAAAGATTAAAAAAGGTTTTCGAAACATAAAAAAAGAAAGCGAATTAATGAGAATTAAAATTCGGAAGAAATCTAAGATTTCGCGGAATTTTAAATAAAAAATAATTGCAACAACGCAAAAACGAAGTCGAAATGAACGCTAAATGCTGTGCATTCTCGAAGGAAATCAAATTAAATTGGATAAAAAAAATAAAAATAAACTAAAAGTTTGATGACTAACTCGACAAACGAAACCAAACTATTCGAATGCAATTCTCGAAAATTTAAAGAAATAGGATTGGAAAGGGACTGCATTTTAGTAGCTGAACCAACAGACGAAAAACTGCAGTTCAGCCCTTGATGAGTGAAATTGCGGCTCGCTTTTGAATTATTCGTGAATAGAATTTGCTTCCGGCCAAATTTTCATTGAAGTGAATGTTTATTGTGCACTGTGAAAATTTATCAACCGATGAAAAATAAAAAAAGTAGTATGGTTCAGTGTCATCATTTCTGAGCACCAACGCTGGTTTTTACTCCAGCAAGAGTAGACGTATTTTTCAAAAATCCAGGTGGTGCTGGTGACCCGGTGCAGTTGCCTGGTACAACATGCTAATGGAGGCAGAAATTATGGACTCTCGTAGAAAAAAGACCAAAGGAAAGAGGAATATCGTTCCATTCTTAAAGTTGAAATTAGATTTTAGCTAAAACTTGTTTGCAAGAATTGTTTCCAAAGTCGAAAAAAAGAGAATTCTAAATTTCTAAAATATTTTCTGCTATAACTATGATTTCATCCATCAAATTATATCAGAAAATTCAATTCTTTTTCAGAAGATTAGAAAAAAATTATGATTTCAATATTATTATTTTATTGAAATTTCTTCCTAGCACAAGTTCATTTTTTCACTTTTGAATTAAAGTACCATTGCTGTAGAGAACGATAAAGAAGTATAGAAAGCTGCCTTTTTTATACTTTCTGACGGAGTGGTTGACGCAATCATATTTGATAACACGTTGATATTTGATAAAACGTTCATTTCTGACGCAAAGCAAACGGGGTGGAAAATTTGGTATTCTATTCTTTTTTCGCTGCAGGAGGGAAAGGGAAAGAATTGTCCAAACAGGTAGTTTCGATTATCGGCATTACGTACAATCGTCAAGGAGTCGACCATCGTTGAGCATCATACTGTAGCAGATTATGTTCGAGCCAAATTTTACAGCAACAACATCATGGCTTCGGCTTTTTTTCTTTGGCATCAATAAACTAATTATGGAAAGTGAAATCGAGATTGTGCGGTGCATTCACCTATATTTCCTGTTCCCAGATGGCTGGTGAGAGTCATTAATCCTAATAGCCGAAAACGAAAGTGTTGTTGGAATAATAAGACGAAGAGATCCAAAGAGAAGATATGATATGATATGAAGGTTACTTTATTTGGGCTTAAATTTAATTTTTTAGATCGTCCTTTTTTGCGAAAGTAGTTCCACTAAAAAAGGAGTTAAACATACGAGAATTTCAAGACTATAGTCAATTATTTCTAGACATTTCCCATTTATCATTAAACTAATCCATCCACGATTTCATCTTTCGACTGTTTCGATTTTAATATTTATTGTTATTTATTTATATTTATAAGAAATAATGTTTATTAAAAATAGTTATTTATTAAAAATCATTCGTCTAATGCACTAATCAATTTTAAAAAAATTATTAATTTTTTTCATTATAGCAAACAATTGTAGTATAGAATTTTTTTTTACAACAATTGTTTCTTTTCGATCCATTATTATCCCTTTCCTTCCCTCTTTTTGTTCCTTCCATCATCCTCTCCTTTTCCTCCTTCTCTTCCTTTCCCTTCTTTTCTTTATTCCTTTTTCGTCCTGCTTTTCTTGAAAATGAATCCATGTTTTTGAGGGTTTTTTTAAATAAAATTGATATTCCTTAAATATTAGCCTAACAACATTTCAAGTTTTATTTTACAGTAACAGCTGATGCATCGTTTAATATTCCTTTTCATTAGCCTTTTTTTCTTATGTTCCTTTCTATCGATTATTCAATATTTTTAGATTTTTTTACGCTTTTTTGTTATTTTTCATGAAAAAATCGGAAATTCCTTATTGGCATTTATCTTACGATCATAATTATCGTTTTTAAGTTGGTTGTCTCGTAGTTTTTTTTTCTCAGCCGAAGACGAAACAATATACCGATCTCTTGATAAGCGTCCCTTGATAAGCGTAAACCGATCATCAAAAGCGAAATTCGAGTGTCTGCTGGATAGCCCTCTATCCCAGCGCGATTTTCAACCGAAATAATCTCATTTTCATTCCTAATGGAACCAATCAAGCCAGAAATATTGCTTTAACTACTTTTTTTCGCTTCTATCTATTTCTATAATTTAGAAATATATATCAATGAGAAGAAATCGAGATGGAAGTGTTACTCGATACAACACAAATCTTTCATCACTGGTTTGTTCATTTTTTAGTGAACGCTGGTAGGCGTTTTAGATATATTTCTATAAATAAGAATTCAAATTCAAATTCAAGCAGATAATTATTTATAGTGTGAAAATGGATTTAGAAAAATTAAGATATCTCATTTTTATTCATTTATTCATTTGAATCCTTATTTTAACCGTTTTTCATGGCTGCAAGTAAAGAGAAATGTGACAAAACAAAAGCAGTCGATGAACGGTTAAAAGGACTAAAAAATATAACCGCTGTGACCGGTTTCGCACTGAATTTTAGCTTTGGACTTAGCTCATCCTTTACTCTGAATTTTGGATAATCCGACATCTTTGTTCGATTTTTTGGATTCGTAGTTGATTTATAGACCGATGTTTTTTATTTTCATCTGAGTTATCATTAACCAACAGCTGTGGAATACCTTCAACTGACATACTTTCTATATGCTTGGACCTCCATTCCTGAATTAATTTTTCTTCTTAATAATTTTCCTTTATGAATTTTCTGGCCAGCAAATACTTGTCTTTCTTTAATTAAATAATATTTCGCGTTTAAATCGATTTCAGTGATCACTTTTTTTTGAAAAACTTAGATTTCATTTCATTATCCATTTTCTAAAAATTTTTCAACTCTTTCGTTTTCAAGCAATTCATCTGGCTTCTAGTAATTCTGAATTAATCAGGTTTGCATTCCCTTGTTATTCTCTTCTTTTTTTAGCAGTTAATTGTTAGGCCAACTCTTCTGGCTAGAAGGGATAAAGCAAGCCTATAATTCTCCTTTAATTCATTCATCGACAAACGATTACTTTCAGGGATTTCCTCGATGAAAGGAGATATAATATTATAATCATATTTAGAAAATTTAGATAATATTTTGATAGAGGCATTTTTAACAATTTTTCAACAAAAAAATTTATATATTAGATTTATAGACTTTCATTCAAAAAATAGCTAACGATAAAAATTTTGTTTAACTATCGATTCGTGTGTTATTAAGTTTGTCAGTTGTTGTTGATTACACACTTGGAAGACGGAATTATATAAATGTAGGTGGGAGAAGTCGATATGATCGAAGTTCGAGCTGAGGAAATTGCTTTGATATTTTTCGAATTTAATCATCGATGGATGAATTTCGCTTATTTATGACATTCAAATTAAATTTGTTGAGTACAACAGTGAAGTGTCTGCGTTCGTCTTTTTCTCACAAAAAAATATTTTCGATTTTTTTCATTCAAATTATACATTTATGAGTGAATGTCCACTTAATGTCCATTTAACACACAATTTACCTGATGATTTCGACATCCGTTGGACGACTTAACTGCACAACTCTACGAAGCAAAATATAAATTTTCTTGAAAATTTTTCAACTTTTTAAAAAAAAAAAACGAAAAACGGAAAATTTTAGCAAAAGAATTTCAATTCGCCCTACCCACCGACAAATTATTCGCGATATTCTTCGCCGCTTAATTTCTTTCGTTCTAATAGTATTGATAGCGGTTATCATTATCAATCTAAAATGTCGAATTATAAATCACCATTTATTAATGATTTATCTAGAAGTTATCATCAGGAAACAACATTAACCCGTCCTTTGTACAGTAGAAGGTTATAATTTTTTTTTGAACAAAAAAATTTTTTATCTAATCAATTAAATTACTTAACCATAATTAAATTACTTAAATAAGCTGTAAAGCTATTTAAAATGAAATT